CAAGATGTCAAAGATTTGAGTCGGACAAGTCAGCTGCTCTGCCATTGGTGCAAAAAAACAACATAAATGCCCATAATGTTATCGGGGGTTTAAGCAACAAAGGACCAAATGCAATATTATGAAAATAAACTTATTATAAGGTGGATTAAGTTACAGTATTTTGAGGTCAAAGTCATACTATTATGAGAATAAAATTTATGGAAAAATGAAGTTGAAGTTTTACAAGATTTAAGTCAAACCATGAGAGAAAACGTGTTTCTAGCTTTTAGTAACAATTATAAAAAGAGGGTAAAGTCCAAGGTAAATTAGGTTTTACAAGATTAAAGTTATAAGTAAATAAACTTTAGAGGCTTTTATTTTGAAGGAGGTGACCAGCTGCTCTTTTAATATCTGCCTTTCCAATAACAGTGAAATTTAGGGTTAGTATTTTGCTAAAATTGGGACTTTATTCTGATCACATAAGACTTTATCTGAGATGTTTAATATTTTTAATTTTTAACTCACTCAGAATAAAAATGTTTAAAATTTGAAACAGAAATATTTAAACTCAGAGTCTCTTTCAGTCTTTGTCTCAGTGTGACTTTGTGCTTTTGTCATTACCTGCAGTGGTGTGTGTGTGTGTGTGTGTGTGTGTGTGTGTGTGTGTGTGTGTGTGTGTGTGTGTGTGGTGAATTATTCATGTGTGCGTCTGGTTCTTGACGTGTGTCTGCCATGGAGTTGGTTTCTTTGATCACACAATGTCACCATTGAGACACAAACGCACACACACACACACACACACACACACACACACACACACACACACACACACACACACACACACACACAGGTGTGTGCCTGATGATCAGTATTAAAGACGGTTATCAAAGGCGGTTCGGCGCCATCTGGCAGCTCATCAAATATTAACGTGGAGTCTTTGGCGGTCGCCCTGTCGCCCGGCTTGTACTGAAACTCTCTGAACATGTGACGGACGGTGTCACGGCGTGTGTGACGACTCGTCCTCATAGTTTTAGGAACCTTCAAGTTACTTTTGTCAAATTTTTTGGTGCAGACAAAGATTTAAAGGATCAGATCAGACACCGACAGAAATGATTCGACTTTGTGTTTTTGAGGTTTTGTTGTTTCCTGAGATTTGACTTGAAATCAAACCGACATAATTGTGTTTGAAGATATCACACTTTTAATTAACTTTTATGAATGAGAGCGTGTCTCTGTCACCAAAGAAAGTGTTTTTAGTATTTGGAGAGTTTTGAAAGTCAGTTTTGGAGAAACTCTGGTGGACTGTTTCGGCCAGAAGAGATAAAAAACAGCTGCTGAGGCTGATATGTCATCGTTGTGAGGATACTCACAGATTTATCTGGACTCAAAGTTGAAGTAAAAGTGGAGCCACAGGAAGCAGAAGGTGGGTCAGTAAGGTTAATTGTATTGCAAACCTAAAGTGTGTGTTTGTGTGTGTGTGACAGCTGATAGTTGGGGTAGTGTTTACGTAGAGGGGTCAGAGGTCAGGTGAGAGGCCTGATAGACAGCTGGACAAATGTGCTTTTTCCACGTCATCCTGTACACTCTCACCCACACACTCACACACTCACACACATGTACACACTCCTGTGTGTGTGTCCATACCTGTGTGATGGTGCAGCAGTGACAGGCTGCACATATGGTGGATTTGCATATGATGCCTCTTCTACATCTTCAGCCTCACCTTGAACATTTCCGTATACCTCTGCTCCACTCTGTTTGTGTGAGTGTGTGTGTGTGTGTGTGTGTGTGTGTGTGTGTGTGTGTGAGTATTTTAAATGCACACTGATCTGTTTGTGTGTCTGAGAGTGAAGCTGCAGCTCGCTGAAAGTTGTCCTCGTCTGATTTTTTTTTCTTGCTCTTATAAAAACAACTTGTCTCTGAATAATTTATGATCTGTGTTTTTTTTTCACCTTCTTCTTTCTCTCTTCCTGAATCTTCTCTGAAAACTCTCTGCCTGTCTCTGTCCTCTTCCTCTCTGCTTCTTCATGCAGCGTTTTATAACTTTCAGGATTTCCTGAACCCCTCTTCTCTCTTTATCTGAATCAAATCTGCTAACATCGACCCTGCTGACACCTCATTTTCCTCTTTACAGTCTAACATGATCACAATAGATTGTTGCTCCTCATGAATCTGGTCCTGTTTGAGGTTTCTGCCTGTTTTCCTTCTCTCCTGGACTTGGATCAGGGTGACTCAATCCAAACCCATGATGTCAACAAAGATCCACAGACTACTTCAAACCTGTGAAGACCACACGCTCATGCTCAGGTGGTCTGTGATCCGTCTTACTCTGTAAGAGCAGGTTTGGATTTATACCCCGCAGTGACGGGACTTTAGGCTCTTTTTAGTGATCCGGATTATTTGGCTCAGATGACTCAACTGACTCTTTAAGCTCCCAAACAGCTCTGAAGAAGATCCTTTTCTGGGTTTTAAAGCTACATTGTTAATGACTAACATCCAATTTCCCCTGAACAGCTACGAAAAGGCCGTATCTGCCGATCGTAGCTGATCAGAATCGTTAAAGTTAACGTGTCAATTTCTTTCTTGATGCTTGATCAGATTCAGGTACTTTTCTGCATTATTATGATTTTTGTTGACTTCTTGAGGTCGCTGCTTTGTTTCTGTGAAGTAGGAAAAACATGTTTTCAGTCATATGAGGCGTGTTTATTGTTACAGGTCCTTGAATGAATCTCATTTCTTGCAGGAGTGTGTCTCTTAATCTGTTTCTGAAAAGTCATCGGTTTTGTTCTGGGCCTGTTTGGTCTGCTCCTCCTGTGGCCTTGTAGGATTTATTATTCACACAGTTTTACCTCGGAGGACACTCTCTATCTTATTTATTTAATCTCTCACCTGTTTGGAGAAAGCAGCATCCACACTCTCAGGGACTGTTCCTCTTACAAACATCCAGACTGATAACACCAAACCACTTTTTTATAATCTCTCTCTGCTCTGATGTGTTTTTTAGGACCATTCAGAGCTGGAGGAGCTCCCATTCTGATCTCAAAGTGGAAATGAAAGATCTTAAAGCAGACTAAATATGCTTCCTCTTTGTCACAGAGATAAGTTTTATCTGGACCTGACAGCCGGAGTGTGACGTCCTCTCTCAGACTGGAGCAGAAATTCACTCTCTGCTGTCCCTGGACTTTGGACCGCTTTTCAGATATCTCCGGTTTCTGCAGACTCTCTGTTTGTCGTGGCGAACTCGTGACCTTGTGTTTGCTCTCAGGAAACAAGATCGCCAGTTTCTATTAGAGTGTCATGATCAACCTCAGCAGATATAAAACATTCCTACCCTGAAAAAGTCTTTGTCTGGATGGCAGCAGATGTTGCATCTATGATTTCTCAGTTCTACGTTGAAAGGACAAGTGTTGTCCTTTCCAAAAGGAAGTCAGATTTTGATTCAAGTGATATTCAGCCCCATGCGGTGACTCCAACTCCAGAGTCCTGATACTCTTAAACCTGTAGATATAGGTCAGCATTAATGGAGCCTTCACAGATGTGGAAGATACCCATGACATGGACTCTGATGGTGGATTTGGACTGGGAGCTGAGACCAAAGCTGTAGCAACAAACTGTGTTCAGAGAAAGTGGATTTTGGGCCCATGCGGTGATTTGCACTATAGAGTCGTGTGTGTAGGTTATTTTTCATACTTGGTTATGTGAGAAATTAATGCAAGCGGCTGAAGGATGTTCTTAAAGTCAATTTTTTAAATTTTGGGACAATTTTGTATTTTGTTTTATATCATTACATTTCCATTTATCCACACCCCTTGTCCTGGGGGGTAACATTAAATTTGGACGATTACCGGAAAGAAAAAAGAAAAAGAAAGCAAAAGATAAATAAATAAATCAATAATAATAAAAATAATAGTCATTAAATAGATAAATAAGCAGCAGCAGCAGTACATAGTAAACATAATCATGAGATAAATGGATAAAATGCAAAATAAAGGGGAAAAAAATCAACATTTTTCACCACTTTTTCAAAGTTTGATAAGTTTCATCTAAATATAGGGTTTATGCTTTCAAAATCTGTATTTTTTTTTACTGAATCCTGATTTGTCAGTACCCCATAGCAACAGTCTGTTATTTCTCAATAACGCATTGTTGCTATGGAGACCGGTACAAATCAAACTTTGGCAGACTAGCTGTTATTATATCAACCGGCAGGTCATGTTAGTTGGAAGTCTGCCCAAACTTCCCCGGACACCCTAAAATTTGCCAGGTATGTTTCTTGAATAAGGTCACTATACAGATTTTTAAAGTCTTAATTCTGGTTTTGACGATCTTACTTTTGAATTGCTGTGTCTTTGAATTGGATCTTAATCGAGACTTGTCAGGTGACTTGGCTTATCGCGAGTCTAATGAGGCTTTTAATCTGAAATAAGACACAAACACCTGACGTAGCTTTAAAGCTAAATGTAAAATGTAAAAAAACGTAAACATAATCAGAATCGGACTGTTACTGATGATCATATCTGTTTAAAAACATCTGCATTGTGCGTTAGCTTGAATCAGGTGATGGTCTGACTGTGATGGACTGCCTTTGTCAAACTTGTGCGTCAATAAGTTCTGATTTTGAACTTCTTTTTGACTGTTCGGTGAATATTAATGCAGAAATCTTAAATGTGAATGTTTTTGATCAAAGCTCTTGAGTTTGGACTGAATGTTCAGGAGGATCAGATGTTGTGACTCTGTGTGTTGAACTCTTTGGTTCAAATCTGGACAGATGTGGTTCTCCAGGTCTGTCTGAGCGCGTGTCCTTTCTATTAGAGGCTCTGATTGGCTCCCAGTGTGAACCCCAGTCTTTGTCTGTGTCGCCTAACTGTCTCTGAGAAAGAGTGTGTGTGTGTGTGTGTGTGTGTGTGTTTGTGGAGAGAGAGAGAGATAGAAGAGAGAGAGAGAGCGAGTAGGCAGAGATTAAGACCATCGGCTTTCTCCTATTGGCTGAGCCTGTGAGTGGGCGGGACTCTTCCTGGTGGGGGGTGGTGCTGCTGCAGTCAGCCTCATTTTTCCAGAGGATCTGCGCTGAAGGAGCAGAGAGAGAGAGTTCTCCTCACTGCCACACCGACCGGAGAGGGACTCTTCCGGACCGCACACCGGCTCTGACATCGCTCCTCCAACCCGGACAGGGTGCACCGTCCCGGGGGTGAACTCTGCGCGGACTCGGCCTCTTCTTTGGAGCTCTGCAGCCGAGTCTCTGCTCCTCCACCACCTGCTCTTCTCGATCTGTCCTCTCTGCGTGTGTGTGTGTGTGTGTTGGGGTGTGCATGGGGACAGTTTTTGCAGAGCTGTTAACGTGAGTGTTTCACACACACATTCACACTCTACCGGATTGGAAGCGATGCCTCCTCCTCCTCTTCCTCTTCCTCCTGCAGAGCTTTTTCCCTCTTTGTGGATGGATTTCTGATGGTTTTTTTAACACTCTGGATTTAGGATATGGACTGACTCCTTCTTCAGGGACGCAGTGGAAGTAAAAACCCGCACAAGTCCAGAAACACGAACAGGTGAGGGACGATTTCACTTTCACGCAAAACCGGAGAGTCTGTTTTTCTGCTTTGAGTGGAGTGTGTTCATGCCTCTGCACATTTGAGCGTGTGTGTGTGTGTGTGTGCGTGCGTGTGTTGAAGTCCATGTGACCTATGTGTTGGATAAGGTCTAACTGGGGCTACATTCTTATCTGCTGAGCCATGTTCAGAAACCCCCTCTGTGCACACACACACACACGCATAAACACACCACCCCTTCTGCTTTTACAGGAAAATTATCTATTTTCAGACCAACGTAGATCATATCTGATGATCTTTTCCATGTCCAAACAAACACATTAGCAGCTGGAGACTCACTCCTGAAAACTGAGAACAGGTGACTGAGCAGGACTTCCTTCACTCTGCTCAGTCATGATTCTTCAATCCTGCTTTAAATTCAGTTTCACACTAATATAAGTTTGTCTCTCTCTCTTTCTGCTGCTCTCACTTGAACAGAAACACTCATCGCTCTCCTCAGATTGTGCCTTTAATGAAACTCTGAAGCAATTATATGATTTAAAGTCCCTCAGATTAATTTCCAATTAAATGTTCATCCCCTTCTGACAGTTTAGAGGACTTCTTTGAAGCTCTGCTGAAGAAAGTTGTTGAATTAACGAGGATCTTCGTCGTTAAAGTGTTTTTGGTGTCAGAGCTGATCCTCCCGTCAGTCTGCAGTTTGTTTGGCTGCAGCAGGAACAGAAACATGAGATGCTCTCAGCTGCGTTTGCACAGGGTGTGTGTGTGCGTGTGTGTGTGTGTGTGTGCAGCTCTTGGTGGTTCATATGTGAGTGAAGAGGAAAAACACACCTGCAGTTGCCGACGGTAACACAGGTGTCACCATGTTCTACACATTTGACATCCTAAAGAGTGAAATTTCTGTTTACAGCCGTTTTAATCCGCTCGGTTTCCCTGAAGTAGTTTATTTATGAGATGGAATTACACCTGTGTGTGTGTGGATATGAAGGAAAACTGTATTTTTCTGGATAAACTTAAAGTTCCTCCGCTTTATGAAGAAGGATGAGTCTGCAGTGGAGTAACCCCGAACATGAAGACGAACGGTCAGTGAGCACACCAGCAGAGAGATGGAGTGGGCGCCTCCCTTCACCAACGGAGCGTCGAGTCAGACCCACGTCACCTCAGAGAGGATAAACGGTTAACTCTGACATCCCAGAGACACCTCCCAACTCGCAGCGAGCTCCAGGTCCTGACAACACCCTACAACACAGTACCACGTGTCCCTGAATCCCACCAAAGAGAAAGAGGCTGGAGCGAGACGCCTCCACCAGATCAGGCTGCACCTTTATACTTTGTGTATAACGTGTCGAGCTAAACCAGAATTATGTCGCTGCTTTTCAGTGTCTGTGTTACAGATTCACAATGTTTTATTCCTCTGAAGTACTCGTGAAGATCGGGGGTTGTCAGGACCACATTTAGGATCAGAGGAGAGGAGAGATTAAGAAGCAGAAGTAGCTGCTAGTGAGCTAGCTTTAGCAGGAAGAGGCCTGATGTTTTTGTTTCATATATGCAAACGGATGTTTTTTTAATTTCGACGAATCAATAGAAAATAACCTTCTAGCACAAAAGAGAAGGATAGTTGAGGATTGCGTGGGTCACATGGTACAAACCTCGTATCTGTCTACTCGTAATAAACTTCCTTGAACTCCTCCTTGATATTTTCTCGGGGACTCTGTGGGATTGTTGCAGATGAAGTGTTTGCTTTCACACGTGCTCCTCATCCTGAAAAATCTGGGAAATGTTCTGGGGCAGAATGTAAACACAGATTTAAAGAACTTAAATATAGCCCATCTCTCTCTCTCTCTCTCTCTCTCTCTCTCTCTCTCTCTCTCTCTCTCTCTCTCTCTCTCTCTCACTGGTAATCTCTTGTTTTCGTTGGAACAGCTGTTTCTTCTCTGACATCCTTTCACTCTTCACCCTGCATGCTTTGCCATTTGGCAGCTGAAATGCATCATGGGATAGTTAGCCTCTCCTCCTGACTCCTTCATGCTTGTGTTTCTTAAATCAGACGTTGTTCTCGCTCTTCTCTCTCCCTGCCTCCCCCCCCCCCCGGCTCTTCTCTCTCGTGTCCCTCTTTGTAAGACCAGAGGTGAGCGCTCCACCGACACGTTTTGCTGAGTGCATTTAAATATTAATCTCCTGTTAGATGCCGTGCCAAAGCTCTACACCGTAAGGAAATAAGCAGCCAGCCCTCCGTGGAAGCACTCGGATGCTGCTGCCACAATGAACTCCACACTCCACCTGTCCAGGAAGTGTGAAATCTGATTTAGGAAATGAGAAATGCCATTTACATTCGCTCGGAAATCCTTCAAGTGTGCGATTGGAATTTCTGATGAGCCGGCCTCACACTTTACCCCGAGCACTTTATGTTAACGCTGCGGTGAGTGGGGTTAGTGGAGGAGGGAGGTGGTGAAGCAGGTGGAGGCTGCAGGAAGGAGACCCTGACCAAAATGGAGGCTGGTGGACTTATGTTTTAGAGACATCACTGTACTCACACCAACCATACGACAACTTTGATTCTACAAAGCAACACATATTTTTATATTATTAAATTAGTTTGACTAAAATAAATGTAAACATGTCAGTGAATTAACAGGAATTTTTCTTTATAAGACCAACAAACCCAGACGAAGAGGCTGTGGATCTTTTTTTCTCTTTTGGCCTAAACTGGTCCAAGAATTCTGCACGTGTTCCACAGTTTGCATGCTGGTAGTGTTGGGTGGTATGATGGTATGGCGGTATTGGCGTAGTTTGGATGAGGAAGAAACAGCTCTACTGGTGGTGGTCATGGCGGACGCAGAGGAGATTGTTCAGATTTAGAAAATCCGACAACGATCAAAAAACAAAACTAATCAAAGAGTGTCGTGTGTCTGTCGTTGCTGGAGGAGGAAACACCAAAAACCTCCTCTACCACCTAAAGATAAACAAGCTAAGATCTATTATGAGAGTAAAAGATGCGTGACGCCAGACTGTTTTCATCAGGAGGAATGTACCAAGTGCTAATAGGGGTGTTTTCAGAGCACCTATCTCAGAACACCCCCTTGTTTCCACCATTTTGGATTTGCCCAACCCACTGGAGACCGGGGGAGACAGGAAGATTGAGGAGCGTCCACGTTTATCAACGTCCAATGGTTTGCTGAATATTAATTTTTATTTTGAGCGTTTCAACTTTCCCGTGAGTCCTCCTCTAACATCCATGTCAAAGACATCGGCAGTGTGGCAGAATTTTACTAAAATAGATGGCAGGGAAAAAAGTTGAATGCAAAGGTTCATTTTCCCTGAACTGTCTTTTGTGTTTATTGCCTTCTTCTGCTGATATCAGGATACCTTCACTCCGCCAAGCTGCATCGTCCCCCGCCGTAGAAGGGTTTGCCGTCAGAGTCTGAAAAATCCCTTCCTAATTAGTCGTTAAAAATTTCAGGGTTTTAGTCGACCAAAGATTGACCTGAAGATTGACTGAAGTCTCAACAAAACTGGTGCTCAATACAGTTCAGTTCAATTCAAATTACTTAAGTTATCCCTGAGGTGTGGTTCAGTTTTGCAGCTTACCTAGGTAACAACATCAACAGCAACATTCACACTAAATCAATTCTGAGACGGGTTATCAAATTCAGAGACTTCGAAACAGCCTTTCAGGCGATGACTGTTATCAGCGTTCAGCAGCCTGACCGGAGAAGGAACAAGAGATTTGGTAAACGTCTCTGTTGGTGTTTCTCTGAGGGGTGAGGTTTCTCAGAGTCCTGAGGGTAGAGAAGTAGAAGGTCAAACAGGAGATGGTCTGTTATTGTGTGTGAACTCATGTGCAGACGCTTCGGTCGGTTTCAGTCCAGTTGAGCGAAAATTGATCCCTAACTGAATTATCCAGGTTTGTTTGTCCAGCTGTGAGAATTTCCTTGAATGTGTTTTCAGTTTAAGTAACTAAATATTTTGTGTATTTTTAGTCATTATTTCATTACTGCAGTAAAATAGAGGTTCAATCTCATGAATCTCATCTCATAAACTCACATTTTATCAGTAACACTCATTTATTCCCTCAGTAAATGTTTTCCAAACGAGCCTCAGTCTCTTTTTTAAGTCTTCGTCAGTCCTTCGTCAGTGCTTACCTGAGATCGGTATTTTACCAGCCAATCAGAGTGAGGCGTGACAAATCTCTGCAGCAGGGTCCACATGTGGAGTGAAGACCAGATCCAGAGAGGTGAACTCTGTTGGAGCTCCGTCCCACGGCGGTCATACAGTCATTATGTTCATGAATTACAGTAAAAAGACTCGGTTAGACGGTTGGAAATCAGACCGACCCCCCTGGTTGAACATGCGGTGACTCACTCTGCGGAGTAACCGAGCGGATAATTACAGAGCTGTTTGTGTACATGTGATTACACCTCACAATCGATGGTCATTGTGAACGGTCCGCGGTGTTGTGTGACCTGTTACCGTGGGCGACAGATGGCTGAGATGGTAATTACTCATAAAGTAATAGAAGAGGAGGAGAGGGAAAGAGGAAGAGTGGGCGGAGGTGGTGGAATAGAAGTAAAAATAGAGAAAAAGCCGCAGATGTTTAATTATGATCTGCAGAGAAGGTCAGCTGTGCACAGAAGAACAATTCCAATCCACACGATAGTCTTCAGCTCTTCAGAAAACACAAATAATTCGATTATTTCTCATGGAGAAGAAGAAAAAAACAAACTCTGCACGTTTTAAGACATTTGGTGATAAGAAATAAGAGAAGGGGAACCGTGACCTTCTTCTCTGAAGCAGGTCGTTTTGTTTCGACAGTGTGGAGGACGTGTGGTTAAACTTACATGCTTGGAGATAGTCTCCATTGAGGCTGCAGAGCTTCTTCATCCCCATAATAACTGTAAATATGATCCAAGTATAGAGCTAACAATGCAGAAGTGCAATGAGGAGCTATAATCTAGAGCTGAATTCACACATGCACTATAAACACCAGTCTGCATGGATTTCATACTCCTGCCTCTACCACAGCAAATTAGGAAAGGCAACTTCATAAATCAACACAATTATCTGTCGTTTTAATGTTTGCCGTGTTGTGTTTAGGTTGTTCTATTTTCTACATCGTAAAATCGTGCTTTTATTTTGAAGGATGTGGTATGTCTGGTAGATTTTAGGATATGAATCTGAATAAAATCAGTTCACAGAGCCGTGACAGGGTTTAAATGTCACTGAGAAAGGCACGCACTCTAACACGGTTGTTTTGGTTCATTATTAATGGTGAACGTCTGTTTTAAAAGTGCTGAGTCATCTCTCAGTGGGCTGCTACAGCGAGTTTTCCTGCAGCTGCTGCAGCTTCTTTGTCTCTCCCATCAGACCCACAGAGTCACGATGATCTTATTTATGGTTTGATATCATTATTGCATGTTTTAAAAGTGACAGTTATTGTAAACTCGGTCTGAAATGTTTATCATTAAAAACTAAAACTTGGTCTCGTTGGTCAGCAGGACTGTTTTAGTGACACAGAGAACTTTCTGGGCTCCCTCGAGCTTTTTCTCTTTTTTTGTTCTTTACCCAGGAGACAGCAGCTTGTGTTCAAAACTGAATATTTATAAGCTGTTTGTGCCCCCAAAACCGAAGTTTTGTATAAATTTAACCAAGTCGATTAGTACTGAAGTGACAGCTGAGTAAATCAGGGCAACAGTTTGCTTTCAGATCCATCATGTCGATATTCTCAAACTTATTTTGGCAGACACTAACATGAATTAATCTATATGGAACCTTTTTTTAACATTAAATCTCCCCTGTGTTGGATTTTGACTCTTATTTGGACGGTAAATTTGGTCAAACCGACACATAAACACTTCATAATCACAGTTATTTGGACGTTAACCTCCTGTCAGCCGTTGGTGCTAGCTCTGCTAGTGTTCGCCGCCCTCTAAATCAAAATAAATATCATGTACGTGTCGTCTCTGCCCACGTTGAATAAGCTGTGTTCAATGTTGATTGTTTCCTGAGTGTTTTCATACCTTTAGATGAGAAAATCCATTTATGGTCGGGGAAAATTAGTCACCTCAGGGCGTGTCGATTGCGGTCTTTGACCTCACATTGCTTTTCTGACCAATCCGTGTCTCTTAATGTGATCCCAGCTGACTCCTCTCCCTGTGTGTGAATGTGCAGACTTCCTTCAAGGCAAATAATAATTAAAAAAGCAGCAGAAATGTTCTTTTACATGCACTAAAACTTTTTGTGTTGGGTGATACGTGTTAAAGTAAAAACCCTGAGCTAGTCATGGGAGTGACCTTTGTGCCCTTCATCCATGAATGCATCCAGTTTCACTTAAGATTGACGCAAAAGCAGAAGCTGTCCTCACCCGATCAGACTCTGCAGTTCAAAGATACGTGAACCAGACAGCTGCAGAAATATGACCGTGCAAAACAGGACTCCTCTCCTCTTTAAACCTCTGCTCTTCTGAATAATGCACATTTGTTTCCTTAGATATGTTTTGCAGTAAATCCTTTTCCTCATGAATTATTTCCCCCCTGCTTCTGTTGCTTTTTAATGCCGTGAGTTTCCTGCACGGTCGTCTCAGAGAGGTGGTTGCAGCAGATGGTGGATGTTCAGAGCATTAGAATGGCACAGGAGACCGGAGTTGACATTTTAAGTCCCACATTTGTTCCCAGAAGTACCAAAACAGTTTGCTTAATGTCAGAGGAAAGAAAACAGCTTTGGTTAAATATTGAAAAAGTAAACACCGCCTCTTTCGCGCTCTAGTTCTCTGCTGACCTTTTAAATATTGAACCGGGACGTCAACATTACTGCACCTTAAAACAGAGAGATAACAGTGTCTGGAGGTAAAGTCGATTATAATTTAGGTGGGATTTGATTTGCTTCAGTGGAAATCTGGGGACGGGTTATTTCTGCTCCGAGGTGTTCAGAGAGATTACTGAGAGAGTCGTTGGAAATACTCGGGCCCAGAATTTAGACCTAAAGTATCAGGATTTCTTGTCATCCAGGGTAAAACAGACCTGAACACATGTCCAGTCTATCTGAAAGGGACTGCAGGTATCTACTTTGGCCACAGGTGGCGCCAAAATTCATACACACTGGAAGACCCTCACTGTTGATTTTAATTAAAGGACAGGGACCCCACATCTCCAAGGGCCTGTGTCCATTAAAAACGCTTTTTTGGAGGATGTTGGCAGTCCCCAAGACCTCCATGTCGGCGCGCTTCTCACTTCTTTTAAAGCACTTCCTGTTGGATACAGAAACCGTCCAGAACCACATCTTTTGTAGTGAACATTCAAAGAGTTCAGTTTACGAGAGCTTTCAGTGTTACTCTTTACTCTTGATGCACTGCGCTGCCATCTTGGATTATGACGTTGTCGTCAAGTCGGGGTTGGTGAGGATCGTCTGACTTCAGGGGGGCGTTCAAGAGGAATTTATGATTGGGAACTCGGAAAATCAACTTCCAAGCACAAATGAATGAAGCATAACAGCAGCTCTAGACCTGGAAGTAGCACCTTGAAAAAAAGAGTTAAATCAGTGTTATGGTTGATTTCAGAAGCCTCGTCTCTTCTTGAATTTGATTGGTCGGTAATAGAGGGGCGACATTTTGTAAAGCAGTGTTTTAGTATTTGGATGTATTTTTTTTTTGAGTTAGCAGAGTCAAAAAGCAGCTGATCTGAGGGAGTCAAACCCTGAACTTCACTGGATTTGTATTGAAATAATACTTTGGAGATTCATGCTCACCTGACTTTTCCAGGTGTTTCTTGTTCAGCCTAGTGAGGTGCGTTTTTCTGCAGGGGCTAACGTTTAGAAATTTGTGGGTGGGGCTATTGCATCATTTAGGCCACACCCGTCACCTGCACTTCTATCAAATGTGCCACTGAGGCACCAGGCTCCTGTGTACCAAATCTGGTCTCTATACAAATGTTACAAGGCCTTCAAAATACTACTTCCTGTTTGATGGTGACTATGTCGTGATAAGACTTATAGCTCTTTGGGGTGGTCTGGGGAAGGTCCGAACCAAACCTTCACCTGGTTCTGTGGAGGAAGTAACTTCCTGTTGCCCGGAGGTGGCGCTGTGATTATTTCATCATTTCCAAAGATGGAGGAACGAGCTCAGCCAGAGCAGTTTGAAGTTTGATGACATCTGTAGTTTGTATTTGTATTTAAAACAAAAGGTACATGAATCAAATCAATAATAAATATTGATGAATCAGATACTGATCAGGCTCGTCTCTCCTTCCTCCTCTTTGTACTCTGTGTACTCAAAGGCTGTAATGATCTGAGAGGAGGAACCCGCTGTTTGCTCTCTGAGAACACATTATAAAACTTCCATTTGGCTTCCAGATGATTGTAGCGTTAGCTCGATAGTTTATTGATTTTCTTAAAGGAGGTAAATAGATCTGACCAAGTTTACAGTCCGAAGCTTTCAAGCCTTTCAGAGGTCTGAACCTTTGAAGATCTACTTACCGTTTGACTGGATCGACTTTGAAAAGAAAACTCGGAGTAAAAGTTTCTCCGACTCTGATTCACTCCTAAATTACGTCAAACTGACCTTCGTCTTCTCCTTGTTTACAGATTTTATTTGAAGGATTTGTGCTGAGTGTTTTCCAAAATGTGAAGCTGATGACATTTGCTTACTCATGGTGCTTTTTCCCTGAAGGGTTAGTTTGGTCCATTAAACCCTAATCCTGCTTGTTTTTCCACAGCAGACTGTAACCCTGGCATTTCATAGATCTGGGAAAGGCTGCGTTTATGGCGTGCATGTTAACAAATTAGACGGGTTTGACCTCTGGCTTGGGCAGCGGTTTATTTATCTCAGTGGAAGCTCTAAATCTGCAATGTTTCTGTCACAATCATGGAGAATATGTTATGAATTGTCTGTTTTCACACGATGCCGGGTCAAGAAAGCCAAAGATACTCGGACACGTTTTGCATTTAAACAAAATACATCAGATTCGTGTCGACCTAACCTCACAGTAAAGTTTATAAATGCACTTTCCAACTCTTCACAGAAGTTCATGGAAGTTTTATTGTTAGGTTGTATCCGTCCGGCTCTGGGATGATAAAGAATAATGAGCCGTCCCTCTTTCGACCTACAGCCGTGTTTTATCTCCTCTCTGGTTTTTAATGGGCTCGGCTCTGCTGTCTGCAGAACAGAAAAGTGCTTCTTACCATTAAAAAGTGGCTGATCAATATTTCAAAGGTATATGCTTTATAATATTAATGTTACAAGCGCTGCTGAGTGAGCCCTAATGTTCTCTGCAGCTCATGTTGCTGATAGTGTAATATTACATTTTATTCGTCGCTCTTCCTCCTCGTCTGATGATCAACATTAAACTTCTGACTGTCTGCAAAAGTATAAAAATCCACTTTACTTTTCTGCTCTTCAGAGTTATGTGGTGATATTTTTTTATTTCCAAGTCAAAAACCACCCCTGAGTGTTTCTGTTCATAGATGTTTGTGCGTGAAGTGTGGCAGTGGTTAGTTTGCAGTCCTGCAGCTCTTACATGAGCATCTATCCCCCCCTGATGTTTACAACATACTGTATCTAAGTTGAAACACCAAGGCAGACAGTGCTGTGAGTAAATGGATGGATTATTAGTTTCAAATAAACAAACAGTTATAGTGACAACTGTTAATGTGCAACCGTGTAGCTCCCTGTGAGACCATATGTAATCTTTGAGCGTGTAGTCCTGCGAGCTTCCAGTAGGACAGTTGGACCAGCATTTACGTTAAAGGTGGGGTAGGTAGGAATCCGTTAAAGAAGCATCTGTTTTTGTGGTGTATAAACAAAAAAGCTTTTAATATCAGTCCATAGTAATTAGTTATTGATGACAATTGGTAATATAACGATATCTCTGTGTTTTGTTATGTCTGTAAACATTCGAACATTTCATTCTGACTGTAATCAAAGCCATTCCCAGTGTCCCCCATCCTGATTGGTTGTGAGGCAGACGCTGCTTCCCCCTGTCGTTCAGGAGCCCAAACAAAGTTAGCGTGCTACAATATTGGACAGTAGAAACCAACCAGAAAGTTCGGAAAATTGTCTGAATCCTCCTTTATCCACGACTGCCGACACAAGCAAGAAAACAAAGTAAATACCGGAGACTCTGGAGGAATAACGGGCGCTTAAAACGGAGGTAGACCGGACAAGAGCTAAAAAGCCGGGTCAACATAAACGATGGGGGACGCTTGGGGATCTTGGTGACCCTGTAACCTTTCTGCTGGACAGGTAAACCTCTTTAACAAAGTAAGACAAGTGTCTGTAACAGAAGTGTTTCTTGTCAAACGGACCTGCTGTAGCGTGTTGTAGCGCCATCGCTAAACTGTCCTCCCTCGGGTCCTGGACTATGTCACTTTATCCTCGTTATAGAAGTCCTGCAAACATTGTGTTTGCTGGTAGTCTGTTGGCATCTACAGTAGCACCAATGCTTTTGACTTTCACCTTGACTGGGCCCCATTTGTAATGATCTGAAGTATTTATCTGCATTATATCTGAATTTAATTGGAACGATACGAGCAAGCAGGAGCGTCTGTTTGTGGGCGGGGCTTGAAGGGAGAGGAGGAGCTGAGGGGAAAACTGGTTGGGAGGAGTAGAGTTTACATTCAAGATTTCACCTTTAACCTCAGGTCCACTGTTACCCTCCTACATCTGCTGGTTACCTGTCCTGTTACCTGTTCAACAATGTGCAGTTTACTCATCAACGCACCAGAGTTTGCACCATGATGGTGCATATACGTGATGAAGCTTTAGCAGGTAGGGCGCCATCTTCGGGGTAAAACACCAAAATGCAAGAGGTAATAAAATCATAAAAAAATCATCATATCGTATCGTAAAATTCAAAGTACTGCCCCGTGTTATTCCATCCTGCAGCCGCTAACTCTCACATGAACACCATATACGGATTAATCCGCCGCTGAAAATAGTACCTGGCACACACACTCTTCCTTTATCCCTAATTGTATTTCTGAGGCATCATCAGAGAGCAGTGTGCTGTTTTTCTCTCTTTTAATTGAATTTGTTGACAAAAGGAAACATAAAAAGCATCAACCCCTCTCTCTTTTGTGAATATTAATACCCTCCTTCATCTCGTATGATCCTGTTTTAATTGCTGACCTATCTCTGAGCAGCGGGGGGCCAGACTCTTTCATAACGAGCTAAATTAACGACTATTATCTCCTGATTATGCCCATGGCTGGATTCTCCGCCTCTTCCTCTTTCTTCTTCTTCTTCCACCTCCACTCTTTCCGCTCTTTCCCCTTCCCCCTCCATCCATCCACCCATCCATCCGTCCTCCCCCTCCTTGCTCCTCCTGCTAATGGTTTCTCCATTAACCCCACCTGACGGCTGTGTGGGTAATTACAGATTTATTTACAGCCTGTGGCCACACACAATGAGAAATAAATAATGTGTTTGACCAAGCAGAAAGAGACATTAGCCAGCCGTGCTTTTCTCAGATTTAACCACATAGAAACACACTGTTACACACACTCACACACACACAGAGTGACTTTTATTTTTAATGGAAACTGTAGCTAGAAGGATCGCCTGTACTTTACTATCTCTACATGTTCTTGTTTTTGCAGTTTACCTCCAGCCTGATGTGTTTTTTCCTCACTGCGACTGTTTTTAAAACCCGTAAAAATGAGATAAAATCAGATTCGGGTGGAAAGTGTTGGTTTTCATTCCCTGTCTTTGTTTTGTTTCTAATTTAATTGGAGTTTCTGTAGTCCAAGATAATGTTATTCTACTCTTATAATTATTTTGAGCACTAACTATTTTTATTTCGGGGCCTGTATTTTAGAGAGGACAGTATTAGACTTCAGTTTCCATGACTCATATTTGCACCAGCAGCAACATTCATCTAAACGGACTGTGTTTACTTTCTCTCGCTATCTGACCATGACACGCCACATTCACTCATTCACGCCACATTCATGTACCGGTGGGGGGGCTGTTATGTAAAGTGATAATTCCACTCAGACACTGCTGGGCGAGTGGGCAGGCTGGGGTTTTGCCCAAGGACACCTCAGCATGTGGATAACAGGACCCGAGACCTTTAGTTTGAGAGACAGAAGACTTTACCTGGACCGCTATTGGACAACAATGAATCAGAGTGAAACTAAGAAAGAAAATACGAACAAACCGCTAATACGACAAAGATTAACTCAAATAAACAAAAATCATCACATGTCTCAAGAGTAAGAAAAATAGTTGTGAAGTCATCAAATATGAACATCATAACTTAGGCAAGTATTAGCTTTAAAGCGCAAACGTACTTATCTATCAAACTTTCAAACTTTAAATCTGGGCTTTTATTTTGAAGGGTATTGTTAAATTAGGTGGCGATGATGCCTAGTAATGTTGATTCACACTCGTCATTTCGCAGCATAGAAGAAGACCGGAAAGTTTGTTTTGATATGATAGCGAAACGCAAATATGACGCCGACTACATGAGATTTGACGGGATCGTTTTAAAGGTAAAGTGTTTGTAAAATTATTCATCTCAATAGTTAAATTTTTTTTTAAATTTAATTTTATTTCAAATACAGCTGATGGAGTGTAAACTAAAATATTCCCCTCTTTATTATCGCCCCCTGCTGGTCATTTTGGTTTATGATTAAACTTGTTTTTTTGTGTGTGTTAGTACGTTGCGATATTTATTTTTTATCGGGCAAAAATGATGTTGGTTATTGTAAATTTCAGTATTGATAAATTTTCGGTTTATCGCCCAGCCCTAGGTGATTGTGGGTCCAAAGGCCAGTGGACCAGTTTAGAACCAGTGGTCTATAAAACTCTTCAATATAAACCAGTAAGTGTGTGAACAGCTCTGAGGAGTGACCAGGAGAAACTGTCTAAATGCACTTCTGTTTACTACTTCCTGTTTATGACAGACTTCAAAATAAAAGCACAGGAATCCTCCTTCACAATAAAAGCAACAAGTCACGTGTTTTTAACACATAACTTAAACCTGAACACTTCGGGGAAGAACACTTCCACTGAACATTTACGTTATAATAGAGGTTATATCCAACACTATCTGCTGTAATCCAGGATGGAGAGTGGAGTTATCGTTTTGGGACATAAACAAATGTTTGATTTCCGGATTATTCAGTGACTGAGTCGGACCAAAGCCTAAAGACTGACACTGAACCAGATACCCTAAATGTGCTCTCAAAGAAGCCTTTTTACTCGTGTCCCAGATCTCTTCCTCTGACGCTGTGGTCGACAGATTGTACTTTCCTCTCTTTTATTCTCAGTTTCTGTAGAAGGTAAACTGAGACGACCTCTTCTGTCTCTTCCCATCAGTCTGACTCCACTCTCGGCTCATCCTCTCGCTGTGACGGAGCAGTTTTCTGAGTTTGCGTGCTCGTCTAGCTCGTCTTTTCTGAACAATCTCCTCTTTCTCCGCGTCTCCTGATCCCGATCCAGATGACACAGATGAGCGCAGACTTGTGTGGTCTGCAGGGCTGCATGCTAATCATCCCTCTGAAGCTCTGATTGATCTCGGGTCATTATCTGTCTGCTGTGTTTGGGTTTTGGCTCCTCTGCAGCTGAGAGCCGCCTGATACTGAAGATCAAGTGTTAATAAGTGAGAGTCCGATTCAGCTGTTTGGAGGCGGCTTCAAATCATAATAAGTGTCACGTTTTGTGGATTTAATGACCTGAAAATGTCAGCCGAGGGAGGGCAGGCTCGTTTATTCAATAGTGAGCAAAACCCCAGAGAGCTGCGGCCCCCCGCTGAAGTAATAAACCAGTCCAAGGCCCACACGATTGCAGGGATTTTCACTGGTGCAGGTGAGCTGGGTGCATTTAAGGTTAACAGTTATGTATGATATATAAGAGAGTGTTTATTAAACCTAAAGGACACTTCAATCACAGCGTTTACAGGATGAGTATTTCCTTAAGAAGCATGAAAAAGGTTTGAACTGAAAAGTAAAAAGTCACTGGAGTTTCTTGGATGATTGTTCTCTCTCTGCATGATATGGTTGAAGCCTGATTTTGTGGATGTGTTCACAGACAGAGGTTTGAAGACGTGAGTTTGAATCAATGAGGAGAGTCCCACTTTAAAGCCATGCTTCTTTTTAACAGAGCTCTGCCTGAGGGATCAAACCATCACAGTCAAACCGGGACTGGTTTTGCTCGTGTGGTTTCTCAAGCTGTAGAGTTGACATGATTTGCAAACTTTTAAAATCAAAATGTCAACATTTTTAACGCTCCATCCGGACTTTTTCATTCAGGTCTGTCTTGGCTGTTTGTAAATGTCCCTGAGAGGTCAGACTGAGTTTAGTATCTGTGGGATGAAATGATATGGACAGCATTAAAGCTGGTAAACAGTGATGAGTTTGGTATGAAGAGAGACCCTGTGAACCTCTCTGATTTTCATTAAAAACAAAAACCAGTCCATCCAAGTCCTGGACATTTTAATGCTGTTACTGAATTCAGTGTTTACAGCTGTGATTCCTCTGCTGCTGAAATATGCATTCATGTTTTTGATGATGTCCACCGTCAAAGTCTGTCAAAATAATCTTTATAAATGCAGCTAAATAAATCAATCTTTGAGTCAGGTATTATGTCTCGTCTCTTTGCTTCTCTGCAGTCATATTTTAATAGTGGATTTATTTTTATTGCAGTATGTTTTGGTCAGAATTCCCAGATAGGGCTGCATGATTAATCGATTTTAAATCATAATCAGATTGTTTAATTATTACGATATTAAATTCATCAAATCGATTTTCCTCTCTATTATGTCTCACGCCTTCAGGCCACCGTAGACTCCCCAGTTCCCACACACTAGTGTAAACAAACATGGCGTTTGCAAAAGAAGGCGATAATTTCGTGGTTAAATAGGACAAGAGTGAGTCAGTCATGTTGAATTGGTACGACTCCACAGTTTCACAGTTTATATTCCTTATTCCTCAGTACTCATTTATCTGTCATTTTTGGTAGGCCTTTCTAAGTAACATTGAAACTTGTTTCTTCTCTGCAACTAGGGTTGTGCATTATCTGTGGTCTGGCTCTGAAAATGTACAAATGAGAAGATGATGTATATGTCTGTCAATGCAGAACTGTCGACTGTCTGTATGTCTGTCTGTGTTTCTGGTTTGTGCATTATGTAATGCAGTTGTTTTTTTAGCAGTACTGACTGTCCATGACAAATTTCCCTGCGGGGACAATAAAGTTATATTGAATTGAATTCAGATGAAGAGTAAACCACTCCCCGCTGTAAAGTCTGTCTGAAGGCGGTATCAACCCGTCACCGTGGAAACGAATTCAGGAGGAAACGCAAAAGTTTTTGTCGTATCGTAGTTTCATCCACACGGAAACAGCGTTTTATCATGACTTACAAGGTCAGGTATTATAATGTGTTATAACTGTTAACAACTCACTGAAAATGACTATATGGATAATGCATTATATATATATATATATATATATGTATATGTATATGTGTATGTATATATATATATATATATATATATATATATATATATTTATAATGTGTTTTAATTAGCTTATAAAGTTGTATAACTATCATTATAAACACTCATTTATTATCATGTCTTTATAATAAGCATAAGATATTATAATACCTGACCTCCTAAGTCATGATAAAATGTTTATAATGTGTTTTGATTATTGCTATAAAGCATTATGATCATTTATGAGTGTTTATAGCTATAGTTATACAGTTCTATAACGCGATTATATCGTATTATACATATATTTAAAATGCGTTACAGAGATAGTGTCTCCAAACTTTTTATTAAAGTGAAGTTTGTTGAAGTCGTCACTCATTAAAAATGAAAATTAAATTTTTAGAGAAAAAAATCTTATTTTATTTTTTAGTTAAATCGTGAACCCTTAGTGCTCATGTTTGGTTGAACCTCATCTCCGTTCACTCGCTGGTCTCTCTGTTCTTGTTTTCAGCTTGATTTCGTTAGACGTTCATGAAGTTGTGTGATTGCACTGAGAAGACAAATCGATAACTTAGATTAAATTTTGGGCCATTTTGCTTTTTACTTGACAGCTGGAGAGAAACTGAACAGAAACCTTCAGCTGCCTCTGAGCCAAAGCAGCGCCTGACAGCTGACGTTATCAACTGAACCGTATGATTCATCCCCTGGAGACCTAGAATATCAGCAGATTTGATTAAAATGTTCTTTAAAAGTGTTCAAATAAACCACTCTGGATGTAGAGATACACTCAGAACCACAGACTGAAGTGTAAAAGTCCAAAAGTCGACTTTTCATTAAGAACAACACCCTCCCTCAGATCCTGCGTTTCATATCTTTCATAAAACCCGTTTTCGAGTGTTGACGGTGTTTTGCTGTTTGGTCACATGTCCTTCAGCGTCTGATTAAAAAAAAAAAACCTGCCCTGTGTCCTTCTCTCCTTCAGTTTTCTCTCTTTTGTGAAGCTTCGCTCGCCTTCAGCTCCGAGCTGCTCGTGGGAGTCCAGCTCTGATTTGATGCCTTTTATAGAAGACCTGCTGCTTTCTCTCTGCGCCCTTATTTCACAGAAGGATCCTGTGTGAAGAAAAAAAATATAGCAGCTGCGTGATCCTCAAACTTTCAGTCTGAGGTTTAATGAAGAACAACCAGACTTCAAAGGTGGTGTAGTCAGGATCTGAGGAAGTTCCAGTTTTTAGGAGAAATCTTGAATGTAAACTCTACCCCTCCCAACCAGTTTTCCCCTCAGCTCCTCCTCTCCCCTCAAGCCCCGCCCACAAACAGACGCTCCTGCTCGCTCGTATCGTTCCAATTAAATTCAGATATAATGCAGATAAATACTTCAGATCATTACAAATGGGGCCCAGTCAAGGTGAAAGTCAAAAGCATTGGTGCTACTGTAGATGCCAACAGACTACCAGCAAACACAATGTTTGCAGGACTTCTACAACGAGGATAAAGTGACATAGTCCAGGACCCGAGGGAGGACAGAAAGGTTATAGGGTCCAGAAGATCCTGAAGCATCCCTTATCATTGTTGACCCGGCTTTTTAGCTCTTGTCCGGTCTACCTCCGTTTTAAGCGCCCGTTATTCCTCCAGAGTCTCCGGTATTTACTTTGTTTTCTCGCTTGTGTCGGCAGTCGTGGCCAAAGGAGGATTCAGACAATTTTCCGAACTTTCTGGTTGGTTTCTACTGTCCGATATTGTAGCATGCTAACTTTGTTTGGGCTCCTGAACGACACGGGGGAGCAGCGTCTGCCTCACAACCAATCAGGTTAGAGGAGGTGGAGAATAAGGCTGCACAATATTGGAAAAAACTAACATTGCAATTTTTTTCAACCCTGCGATATAAATTGCGATATTAAGAAATACATGAATTTTCAGCAGATAACCTAAATCTGACTTTCTGCTGAAATCTTGAGGACAGTTAACCTGCTCTGATCTTCCCTCTTTTAGTGAATGTTAGTAGAATGACTTCTCTCTGTCTCAGAGATATTTTTAGCTTTTATTGTTCTGGGACGTTATTGTAGAAACAGATGAACACAGAACACGTGTTTTGGTCGACGTCATCCTTCTTGTAACCGAAATAATTCCAGATAACTGACGTTGCTTTTCTTTTTGGCAACAAGTCTTCATTTATGGTGGTTTTCTCGGACAGGCGTTTCTCGGCACGACATCGACAGCTACAGTGACTCACTCCACGTGCAGGGGCGTGGTTTCCTTCTCTCTGATCTTGATTGACAGCTGGCAGGGTAGTCTGATTGGCAACTGAGTAAAGAACGAATGTGATTGGTGGATCGCTGCACAGCACATGCAGAGTCACATGGGGTGTTTCTCAGTCAGCTACCCTTGAAATTAGACGAGTTCATTCGCCTCTGACATCGCAGACGTGACTATGGCGCACACGTACATCGAGATGACGATGCTCAAACGATATATCGTGCAGCTCTAGTTGGAGAATGACTTTGTTTACAGTCAGAAAGAGTGGGCCACTCAAAAATGTTAAAATGTTGACGACACAGACATGAGAGAACACAGCGATATCGTGACATTCCCAAATGACGTCAATAACTAATCGCTTTGGACCGATATGAGAAGATTTTCTGTATAAACACCATAAAAAAAGATGCTTCTTTAACGGTTTCATGCCGACCCCAGAGTTAGATTTTCCCCTTTTTCCTGTTGGGTCTAAACTTTGTGCTGCTGCTGAACGGCTGAAATGACTCGGGGCGGTTTGAAAGAGACAAAGAGAGAAAGTTAGAGTCTGGCTTTAGCTGACACTCTGTGATCGACGACATGGAGCTGCAGACGTCCGGGTGAGTCAGGGGATTGAAGATGCTGAACTGGAATAACCTCCGAGTCTGCAGTGAACTTTACAACAACACACACACACACACACACACACACACACACACACACACACACACACACACACACACACACACACACACACACACACGAGCAGAGCGATCAGAGGTGGACTTCTTCTTCAGTCATTCAGATGGTAATGCCGGGTGTCCATCATCATGAGGGAGTCCTGAGTGGGGGGCTGCTAACTAACCCTGTAGGGAGGGTGGGGTTTGGGTGGAGGGGACTCCTGCAGAGGACTGTGAAAGGAGGATCAGGGAGGATCAGGGAGGATCAGGGAGGGGAGGTGTTGGGGGTCGGGGGTGAGGTGTTTGAGCGTCAGGAGGTGTCGCCTGTCTTTTGTCCTCGCCCTCGTCCTCTTGGTATTCAGATGAGAGACGCCGCTCTGCTCTCTCAGTCCTGAGGATTACGTTTCTTCTTCTTCTTCTTCTTCTTCTTAATTCACGCTCCTAAAGGTAAGACGTTTACTCTGAAATCAGATCATTTAAAGCTGTTTTCATGGAGAAGATCTTGGAGGTAACTTTGGTCTCTGGTCTGGACTCTTCAGGTTTCTCCTCTTCTGCTCCAAACTGTCTGAATAATCCAAACTCCTGACCTGACTGTAGAAACAGAGCCCTGTGAACGTGTTAATGGCGTCTGTAATGAGCTGTGTATCATTCTGTTAGGCTCCATCATTTACTCTAATCACTCTCCGTCCATCGGGGACGGCTTTCATCGGGCTCTGACGGCGTCTTCCTGTTTGCTGTAAAGGATGCACATTAAAAGTGTCACTCTGATGGATCGGGTGGAAAGCGTAGCGTTAAGTTCTGGAGTTTAATCGGAGAAAAAGAACAGCCAGATGTTTGGTAATGAAGCCATTTGCTGGAGCATGAACAGCGTGTTGTTTAGTTCTCTCTGCAGATAAATGATTTCACTGAGTCAATCTGGACTCCCACCGACGCTAATGAGTCAAATTATTCCTGTTTATGCCGCAGACAGAGTGAATCATGTTTCTTTAGATTTGGGCTGTTTTTTCACTGAATTTTGAGTCTAAGTGACGGAAAGCTTCATCATTTTTAATTACTCCAAAACTTTATCAGCTAGAAGAAAGTTTGAACATTTCTTTTGTTAAAGCAAACTGTGAACAAGGACGTCAGGAAATCTGAGAATTAGAGATACACTCAAAAACATATTATTGAAAGAGGTAATTAACTATACAGTTAAATGAGGAGATAAGATGTTTAAGATAATTTACAGCAGCGTATTACAGACATAAAAAGAGAAATTAAACGATAAAAAAAACGTAGAGTTAAGTAAAGAAAAAAGAAAAAGATGATATGAGTCATATAAGGAGGATAGAGACTGAGACGTTTGACCCTGAAGGTCCAGTTTGTTTGGGTGGTGTGAGTAGAAGAGGTGGACCTCTGCATGGTTTGGTTTCAGGGTGAAGAACCGCCTTTATTAGCCTCACATGGACGGAGGTGTGTAGAGAAAACAGTTGGACCCGTGTGCAGTCAGGCTGTAAAGATGTAAAAAGGTGACTCCTGTACTAGCAGACAAAGAGGGGAACGAACTCTTGCATGAGTGGATCAGTGTGCAGAGATGGATGATCAGGATTTCAGGTGTTTTCACACCTGAAAGTCCAAACCTTGGTCTGAACCGAGGTCCGTGTTTTTGTTTCATTTGGTTCAGTCTGTTTCAGTTTCACACTTTCATTATTACAAACAGACTAACAGACTTTCCATGATGAACCAACATGATATCATCATAAACTACGTGCTTCAGTGTCTCTATACTTTACATTGATTGGTCATTAGTCCGGTGGGCGTCTGACGTCAACACGTTAAAAGCGCGGATCTTGAACGGTGTAAACATTGTCATTCCCACTATCATACTATTTTTGATTTTCTACTTCCAACAGTGACGACTTGAAGAGCTGAACATGAGGCTGGTCTGAGGAAGTCTCATGAATTTGATCATTAGATGAAAACTTCATCGACATTGACAGGAAAAGAAAAGAAAGTTTTCAATCCTGTGAGTCATTGTAACACCGACTCAAGAGAGAGGAAAGTGTGTGTCCTAAAACTCTTGAGAAGATAATCTGTCAATATTGAAATATAACTTTATCTTCAATATTATAAAATCTCCCATTATTGGAAAATCTCCATTCAACATAATAACAGACACTTCTACTCCTCGTGTCATTTCCTGTCTTTGGTACGAAGGTCCGAACTTAAAACTAAACTAAACTAAAACTAACCAAACTAAAAATAACGGTTTCACACTGGGCATAAACCAGACTGTGGTTCAGTTTGGTCTGGACCAAGACCACCTTCTTTGGTCGGATCAAGGTCTGGCTGTTTGGTCCAGACCAAGGTCCTGGGGAGGTTTCACACCTATCATTTTGGTTTGGACTAAAGAAAGAAAAGTCCAAAAGTCCGGACCAGACAATGTAGGTGTGAAAGTCTCCTGTAAGCGGAGGGAAAATGCAAACTCACATGACATGATAATGCAGCCGGGGATTGATTTGTTCTGTGCATGCCCAAGTGTTCGCACACTCCGGACTCTTAGCCGGTGGTTTGATGCGTTGCTAGGAAACCAGGTAATAACTAGAACCTCGACAGGTGACAAGGGGCGTTCCCAACAAACTGTGACATCCTGTTAGCCTCTTCCTCTACGTTGAAAAGGAGATTCGCCACCTATCATAGCAGAGGCCGACATCCTTCTGTCAATCATTCGATTCACTCAGTGCATGTAATCTCAGACAGGGACAGTAGTCCAGTTAAAGTAGTCCTATCTGAACCTGCTGAGACTTCTTCAGCTCTTCAAACCGGGTCTGCAGCGGCCCGTTTAGCTCTTTGTTAAACTTTTTTGCATGTCTCCATCATTTGTACCAAACTTCTGCCAAAGTTCAAAAATCCTCCGACCGGCTCTGAAGAAACTTTCCTGCTGATGTCGGGAAAGTGGACCTGAGTCAGTCTGTGGGGTTTGAGCTCCGACTGTAACTGTGGAAAAACACAGATCTGCTTCAAAGCTGCTTTAAGTCCGGGCTCCAGACCCGGGGGAGGACTTGTCATCCTCCCCCGTACATGTCCATCCTGTCTCTGCTTGTCAATCCTGCAGGAGCTGAACTCTGCTCCAGCTCTCTTTAATGTCTGTCTGAGTGACAGCTCGGTCCTGACCGGGCCTCCGGAGTGACAGCTGATGATGGATCAGCTGCAGACCGGCGTGTTGGTGTGAGACGAGGCAGCGGCGCCTGTTAGCTTTGTGGGAGGTTTTGCTGATGTGTTTGCCTGTTTATGTCAGCGGAGTTTGGCGAGCGTTATCAATCAAACGCTTCTGGATTTCATAACAGAGACTCAGCAGACAGCGTGTTTTATAACGCTGACATGATCTTAACGTCAATGTGACTGTCTTTGAGGCACGACGATGAACTAACAGAGTTTGGCTGTTTTAAAGGAGATCCAAACACTGAACAACATTACAACAATTACAGGATCACACACACCCTCAGAATCTCTCACCAGAACCAAAACCTCAATTATTGAAGAAGGAGTGAGGTGCAGAAGAGCAAATGCTCAAAACAGGAGCAGTTAGTCTCTTAAATGATGGTGTGTCCTCACCAAGAGGTCCAGTCTGGATCTGAATGAAAAGCAGGATCCAGGTTCGGCTAAAAGAAAGAAACAGTTTTATTCTGTATCCTGCAGAAATCACTGCATGGGTTTAAAAACACTTTCAAAGTGAGCACAGCTAAAACTGAAGCGTGCAAAGAGGAAACAGGATAGAAACCTGATCTAGAAACGCCAGAGTCCATTTCAGATGGACTGAAGACTGTCCTGAACCAAAATATGACCTTCTTTTTGGAAATCATGGACACCACATCTTTACATCTAGAGCAGGGGTGGGAGATTAATTTTTATCTGGGGCCACATGAGAAACCTGAACTGTGTTGGAGGGGCGAACCAACAATAACTTCAACTTCAAATTAGGGGGTGGGGGGTGTCACACATAGCCCAAAAAAGCGCACCCTGGACTCATGAGTTTTACAAGCGACTTCTGATAGAAACAAGCCTAAAGTCGTTTATAATAAGTGCACTTGGCATCTATGAGGTAGCAGATCTAGGATGTACGCATGTGTGTCCAAACAGATTAAAACAACAGCTAGGTTTTCAAAATAAGAGCAACACACTTGTATAACATGTTGATGATTTGATTGACGGACCTCACAAAGGGCTGGCAGGGACATCCGAAGGTCCGGATGGGTCAGGGGTCATCAGAGTTCATGTCATGTGAAGACTCTTTAAATAATGAACAAGAAAACTTTCTGATTATTTTTGTTCTTCTTTAACATCTACCCGTCGTTACAGTTATTTTTCTCATTTTACTTTATTTCTTCCCCTCATTTTTTTCTCCTCTCCTTATCTCCCCTCTGTTGTCCTCTCCTGTTAGCTCCTCCTTTTTAACTACTTTTTCCCCTTCTTTATTCTCCTCCTCTTTACACTGTTTTTGTCTCCTCCTTTTTTCTTCTCCTTTTTTCCCTCCTTATTTTCTCCTTCTTCCCCCCCCTTCTCTTTCCTCCTCCTCCTGTTATCGGACAGGACGTCGCCCTGAGGCGGCTGTAGGCTCCTTTCCTCGCTCACCGCCTCAAACTTTGAAGATTGCTCCAAAAATCCTCTCCGCTGTCTCTCTGATTCCTCTGAAAACCTCGTCAGAGTCGTTTCTTTTCTGTGGTTTCTGCTCACATGACTTCAGGTCACGCACAGAGAAGAAGCTGCTGTCCCATCGATGTAAAATCAAGATCCTCTCTGTTATTCTGGTTTGAGTAGGATGAGACATTTTCAGACATGCACAGCTGAGTTTTAGGTTGTTTGCACCACCTGTAATCCTGTTTTTCACCTTTTTTTTCTGCCTCTATTCCTCTTATTTTTTTATTTTCCTTCTTTGTACTTTACTTTTTCCTTTTCCATCTTTGTCTGGTTTTAAACAAGACGTTCAAAAAGAAGAATTCCAGTTTTTCAGATCATGAATTTGTACCTCCCATGAACCTCATGGATGTTTTTTAATCCCATTTGAGCAGAAACCGTGGGTGTGTTTGTGACAAATCGGAGCGCAGAGGCAGAGCGGAGCACGCCGTGGCAGAAAGGATGCTGAGTCAGGGTGGAGAAGTGACAGGAGGCACCGAGAGGAAGAGCGAGAGACGGAGAGAGAGAGAGAGACTGTTGAATATTTCAGGAGGGTTGAGTGAGGCAGCGGCTCTCAGTGGGTGTTCTCCCTCGCTCAGCGTCTTCAGGATGACGATGATCTCAGCATGTGGAGTTACACTGAAGATCATCTTCCTCTGAAAATGAGAAACCAGGAAGTCATGCGCCGTCATAACCTCCTAACTGTGAAACATACACGCTCAGACGTGGCGGTAATCATAATTTTAGAGATGTAACACGCAGCTCGCTGAATACTGGGGAGAGAAAAAGAGAAAAAACTGGTGCAGATGAAGAAAACAGGTGCAGAGATTAGACGATGAAACAAAAGTACGTTTTTAAAATCTGATTCAAACTTAAGAGGCGTGTACAGGAGAGGGATGCATCTGAACAATCACAGAATCTGCTGCAAACACAGAAAGGTCGGTTTTATCGGTGCACATGTTTTTCACGCCGTAGATGCACATGTAATCATTTTCTGGAGCTGAGTGTCAAAGGAGTGAAGAGTCTTCATCAACAACAAACAAGCAAAATGTGTGAACCCCAGATCAGGTCTCCTCCTGGGGCCAAAGCAGCAACAGGGGGACACTTTTTCAAACGCCCGTTTTGGTCCCCTGCAGTTTTTACCGTCTGAAAATCTACCAACTGATGTCAGGCACTAGGACCAAACGGCAGCTCAAGCTGAAAACTGGTTTCCTTTAGTTTGGACCGCCCACAAGGTCCTTGATTGGCTCTGCCACAGGGCTGCTTTTTGTGCGTGATTGGCTATCCCTGCTGTCAATCATTCCACGCCCGTCAGACTAGTGTTTTGCAAGTTGCTGGTAAGAGTCAGTCCATGAACGTCGCCATTCACCGATGTAAGTTCATTTATCGGAGGTTTCGTTTACATCCCTGTATCGGTTTGTACTTCCATCCATCCTCTGTTACTGTGTGTGAGAGATGTGCTGTTTGCTAGGCTATACGTCTCAATCGTACTCAAGTCACATGTTCCCTCCACTTTTGAAATCAAAATTATATCCACGAGTTCATGCAGCTTTGGGGACGAATTACAGCGTCTTAAATATGAAGTATGATGCAGATAGAACAGATTCTGTACGGCGGTGGTTCATAGTTTGTCTCTCAGGCTGTAAAAATCTCCACTTCTGGCTTCAGTACCAGAGGGTGAAGCTGCAGTGACGTCCCGTTTCCCTGCTGCACTTGAACACACCGTATTAATGTACATGGAGGGTCTCTCAGCGGCTGATGTGACCCCCTCTCCAAACGCAGACCTGAACGTACGAGTGTTCTCCTCTTTATGTTTTTATAGCTCTGTGTGTGGGCTGTCAGGCCTCCAGTGTGCACACACACATCTCTACCTTTGCTCCTACACATGATGCTGTGTGTGTGTGTGTGTGTGTGTCACGATGAGAGGTGTGTATAACCGGGGTGTGATGTGGTTCTGATTCGTGACTCTTATCTCTCCTCCGCCTGTTTGTCTCTCCACTGAAGCGTCCTTGTTATCTCCGTCGTGTCCACAGAAGACGTCGTCTCAATCTGGAAGCAACTCGCAGTTAATGAAGCAAACCAAACCGGGCGTGGGGCCAGGAAAGGCCGCCGCTCGCTCTTGTTAAAGCTAACAGGATCGCTCTGCTGGTAGCAGAACAGAGAGAGGAGAAAAAAAAGGGTAAACATTGAGATAAGTGTTTTTAAAAGGAGGATAATGTTTGATACGTTTTTATTCCAGTGGAAAAGTTCTTAAAAATGATGCTCTGTTGATGCTCATAAATAATGCAGCAGCCGTTTAGCCGACGCTCCTGAACTCAGCGCTCTTTATTATCCGTGTGTTTGCAGAGATGCTGCAGAAGATGATCCACTCACTCTCATCTGAGTCTCTGTTTCTGATGTTTGTATCGATTTCTACGTGAATTTGACTCTCAGATGATTTTTGAAGAGTCTGCAAACAGCCGAACGCTCGATGAAACACGACCAGGAGATTAAACGTGTTAAAAGTTACCCTCCAGATATTTACCAGATTTTATCTGAGAGACGAGAAAGAAGAAAACAAAGTTAGAGTCTCAGTGTGAAGAAACGAGGGAGGCATTATGGGAAATGGAGTGAAAATTCATCTTTTCTTATTGGACCCAAATGTCAGTTTGAGTTTCAAAGCGTCTCTCTGAGTGTCTTTTAAAAACGATCCTCCAGCAGCCGGATCAGAGTTTCAGGAGACCTGCTGACCTGAAGAGTCTGTTTGAGAGGACACAGACTTTCTGGGGGTGAAGGATGAACTCTTAACTTCTATCTAACGAAGGTTTATTCTATATATTCACAGGCAGGGATCGTCTGTGTTTAGATAAACGCCAACATGAGTCCAGCAGAGTCCTGAGGGTTAAAGGTTGTCCCTACAGTCAATGTTGGAGCGTTTTCATGAATGAGAGACTGCGACAAACCAAACGAACACCTGCTGGGATCCTCTTCTCATGATTTATCCTATTCTAAAGGGCAACTGGACTCCAGACATCTTCTCACAATTTTTTCAAAGTCATTCGTTATGAGGGAGGTAAAGTTATGCCGACACAGCAGGTCCTGGTATAAATCTAGGGCTGCACAATAAATCTGTTTTAAGATGTAATCAGATTATTTAATTATGACGATGTTAAAAAAATTAAAATTGTCAAATCCATTTTCCTCTCTATCATGTCTCGCACCTCCAGGCCACCGTAGGCTCCCCCTTCCCCCTCATTTCGTGGTTAAATAGGACAAGAGCGAGTCAGTCGTGTTGAATTGGTACGACTTCACAGTTTCAGATGAAGAGTAAACCACTCCCCGCTGCAAAGTCTGTCTGAAGGTGGTATCAACCCGTCACCACGGAAACGAATTCAGGAGTTCATGTTCTTTTCTACGTCTTTTCTTTCACGTCTTGTTTATCTCAATACCGACCAGTTTCCAGGACTAAACTCCAGAGCAGAGTTCTTCATCCAGTTTCAGTCCAACTAGTTTTTATACCTGAAAGAAAACGGGTCCCTGACGACAGACATGATCGGTTTGATTTCAGTCAGGCTGATGTGTTTACGAGTGTTTGAAAGAGGACTGAGGGAACGATCGACCGATAAACATCCTGAGAAACAGATAAATGTTGGGAACTTGAGCTGAGTGTTTCTCTCTTATCAGAAGTTTAATTCAATGCAGAGAAATATTGTGGGATGATATGATCCTCTCAAAGATCCAGACAGACACTCGTTCGCTCGTTACTCAAAGTTTCCTCTGACAGATTTCTGTCCTCGTTTTTTCTTCTTCGTTTCTCTGAAAATGTAGATGAGAGTCAGCCGAGGTGAAGCGTCTGTGATTACAGACGAACCGTCACACTGTGATGTTAGAGTCACACATCAGCGTGGAGGTGACACACTCTCAAAAGTGTGTGTGTGTGTGTGTGTGCACAGGCTGAACACACAGTCAGGATGTAAACAAGCTGCTGTGACATTTACACACAGATTAACCTCGTCAGTCAGGGGAAGTCACGCCGTAACAACGGGTCCTGACCGCCGTTAGAGGACGAACATTTTCAGAAGATAAAACGCTACAGCGTTAAAACCGCATCACAGCCGAAGAGGTTTGACTGTTAGAGGTTCAGACGATCTTCAGGAGGTTAAACTTCTGTTTGTCTGTGTCCGTGACGGCTGATAAAAGGAGGCAGAAACTGAAGGAAAATGCCAAATGAGATCTTTGGACGCTGAACTGTCAAAATCTGGGCGTTGGTCTGCGGCGGGACAGAACAGGAAACACCAGAAGATCTTATTATTTTGGGGCATCCTCCGTACTTGTAACTTCATTTCTGAGATTCAAGGATTAAATAAGTGATCCATTCCAGGATCGTTCAGCCCTGCTACTGATTTATTCATTTTTTTACAACAATTATAAGATATGAAGAAATAAAAAAGCAGCTCAGGACATTTGGAGTCATGTGACCCCAGTTTTGGACCAATAGGGTCCCCTGTACGTAAAACACTTAGTCCTGTTCAAATAAACAAATGAAATACTGTTACATATGTCTGTATGCTAAAATTGAACAACATGAATTCAAGCGTTTTATAAATCTGCATCATCAGGGAGTCACAGCCGACATGAAATGAAGTTTCTGGAAAATTAATCATTAAAAAGTTTCTTCGCTCAGACAAATAAATGTAAATAATCCTGCAGAGAAAGTCGTGACGGTTTAATGGCGTGAAAATCTGCTTCAGTTTTGGTCTGAATTCAACGCAGCAGGTGTGAGTTCCTGACGCAGAGGTCATGTGACATCTGCGGCGAACAATGAGGCTCACACTGACTTTAAAACTGTCTTCGATAAACTTTTATGGCCGCACATTTAACACCACTTCTATCTCCAGAATCTGACTCTCCCTTTATTCCGCCGTTTTCCAGCAGATGTTTCGCACATCTGTCCGGAGTTCCTCTGCCAGCTTTGAGAAGGTTTTAGGGATCTGGATCTGCTCCAAAGGGGCCAGATAAGCGGATCTCGGGCCAACGTTGGCGCCGGATCTGCATCGGTCGTGAACTTCAGGGTTTTTTCATGTCGTAAATCTGGCGTGATGGTTAACAGCTGTCGCGCTGAAGCGGTCTGGGCTTCCTGGCGTGTTTTTGATGATTGTTTTAGTGTTTTGATCGTGTTTTCTGCGGCGGCGTGGACTCTGGGCGCTCGGGTTTAGTTTTAATTATTTCGCCTCTCTGGTGATAATTTTGCCCCCCGTCTGTTTTAAAAATGGATTTCTCTTGTTTTTAATTGTGTTTCCTGTTTTTATTTCCAGCTCCTGCTTTCTTTGGCGCTTTTGTTTATATCTGCTCCATGTTTTTCTGGAGATGTGGGTTCCCCCTGTAGATGTGAAGTGGGTGTGGAGGTGTTATCCAAAGAGAGAGAGAGAGATGATCACGATGCATGTAAACAAAATTAACTCCGACCAAAATATGAAATTGAAAGAAAAACATTTGGAGCGAAACTCTTCAGGTCAGAGAAAACCAAACGGGAGTCTCTGAATCTGTTTCAGTCGGTGAGTCCTGGGTGTGTACGGAGGTGGAGCATGGCGGCGGGCGTAGCGGGGATGTGTCGTTGTTGTAGCCGGGGTTTCTGGGAGCTGAGGTGGGGTAATGATGCGTGGAGCGATGCTATGATAACCTCATTATTCTGCAGAGTCTGCCAGCAGAGAGGGCGAGTCGATGGGTTAATCGTGCAGAAAGAGAGAGAGAGAGAGAGTGTGTGTGTGTGTGTGTGTGTTCAGTTTTATTCACATTTCTGCTCTTTGCTGGTGTTAAATTTGTGCTTCTTTATGAAAATTGAGCTCAGTGTTAGTTCAGGCAGGCTGTGAAGTGAAGCTCCACCCACAGTACATCAGCTGATCTTACACCAGCTCATACCAGCTGATGTCTCCTCCTCCTTCCCATAGACTGTAAATGGAATGGACGCCGTCTGCCTCCTCGCTGGGTGAAGCCACCATGAGAACAGCACCCTCTGGTGACGGGCTGCAGTATCGGTCATAAACCCCGCCTCCTCCAGCTATCCCTATGGAGCTGTGGACAAACTTTATAAATGAATGACTCAGAATATAAATGTTTCTCCCTCCTGGTTGTGATGTTGACATGTAGTTACTGTCAGACTGGTTTGTGCTCAAGTCCTCTTTTTTCTGTTCAGCTCCATTTTTAAAAGTTATTAGGGGGTTCGTGTTTTCTATGATTGACACCTGATACAGCCTATGGGTGTACAGAGTGAAGTAACTCCTGCTGAATACGTACAACGCTACTGCGCAAGTGGTGGTTCCAGGAAGTGGAGAAAATTAGAAAATACGGAGAGCAATTCGGCTTCAAATTCGTATAATGGCAGGAGGCGGAGCCAAGTTGTTCGCAGTATATACAGTCTATGCTCCTTCCTCCTCGAACCACCTCCACCACAGCTCCTCTAACTGGTGTCACGTGTATTTTCACGGACGCCGGTTTTAGCTGCTGCTCCACCTGCCTCAGCTTTTCATGTATGAGAAACATAAAGGAGGTTTTTTTGAGGACAAACCTGATGAAGCTCGACGTTTTAGTTTTTAATAATCTGCATCTAAACTCATTTTACTCTGAAGGTCACGAGGAGGTGTCAGTGTAAGAGTCTCAGAGGTCCAGATCTCCATTTAGGGTCATTATATGGATGGGTATCTGAAGTGCCCTCCTTAAACTGTGTCCACAGATTTCTCTAAACCTGAACCGAGTCTTTAGTTTGTTAAGTTTTGCTGCTTTAAAAGCTGCAGTTTCTGTCTCAGCTTTTGTTTTTAGAGATACTGACTTTATTGGAAACAAACGATGCAGACACTCACATCTCTTCCCCTGATGTGGTCGACAAAATCGCAGTTTTTTACAACATACCCTGAAAAGAGAAAGCAGCAGCTGTCTGTGGAGGTCAAACCATCTTCCTGTCACTTCCGTTCAGCGGTGACATTTCCTGATCGTAAATGGTTCCTCTGACAGGAAACGCCACTTTCAAACCGGCGGACTGCTTCTGTAAAACGTGGAGACGTTTCAGCGATAATCCCACCTGAGAGAACTGAGAGAACAAGAGGATCAACCCCCCTCCTCTTCCTCCTCTTCCTCCTCCTCGTCTTCCTCCTCTGTATGCCAGGCAGGAGAAAAAGTGTAGTTAAAGCTTTTAACCCCACTCGACCCCGACTCTGCTCCCCTCCACCTACAGCTGAAGATGAATCCCTCCCCGAGTCCCCAAACTCATCTCCAAATCTTTCTCATCTCAGCTCCTCCTCCTCCTCCTCCTCCTCCTCCTCCTCCTCCAGCTCTTCAGTCTGAGATCCTCTCGGCTGTTTGGGGAATTTCAGAATTCAAAACTTGGATTCACACCAAACTTTTAACTCACTTTCCCACCAAACCGCAGCTCAACGCTCCAACCTGTTGGTCCAGGTGAGAAGAGAGGAGAGAGGAGTTAATCCGAGTAAACTTCTCCAGGATCTGAAATCTGGATCTGTTCCTCTGGAGTCGCTCTAAATCCTCGCCTACGTTTTATTTCACACCTTAGTCCCTCGATATCTGATTCGGCGTTTGAATACCTGATAGGAGCAGAAGTTTTGAGATGTTTCTCAGTTTGCAGAAGTGAAACAGACTCGATGGTTCGATTGTTGTTCATCATCACACCTGAACTGGAGGGTCTTGGTTCTCTACGAGTTCAGGTTCATTTGAAGTGTGATCAACTTATTAATCGAAGGCAGGACACGCTGTAAAGCCCAGTGCATCATGGGTGACAATACCTCCAAAAGCAAGATATCGAGACGCCTGTTCAAACCTACATGTGGTCATGTCATCATCTCATCCTGCAGTAATGAAAACATTTACAGATAACGAGATTTGCGTCAATAACCAACGTCATTTTGTCCATATTGGTATATTTGGTGTCCAAGAAACGAGCAAAACGAAGCGAAACGTGTGCCCCCAAGATCTGGGCTGCAACTTTCCCGACGCAGCGAAGGTTTCCTGTTTTTTACTGAGAATGTTGAAATGAAAATCTGTCCTGATTTGTGAGATTTATCACGTTTTTAAAGCTCATGGCTTCAGTAAGTTTATAAGTTTAGTTCATACAGCTTTGTTTGGCCAGGTGGGGATGGGTTAGAGCATCTGAGGTAGGGCTGGGTGATAAACCAAAAATTTACTGATACTGACATTTACGACAGTAACTGACGTCATTTTGCCCAAATCGGTTTATTCGGGGTCAAAAACTAATAAATAAATCAAAGTTGTTTTTGGATGTGTGTAGGTAGGCTATGGTCTCATATCAGAGACGTGACTCCACCCCATCCAGTCTGTAACAAAGAGGTAAAGACAGGTGAGGAGATGGAGGACGGTTCAAAAGTTGTAGCGGCTGAAGTAGACGAAGTTAATGTGGGAGGGGGTGAGCAGCTTGTGGAGTAGTTATCATCCATTTATCGTTATCGAGGTGAACTGATCAATATGTCGTGATATTGATTTGAGGACATATCGCCCAGCCCTAATCTAAACCAAGAATCCCGTCTCCTTTAGGAATCACCTCACGACCCTCAGATTACTGAGTAGATGTAGATGAGACGACTCCTCCTGCAGAGACAGAAACGACTCTCTCTCTCTCTCTCTCTCTCTCTCTCTCTCTCATCAGGCCTTATAAGGAGTTGATGATCACCTCCTTCCTCCTCCTTCCTCCTCCCCCTGTAATGACTGCTGTTGTTTCACACTACCATCCAATCTGGCGCTCATCCTGCAGCCATCAGAGAGCTGTTAGCACACAAATGACAGCGGCTCTCCAGCTAACAGTGGCAGTAAAAACAGACCTGGACCTCCTGCAGGTCTCCCCCCCCTCCCCCGTCCTCACACCCTCTTTGTTGTGGGTTCAGATCAGATCAGACTGGCAGTGGCGTGCGTGAGGAGAGTATGTCACAGACTCGGGCCCAGATCGGGCTCAGGGGCAGAGTTTTGTGGGGTTTATGACAGGCGTCACGTCGCTCCCTCCGCTGTGCTCGGCTGCAGAGATGAGCCGCCATCTGGACGGAGCACAGCGAGCGCCGGGGAGGTCGAAATAAAGACGACGCTTTCTTTTTGTGAAGCTCTGAATCCTCTGCTCTCGCTCCTTGTCCCCTCAGAGCCACATTTACTGTCACCTTTCCCAGAAGTCTGGAGTTAGGAGCCCCTGGGGATGAAACGCTGCACCAAACCCACGCTACAGTGTCATTCCTCCCAAGTGTGAAACCGACCGTGTGTACTCCAGCTTCAGAGAGAATATTTCATCAGAAAAATGACGTTTTTGGTGTTTTTATTTAGTACTTTTCTTCTTTCTGTTGGTGGTCCATTTAAACCTTTTCATACTAGAGAAACCACAAAAGATTACTTTGGTAATCGTCTAGTCAATGATCATTTTTGCAAATACTCGACTAATCGGATAATTTAATGATCAATATAATGAAATCAATATAACCATCATTAGCTCCCAGCATGTTTTTATGGGATGTGTTTCCTTTTCAGATACTCGTGCATCGTTGTTGTGCTGTCGTAAAGGCCCGTTCTGTCTCGCAGATTTAAGATTGCACATCCTTCTTCTTTATTTTGGAAAAATTCTCCCAAACTTTTGAGTTAGCTATGATTCTGTTTAGGCATGACTGACCCGGATTACCACTACTGCACATGTGCGTCAAGGATGGTCTGTGTACTTGGTGGCAAACAGATTTTCATTTTCAAATGAAAAAATAAAAATGAGGAGATGAGCGGTCTCACGACGTCCGGTAAGGAATCAGAGATGAACAATGGAAAACAAACTGTTTTTCATTTTCCATTTTGATCATAAAATTCAGAGAATGAAAAAAACAACTCAGTATTTGTTTCGCTAAATGGGCTGCTACAGCCCACTGGTGTATGTAGTCTTATATATATCTGTGCTAAGTAGAGCCAAAGTCTCGCTCCTAGTCATGACTTCCGGGTCACGACACGAAAAGTGAACAAAACTTTTAACACAAGATTTCCGCGAACATATTCTGATCTTCGATTTTCATTTAAAGCAACATCACAGAAAATCAAATACTGAGATGTTTTTTCATTCTCTGTATTAAAGGAACAAAAAACGGAAAACAAACCGTTTCCGTTTTTTGTTTCTTGATTCCTTACTGGTGGTTGGGAAACAGCTCATCTCCTGATTTTTGAAAATCTGTTGGCCGCCAAGTACACAGACCAAGGACAGTCGGAGACAAGTGAGACAAGACAGCGGAAGATGATGATGATTATTAAGTTATTCACAGATGATTTTGATATTTGATGTCGTTGTGACTAGTCCACTAATCTTGGCAGATGTTGGCCTACTTCAAACCAAAACCGGCAAATTGATCTGCCCACGCTCCACAGGTCGCACACAGGACTTTGAACCAGAAGTTTAACAGCAGAAATTCATCAAAGCCAAACCTTAACAGAAGAAGAAAAAATAGAAGGGAAGTAGATAAAGATGAAGACGTCATGTTTTCTGTTCAGTTGTCTGAGTTTTCACTCTCTCCCCATGAAAGCTTCTTACTAACTTCAGTTTTTTGCCACAGTGTCAACAGGCAGAGATTCAGCTATGATCTCTGTGATCAGGTTGTCTCTGTTGGACCGATAATGATTTGACTCAGTCGGGTAACGATTTCAGTCGTGTCTTCTTTCATTTGAAGCATTTGAAGAATTACATGTATTACCTTAAGAGTGCAAAGTTAAATGGTTAGTTTCATCAAGTTCATCTGTGCCTGAGTTTGCTGGTTGATGCAGGTTTTAGTTTAATTTGACGTCTGCAGAGACAAAGTGTATTTTAAAGGACAGAAACAGTGAGTTTGAAGCTGAGCTGTTTCTCTCTGTTGTTTGTTGGAGTCACTCCAGCATTAATCTCCATTTCCCTCCTTGTTATTTTGAACGTAACCGTCTTAAAAACCCTCTCTACATCTGTCACCTCTTACCTGTGTTTTTTTATTCATTTCCTCACAGATTGGATTTGGTTTCCAGCCTCCCGTCGGAGTCGTTGATTGAGCAGATTCTCCGTCACAGTTTTTCACTCTGGGATTTTCATCTGCCAAATCTGGTGAGCACAAACATCCCTCCTCGTGCTTCAAATGTTACACTTTCTCTCTGCACTCCTTTTCCTCCGGCTCAGTGAATGTGTGTGTGTGAGTGTGTGTGTGTGGGAGCGTGAGGAGGTGTTATTGTCAGGGTGGAAAATGACTCCTGCAAAAAGCGGGACACAAACAGGTATGAGTTCGTGTCTGGGACTGCAGATCTGCACAGGAGGAGCGATTTGAGGAGCAGAGATGATGCACAGAGGCGTCATGTTCTGGGATGGGTTGTTTTGGCTCTTTGTTGCTGATTTCTTTGGGTTCACTCTGGTGTGACTGGTTTTATAATGATTCTGTTGCCTTGTTTTGTGAGACATGAGATGCAGAAAACAGGATTTCAGCGCCGTAGTGTTGGCGTGCGAGCATGAAGAACTGCTGCTTTCAAAAACCGGGGGCCTGTTCTGGCATATTTTTGGGTTTTAAAAAAGTTTAGTATTTTCTTGAGCTGACTTCTTAAACTGGGAGCTGTGAAACGGGCTGTAATGTGGATTCTCATTGAGCCAAATGCCTCTTATTGACAGAAATGGACTGAAAGTTGTTTTTGTCACTCGTTGGTGAAGATTGGAGGTCGTTTCATGCCACAAAGTCTGATTTTGCTTATTTCGCCAAAGCCAGCTGGAAGCTACCTCAGCGATTCAGGCAGGAAGTGTGTTGGCCTGTTTGAGCGGCTCCTTTCACGGGAAGACAAACTGGAAATTAAATGGACATTTGGACTTGGACAGAAATATCATGAGCTGAAGTCTGCCTCGTCTTTATCTGCTATAATGCCTGAAAAACATGACAGAAATCACCTCGAGGATGTTTTTCAAAACAAAAACCAAATCCATCATTTCTGCTGCGAGACTCCTCCTTTTAACTTTTATTTTGAAGTTGCATCACAGACAGATGTACAGAAACATGCACAGCTGCAGGTTAGATACTGTGTGTTCTTTTTTTTAATTAGGGATAATGCACATCAATCGAAATTTCAGCAGTATACATCAGTGTTTATATGCCAGGATTTGCACAAAAGCTAAATTTCATCCACTCTGACGCAGAAATCAATTGTTACCATCGCTACCCAAACCATCCAGGTAACCCGATTTGTACTGGGCATGTGCGAAACGTACGTCACTTCCTCTACTAGCCGTCTTTGCGACAGCTCAGCAATTCTTCGCCCGTGGTGGTTTGCAACAGCTTCGACATCAGGGAGCTCGCTTCAGTCAGAATTGATGCTTAAGTTTATCACCAACTACATACTCGTCTCCTGAATGGAGTGTTAAAGTAGAGTGCCAGAAGGTCAAGAGAATGGCGCCCAGATTCACGATTTAAGGTTCCTACTAATTGCAACGTAGTTCCAAAACTCTTGACTGAATGTGAATATTTCATTGTTGAAATCTTAATGCTGTATAAAAACGCTGAATCTTATTGTCCATAATGTGTCGACTTCTTGTTAATAAATCCCCCCTTGATACTTTGAAGAGTCAGAGAACCACCATTTTGACCAGGTGGTGGCGCTCTCTGTAGCCCAAAAGATCTCACCGTGCTGGGCAGGAGCTCTGGCGAAGTCCTCCGCATTAGCTCCGGAGCCTCCTGCTAGCTAGTCTGTCACATCGCCAGCCGTAAATTTGCACTAGTGCAGTACGTATCGGGTTGGTTGCAATAGTAACGACTGTCGTAAAATGCGTTGAAGCACGAGGAGAGGAAATGACGTACGTTTCGCACATGTGCAGTATGAATTGGGTTTCCGGGACAGATCGGGTAGCGACAGTTACAAAGCATAGACATATTCACCAGAAAACAACACAAATACAGATTTACACACAAACTGTACTGATCTGGGTTCAAACGCAGCCTGATTTAAAAGTTCTTCTTCGTTTTCTTATTTAAAGTCTGAGACACGTCTTTAAACTCCTTTATTAGGCAGGAGCATGTGCATTTCTAAACTCCATTAAGTTTCACAGTGAAGCTGCATCTGTCTCCTGAACGTCCTCAGATCTTTGGTTTGTTTGTTAATTTTGAATAAGTGCATATTAAACTTTTTATATGTGTCTATAAACCGCAAGAAAAGAGCCTTTTCTGTGCACATCTGTGAACTTGTGAAACAAACAGATTCAGACCCGAGCATGTCCTGAAAATGTCAGGCCCTGATTATCTGAAACTTTCTTGAGTTCAAACATGCAGAAGTGGATAAATTCATGCAGTTCTGTGTCTTTTCCACACAGAGAAGATGACATGTATTTCTGCTTGTGTAGAGAAGAAGCTGCAGATGTGAAAACTTGATGTTTTGTTGGGTTCGTCTTCTGATCAACAGCAGCACACCAGGCTGTAATTTTCCGAGTGGGAATCACTTTCTAACCGGAGGCAGAGGACCTCGAATCCAATCACAGCAGGCGGGGAATTGAGCTTCTGTTCTTCTCAGTAGATTGCTTTGTTTCCTGCTCCCTTAACACATGTGCATCGCACTAAATTAGCCCTCAATTGATTCAAAAACAGCAACCTACACACGGTCGATGGGGGACCAGCTGCATGCTTCGCAGGTGATCTCATGCACGCTGCACAAGTGCGTGAAAAAGCGGCGTTTTCCGGGAGCTCTGGGACTCGGTTTGAGTCATGGAAACAGACGGAGTATGAGGCGATGTTTTCATCCTGAGGAGATAAAGCAGCTTCGTCGGCTGATCCCTCCTCCTCCTCCTCTTCCTCAGCCGCTGCAGATTATTTAGAGTTTGGGAATAAACGGCCTTAGAAGAACAGGAGGATCCACCGGCGTGCTGTCAGCGCCATCACAAGACGTAAAACCACCTAATAAAGAAGCTCAGACCGTGTTCCTGTGTCCCAGAATACCCAGAATACTCAGCTCCTGCTGTAGGTGGTTTCTGCAGATGTTTTTAATCCACCTGGAAACCAGAACAGCTGACAAGTGTCTATGTCATGTTTATCTTCCACATCTGTAAAGGCTCCATTACCCCCAATTTCCACCGCATCTGGATTGTCTCTGATCCAGAATGGCTGCAATTTTCGCCGTCTGCCAATTCCTACCAGATCCGTTGGTGAGGCAAATTTTGTGGTGGATTACAGACATCGGGAATCGTGAGAACTCAGAAAAACCCGCAGATTCACATGCAATTCGCGATAACAAGTTGTCTTTAGCAACAGAGGCTAACCATATAAGCAGTGAACTGTGTCCTTCCAGAGGAGGAAATCTACTGCTAGACTTCTAGTATCAGGATCCATTGTGTCATCGGGATGAAATGACATCTATGAACCTGTTACTTGTTCGTCTCCGCCCGTTTGCATGGTGTGAAATACGATCCTCCTGAAACACGGAGTGTTTTATTTTGAAAAGAAGCCGGATGTTTTATTTTGTGTCTGTGCCCGACTTCCTTTCCAGCACGGGTTAATCTGTGCTGAATTTATCCGCCATGCTACGGCGTCCGGGAAAAATAGAACTCTTGCGATCAGCTGTGGAGTCCGGCGATCCGCAGAGGAACGGAATGAAGTTGGTGGAAATTGACACAATGACTTGATTAAATATGATCAGCTACGATCGGAGGATACAGCCTTTTTGTAGCCGGTCAGGATGCAGTGGAAATTGGGGGCCAGTGCTGAAAGATATCTGTATTTGGAGTCACCGCATGGTCTTAATATTCCTTGTCCAGTGAGGTCTGATGAATCAAAATCTGACACTCTTTAAGAAAGGACGACTGGACTTACTTGAGATGTTTCGCTTTAGGCGAAACGTCTCAAGTAAGTCCAGTCGTCCTTTCAACGTAGAACTGTAAATCATAGATGCTGCATCCTCAGATTTAAAGAGTTCCACATCCATCCTCCCTGATGGTGTGGGGATCATCAGAGTCCATGTCATGGGTATCTTCCACATCTCTGAAGGCTCCATTTGTCTGCCTGTTGTTGCTCTGATGGTGGTTTTATGGTGATGATGTCGTTGACTGACTGATCGTCTAGCTCTCTCACGCTGCGACACTGTTTGCTCAAAGTCCTTCTCTGTTTACTCTCAGACTCGTCGTCACTTTAACCTTGTGCTTTTTTATTTCTTTTTGAATTGATAGTTGGAGGAGCGCGCTCATAAATCAGACTCAAACATCCTGTCCTCAAACTGTCGGGCCGCTCCTCATGCGTCCTGTAAAAACAGCGATAACAGGGATCGCTCTCCGCTCCTTTACCCCAGCTTTACTCAGGTATTCATGGGTAATATTACATATATTGATTATTCAAATGCTACATAATAAATCAGACCCCAAAGAGGACCTCTGTGTGTGTGTGTGTGTGTGTCCTGTGGTTAAATCAGCCTAACCCTGGACCTGCTGTGTGCTGAAAAGTGAGTCCTCTGACTGATTGATGAGCTCGGCTCTCGGCTGCAGATGACCTGCAAGAGTTGTAATGAGCTGGACAAGGTGATTGACGCACACACACACACACACACACACACACATGCAACAAAGTATCCCCCCCCCCTCTGCTGTTCCCAGACGAGTCGACCTGTCGTGACCTCAGGGCACTCACCCACAATACCTCGCTCTCCCACTCCTAATCTCTTGACCCCTGACCCCCTTCCCCTGCTCTCAGGATCTGATTGGATAGATAACAGCCACCAGAGGTCACATGATTTGCTGATAGGGTCGTCTGGGCCTCTGGGAGGCCGGTGGATTGGTGTTTAATTAGTCAGCGTTCCCAGGAGAGGGGCCGCTGTTTGGTCCTGAGGGGTTTAGAGGTCAGATAAAGTCCTAAATTAGAGACTGACTAAACATTTACTCAGTTATACCTAATGAGTGTGCATGTAGGTGCGCCTGTTCTGGACCCATCACTTGACCACAATTACAATTATTGACCCGCTGTACAAATAATATTGATTAGAAACATTTCAGGCATTAAAACTTTAAACTGGAGGTAAAATTGACGAAATTCCATCAGTGTTTCTGCAGCAGTGTGACGGAGAGAAAAAAGGCCAATTTTCAGATTCAGATTCAGATTCAGACCACTTTATTAATCACCTAAGGGCAATTTATTTCATAGTAACCCACCTTGTTATTAGACGATCAAGGAACAGACAAATGGTGGACATTTACAGCAGCGCATGACCCAAACATTCCCCTGTCAGCGCCACAAATCAGCAGTAAATAAATAAATAGATAATAAATACATAAGCTGTATGTTCAACAGTGAAATGACTTAAACGCAATAAGAAATAATATGATAAAAGAAGTGAAATAAGAACTGAAACAAACCTGAGACCCTGATTTCAACACAGGCCACCAAACAGCTACTTCCAGCATTTATCAGCAGAGATAGTCAACACTATCACTCTCTCTCTCTCGTTTGCAAACGTCACACTTTTAAAATGCTGAAAATACTTAAAATGTCTGTTTGTAAATGATGTCAATCTTTGCTGAATTTATGCGCCATGCTGCGGTGTCCAGAAAAAATAGAACTCTGGCGATCGGTTATGAAGCCCAATGAACCGCAGGGGGCTGGAAAGAAGGTGGTGGAAATTGACACGTTGACTTGAGTGGAAACGATCAGCTGCAACTGGTGGATACGGCCTTTTCTTAGCCGTTCTGGATGAAGTGGAAATCAGTGGAGATGGATTTTCTGCACAAGTGTTATTTCATAGGTAACATTGGTGCTCTGAGATAGAAAGACCCAATGCGTGTTCACCTCACCGTTACCACCACAGTATTTTAATAAACACTGCAAACTGACGACCTTTGCTCCCTTTGCTATGATACTAACATTGAGACCACGTCTGCTCGCTCACTCGCCCTCTAACAGGGATCCTTTAAGATTTTCTGCTGCATCTTCACATGAACTCACCTGGACTTCACCTTTGAGCATCCAGGAGAAATTCAGTAGTTTGTGTTCACACATGCTGCTCACCGGGGTTATTTTGACTTATTGATGCTAAACAACATCAAACATTTTGAAACACCACGTTAAAGAAAAGAGTCAAAGAAGTGAAAATTTAGGATAAACTCGATCTACAGAGCTTTGCACAACACCACCTTCCTCCGTCGATATCACCTCCTCCCATGGTGCTTTGCCGTCTTGGTCTTCATAGAGAGGAAATGATGAAGAACCTCCCGTGAAGACGTCCCTGTTTGTTGTGACGGCTGCAGAAGATCGACGCGGGGAAAAGTGACGAGCAGAGATTGAGAGAGACAACATGTGATTGGTACAGTGAAAAGCTTTTATTAATGGATGTCAGCGGCAGGTTTTCTCACTGTATCTACTGTCACACACACACACACACACACACACACACACACACACACACACACACACACTTATTCCCCTCGCTGTCAGGGAGATGAATCTCTGTTGGTGGATGTGAAGAAATAGAGTCGAGGCTCCGTGGGGGGAGATGAACTCACAACTATACTTAATCATTTACCTCCACATCTCATCTCCCCACAGACCCTCCCTCTCCCTCCCCCACTCTCTCTCCCCCACTCTCTCTCTCTCTCTTTGTGTGCCTCGCTCGCCCTCTGCTATCTGAAGCCCGAACTGAAGAATCGAACAATGAGAGCCTGAAATCCTGGCGCTGTCTCCGCACACAGCTGCCTCTGAGACAAACGCTCGTCAGCGCTCGGTGACTCACAGGGTTCCTGCGGATCAGCAGCCAGCAGGGGGGTTGAGGGGGGTGAAATCTCATTTCACAGCTCCTCTGGGTGTTTTTTTTCTGCCGCGTTATTCCTGTTAAAATTGGTTAAAATACAGTAAACAAATCTGCAAGAGGAAAAAAAAGCAGTTTTTGACACGTAAACACTCAGAAAGATGCACAGCTTGTCGACAGCGTGTCAAATTAAAACAAAGACTTTGAAAAATTCGCCTGTTTGGAGTTTGGAGATTAAGTCGGTTTGCAAAAAAACGTCTGCAGAGCTGCAGGATGAGTCAGTCCTTTCTTTAACCGATAGACAAACTTCCTGTTAAAATAAAGTTTAAAAGTATAACTTAAAGCTAACTTGACAGAGAGTCACTCATAAAGAGGTGTTGATATTATTGAGACTTGAATCTTCCCGTCAACAAACTACACTCTTCAAAATAATCTGTCGAACCTCGCTGGAATAGAAGTGTGTGGCTCAAACTAGCGGTGCGTACTGATTCGTCTAAAATGTGGTATGAAGTCCTGTGAAGACGATACGAAGCGCCCGGTCAGAGTTTACAGCGCTGCGATGTGAGTCATTCAGGAACAGGTTTTTGATATCAGGATTTAAAAAATCACCCCAAAAATTATTTCTTCATTAACCGTTATAGATGTAAAGTTTTTAAAGTCAGATCATTACTCCTCTGTGACGTCTGTGTTATCTTCAGTGTGTTTGTGTTATATAATCACGGCTTTATTCAGGGTTCCTACACAGTTAGAAGATCCAGACTTTTCCATACCACACTTTTTAGAATTATTTTTGGAAATACCGACTTTACTATTTTAGAAACAGTATTTTAGAACTTTGGTAATAGTCTGGAAACTCAATTTTTCCCCCCATACTTTATTTTTCATTTACTTTACTTTTTAAGACATTGAAATTGATCAAATTTATTCCATACTTGTGTAGGAACCCTGTTTACGTCATATTTAGTTTTATGAAGACAACACTGTAACGTCGTTTGTAACCGACCAGAGTATGATGTACTTCTGTAAACTATAAACCAGTTTAACTGGGCCGAGTGCACGACAATAATGGCTGAATGGCAGTCAGACGACACTAGGCGTATCCTTCAGTATTGACCGATACAAACACACAAACTCATGCATGACAAGTTTTGAACTCAGCTGCAGTGTCTTTTCAGACTTAAAGGAAAAATGCTGCCACACGGCCGACATCACTCCTCGTCCTCTTTACTTTGTTCGTACTTTAGTACACACTGTTGTTGTGATCTCATGGACTCTGCATTTTAGATAGAGGTGCTGGAGTGGAGTCTGGAATGGACTGCTTGTATCGGAGTGCTGAGATCAGAGATTTGAGATGCAGGCCGATGTAATATCGGACCGATATCTGATATCAATTCTGTATCAGGGCATCCCTAGACTTCACACTGCTGTAGAGTACTACAGTACAGCAGTATTTACTGTGTCTGGCAGGAGTGTGCAGTTAGCAGTTTGTCCGTTTTTGATCACTCACTCTGAGGCTAAACTTCTTAATTTTAACTTTAAAGGTTTGTCAAACTTTCTGAGTGGATCGTCTGAATGTTTGAAACTGTCTTTGGTCCACTCTCACATCATATTCGTCTACAGAGGATCGAATCAAACGCCTGTTTTCTCCTCGCTGACCTAAGTTACATCATAAGTATGCGACTTTGGCGGAGGTTCGTGTTAGGGTTGAGTCATAACAGCGGAGCAGCTCAACTAAACGCATCTTTTCAGGCTTGAAAATATGCAAATGACTTTGACTTTATTGCACGAAAGGACAAGAACACGAAGGTTGATTGTAAACAACTTTTCAGTCCTGCAAGAGTAACATCCAGTCTTTCTGAGAACCTGTGAAGGAGACATGCAAACTCAAAGTCCTTGGACGTGGAGTGATGTTTGTTCTGTTTGTTGGAGATTGGGGCTCGGATCTTTAAACCATTTGTTGTTTTTGGAGGAGGATTGATCAGGATGTTTAGTACCAGACATCGACTCTGCCTCTGAGCGCCCTGATCTGACCTCAGAGCGGTCTGTGGTTAAAGGCTGAGAGCAGGACGGGTCTCCGTGGCAGCAGCCTTAATGTGCCCTGGACAGAAATAGCAGCATGTGACTCACCACATTAACGGGGTCTGACGAGGTCTCTCATCATCAAAGTGCAACCAGCACGCACTGAAATGCTAATCACACAAACGAAGGGAGGTAGAGACACGTTATCCGCCATCAATCAGCGAGACGCGGCGTTTCTGTGAATCCACTTCAAACATCATCATCATCTGTGAGTCGAATCCTGGCTTTGACCTTTTTTAGTATTTCATTATTTGACACCGTTTGAACGAGGATTAAAAAGCTAAAATAAAGGACCTGGAGCATTAAAACGGTTTAATATCAGCTCCCGTCAAAAGAAGTGATTTAAAAACGAGTCTTTGAGGAATTTAAATGATGATCCTGAGTTTGATCGTCAGACTTTCACAAGGTCAAGAACAAACTTTAATACTTGGATAAATCCACCAACTCATCAAATCACACCAGTGGTCTAGAACTGAAGTTTTAATGAACTTTGTTTCCACCGGGCGGCTCGATACAGGATTATTTATGTCCTCCGCCGTCCAAATTTGTGAAAGGTGCCAAAACATCAGTCTGTTCAGCACTCTTCAGTTAGAGCACCGTGCAAATGAATTCAGGATTTACACTCTGTTGGTCAGTATGATGGTATAAAAGTGTCTACCAGTAGAAATTTAGCTCTACCGTTTATACCGGAGAGAGAGAGAGAGAGAGCAGATGTCTGCTGCGTCTCTCTGAGTCAGTGTGTAGTTGTCTGCGCTCGCTAACAGGAAAGCCGGAGTGCGTCCGTTTGGGTGTACTCCCTATAATCACCAGCGTGTCCAGCAGACAGCTTGGCGTAGTTTCAACGCAGAAACAGCTTCACTGATGGTGGTCATGGCGGACGCAGAGATTAGTGGCGGTACAGAGCAAACGGGGGCGGCCGAAAACACCCAACATGAGGAGGAACTCGTTACGAAAAAGGGCGCGACTCACGACATCGGAATCCGACAACGATCAAAAAACAAAACTATGCAAAGAGTGTCGTGTAGGAAACACCAGTAACCTCCTCCACCACCTAAAGACGAAACACGCCAAGCTCCATTATGAGAGACTAAAGATGCGTGACGCACCTGCTGCACCAAAAACTCAAACTGCAGCAGCTCCTCTCAGACTAAAGAGCTCGGCAGAGTCTTTCACCAAAGGTACGCCATACGATTTAAAAAAAACCCGCCAGACTGGTCTGACATTTAGTTTGTCTGAAAATAAAAGGAACATGAACAAATTTGACAGTCTGGTTATTTTTAAGACAAATGAATTTACAGAGGAAAAAACATACCGTGATATGAAATTACTCAAACCGTGATATAAGATTTTGATCGTACCGCCCAACACTAATATGTCATGACAGACTTCATATTTGACTCAGATGTGGTTTTAAACGCTCTGATCTGTTTTAAGCAGGTTACATGATGGATCTACTTTCTCTTTCGGTCCTATCACTCCTTTTACAATGTCTCCTGCCACTAGAGGACACCACCTTCCCTTCCCAGTAAACCTGCTTTTCCTCTTTGGTTTCACTTTTTCATGTTTTAAGTATTTCTCATTTTTACAGATTTGAAGTCTTAATGACAACAGTTTTTATCCAGTCCAGTTTAATTTCAGGTTTTCAGAGTCAAACAGGACGTTCTCACCTTACAGGCTCAGAAAGTCAGCCCGGACTTTACAGGAGGCCGGCTCAGAGATGTCAAGATCTGAGCCGTGCTCCCCTTTGACTCCACGCCGCCTTCTTATGGTTCATGAATCAAATATATCTGACATTATTTCACTTTTTCCAACACATGTCACGCAGGTTGAGATTTCCCCTCCCTCCCAGGCAGCCTGTGTTTTCGCTTCATCTTGTTACGCTGCTCAGGGCTGAATTCAGCTCACCTGTCTGTCAAACTCGTGTAACACTGGAGCTGAGTGACGTGGCTGACAGAACCGGCCCGGTTTATTTCCATAAATATCCAAAAAGCTGCTGACGGAGTCTGATTCTCAGTCAAACTTCAGAAATAATTGATCTGCTGCAGCCGGCGAGCCATCAATGTTCCCGTCTCAGTTTTCAGACGTGAATACAAAAGGTGTGAGACTTTGAAAAGGTGTGCAGCTAAAGCTCGGGTTTGACTCTGAGATCAAATATAAACCAGGACTTTTGACTTTAAGGATCCAAATAATAAAAAACGTGAATGTGAATGAACATATTAAGTCCTTTGCATCGTTCCTGATGCGCCTGTGGTGATGTAACAACAGAAGTGGTTTGTGAAGCGTGATCATGAGGTCAAGTTGGCAAGGTTAGAGCCAGACACACCAGCGGCTGGCGTTGAGGCGCTCTGGGCCGGGTGGTCAAAGCATCCCGTGTGTCAAGGCTGTCGTCCTTGACGCAGTGGCCCCTGGTTTGATTTCTATCCATGATCCTTTGCTGCAGGTTTTCCGTCACTCTCTACTCCACACATTTCCCGTCTCTCTCCAGCTGTCAGTTCAGCTCTTCATCAAACGAAGGCAAATATTCCAGAGGTAGAGTCGGTATCATCGGAGCTCCAAACTCTTCAGTTTTGTTTATTTCTGCTCTGAAAATGGACGTTTTCATCTTCCTGTCTTCAGCGTTTCCTGTGTTTCTGCAGTCAGCATCAAGCGGCACTCTGGGAAATGCAGTTTTTAGCACTTTAGCTCAGGGGGGGGTTACTGCTCAGCACACACTCAAGACAAGATTACCTGATCATGTGTGCATCTGTTACCCCCAATTTTCACCACATCCGGAACAGCGGCGATTTTTGCCATCCGCTGATTCCTTCCGGATCCGTTGGTGAGGCGAATTTCAAGGCGGATAATGGACAGCAGTAACTGTAAGAACTCACAAGAACCCGCCAATTCACATGCAATCAGGCGATAACGGGTTGTCTCTATAAAGACAGACACATAGACATATAAGCAGTAGATTGTGTCCTTCCAGAGGAGGAAATCTACTTCTAGACTTCTAGAATCAGCATCTCCTCATCCATGGTGTCATCAGGGTGAAATGACGTCTAAAAACCTTTCACTTGTTCGTCTCCGCCCGTTTGCATGGTGTGAAATACGATCCACCTGAAACACGGAGTGTTTTATTTTGAAAAGAAGCCGGATGTTTTATTTTGTGTCTGTGCCCGACTTCCTTTCCAGCACGGGTTAATCTGTGCTGAATTTATCCAGCACGCTTCGGCGTCTGGGAAAATAGAACTCTTGCGATCAGCTGAGGAGTCCGGCGATCTGCAGAGGAACGGAAAGAAGTCGGTGGAAATTGACACGTTAACTTGAATGGTCAGATCAGCTACGATCGGAGGATATGGATTTTTCGTAACCGTTTCTGATGCAGTGGAAATTAGGAGTAACAGTCCAGTCTTCTCCTGCTGGGATAGACGTGGTCCTGCACAGGTTGAGGGGATACTCTGGTGTGTGTGTGTGTGTGTGTGTGTGTGTGTGTGTGTGTGTGTGTTTGTGTTATCAGTGTGTGCTGGCGTGCTGTCTGCTCCTGTTAGCGCTAACGGCTGTCAGCTGTGACAGCGCAGAGATCAACTGAGGGCGGCTTATTAAGACGGGGGACAGGAAGAGGCTGCAGAGGGTTAACAGGGCAGCAGTGTTGTGTGTGTTAAAGTGTGTGTGTGTGTGCGTGTGTGTGTGTGTTATTGTTTAGCATGCATTATGGGTAAAATAAAATCATGAACATTTGCAGCTGGAAGATGTTCTGATCTGTGACGTGTCTCCACCTCGGGGTGAAAGATCTGCTCTGTCAAAACAGCAAGTTTACTCGGAGTGGGAAAAGTGGTCTTATTAGATCTTCAGATCTCATCTAACATCGTTATATTATCCGTAAATTTGTCTCTGACAGTCCTGATGTTATAACACAGCTCTTTGGTGAAACTTTGTTTGGAAACCCAAGCTGTTCAAACCTCCATGTTTGCTCAGCTCTGCCTCGTCCACACAGCAGGGAGGAATCCTGATTTTCAGCCTCCAACTCGCTTTGATTTAGTTGTAAAAATCCATGAAAAACTTTCCGACTCGGGGCCCCTGTGTAACGAGACACATCATTGTCCACGCTGGAGGAGGAGAGGACGGAGTGTGTGGGCAGGCGGAGGCAGACAGAGCGACCCTGAAGCCTTTAGATGAAGCATGTTATCAGAGTTGGGGTCAGAGAAAGAGCAGCTGGTGGTTCTGAAGCCTGCGGGCGCTCTTTCTGCCTCCGCTGAGATTCAGCTGCAGCTCCACCACATGATGGAGCAGCCATCGCCTCCAGGTCGCTGAGCTTCATGTGAAAGTTTCAAGGCTGATTCCAGCTGCTTTGACCCCAAAAGGCAGTAAGACGACACGGGGTTTAAATCAGGATAGTAAAGGGTCAGTCCACCCAAATCACAAACATCTTATTTAAAAGGCCGGGACTCGATTAAAAAATTAATCTAATTCATCGTCTTTTAATCACATATAAATATTTGACCTGAGAGCAGTGAGAATCATTTTTTAAAATGGTAATTGAGTGAATGAATAAACAGTGAACTGAATGAATTCATAAGCTTAAGAAAATGAAACCTTGTTTATTTTTTAACCTTAGCTCTGAGTCCACTCTTCTCGTCGAGTGTGGGTGGGGCGTGGGTCGCTGTACTCGTAGTTGGACTAACGTTATCCTCCACGCTAGCTCCAACATGTTCATCATTCAGGTGATACTGGAGGCTTGACCTGTTGTGATGATATGCAAAGTCTTTTTTTCATAGTTTGCGCAAGACTATTTTTTTTATCCAGGCTTCCATCCATTTTTAAACAAAAACGCCCATCTATGCTGGAGCCAATCAGAACACATTCATCTGCAACCTTGTTCATTTTCTATGCGCTGGTTGGGACTGGAATCACTGCTGCACTCACTCACATTGGGGTGCGCCAGTATAAGTGGTATACCTGAAACTCATCCAGTGAGAAATGTTCCGCGGTGCAAAAATATAGTAGGTGCGATTAATATGTGTTTATATTTTTAACGAGAGAATATTACTGTAATTAATTAATGGTAATTAACGCGTTAAAGTCCTGGTCCTACTTATTTTATTTTTAAAAATTTTCACACCAGAAACATCAAAATATGAGTTTGTGTGCAGCTCATAGACTGTATATAGAACGGACGCCGTCTGCCTCCTCGCTGGGTGAAGCCACTGTGAGAACAGCACCCTCTGTTGACAGGCTGCAGTATAGGTCATAAATCCCGCCTCCTTATGGAGCTGTGGACAAACTTTATAAATTTATTACTCAGAATATAAATGTTTCTCCCCCCTGGTTGTGATGTTGACATGTAGTTACTGTTAGACTGGTTTGTGCTCAAGTCCTCTTTTTTCTGTACAGCTCCGTTTTTAAAAGTTATTAGGGGGTTCATGTTTTCTATGATTGTCACTTGATACAGCCTATGGGCGTATGAAAATTGCGTACGCCCATAGGCGGGGATACACTGTTTGAGCCGACCGTCATCATGGCCACTCTCCCGCCAAATGTGTACAACGCTACTGCGCAATGTTGGTTTCAGGAAGTGGAGAAAAAACGCAGAAATACTGAGAAGTTTTCAGCTTCTAATCCGTATACAGGCGGAAGGCGGAACCAAGTTGTCAATAGTAAATACAGTCTTTGGTGCAGCTCAGTGGGGATTGACACACTTTTGGGACCATCCTCTAGTGGCCACACAAGGAACTGCAGTGTTGTGGAATTAGTCCTTTTTGGCTTTGTTTTTTTTCTAACTGCTTGTAATCGAGTTGCAGTGAAAAGCGCAGAATCAAAGTCTGTTTTTGTGTTTGGGTTTTGGAGTTTGAGTTCGTCCACGGGGAGAGGATTTATATCTGAAATATAAAAAGAGAGAGAGAAGGTCCAGAGTCTCAGCGAGCGGCCAAGCATGCAAGCGTTGACTCATCTGTATCGATTGACAGACAGATGAACCCCCACAGATGGTATGTTTGCTCTGTAGGACATTATAAAGCTGTATTTTATAACAGCTGATTACTTATAATAGATTCTCAGCAGAACCTCTGACCCACTCCAACGTCCTGAAGCGGACGCTGTGTATCTGAATGTTGAGTGTGTAGGCAGCCACGGTCCGGAGAAACAGACAGAAGAGCTCTTGTGCGTCTGTGTGTGTGTGTGTGTGTGTGTGTGTCGGGTCTATTGTCGTATTATTTATACAGTGTGTGTGGGTGGGCAGCAGAGAGCCAGAGGGCAGCACATGTTTACACTGACGGAGATGGAGAGAGATCCTCTCAAACATCGATCCTCGGCTTTATGAATTTAAAGAAGCTCAGCTGTTGTTGTTGTTCTCGAAAGAAGCTTCTTTCTTCGATTAGTTTTACGATTAGTTAAAATTCGATGGTGTTTATTTGTGAGAGATGATTATTTTTATGAGATTATCTTATTCGGTGATAAGAGGATTTGTCGGCCTGGTCTCTGCTGAAACTGAAGACAGACGGTTTATCTCCTGAATCGATGTGTGGCAGATAAGAGCGAGAGGCCACAGAGTTCAAACCCTCGAAATCAGAGGAAGGAGAGGGAGGAGGGAGGGAGGAGGGGGGAGGCAGCAGGTGCAAGAGAGAAACCTGACTCCCCACCTCTGCCCTCCACTGACCACTGACTCCTTCACACCCTTCCTCCTCCTCCTCCTCCTCCTCCTGCTGACGCTTTCTAAGTTGACCCTTGAAAGTCGAGCCTCTTCTTCCTCCTGTTGTTTATGTTCTACCAACCTGCAGTAACACCTTCTCTGTGGGGCCGTAAACCTGACCTTTGACCCCGTAACAAGGAGAGAAGTGTTGATGTTAAATTGTTAAGTCGTCTGGAGGACGGTCACCTGATCCTCTCACTCCAGTGCGGCTCACAGCCGGAGAAGACCGGGCAGTAAGAGAGATGTTGTTTTCCTGGCGGTAAATTGCAGAAAGTGTTGTTGACCTCTGACCTCTGTTTGTAAAAACCAGTGTTTATCTCAGAGGAGAGTTGTCGGCTCACACTGCGGCGCTGCTTTCCTCTCTGAGCTGGATATAGAAATCTTTGTTCGCTCCATCACAGCCTCTTTTAACTGTCCTCAACGACCACATCGATCGTTTTTGTAGCTTCGCTCAAAACAGAATCGTCAAGATCCAAGAATGACAAACTTAAGAGCAGTTTGGATGTCTTTTTTTTCATGTTTTAGTCCCTCGAAGGAAAGGTCATCATCGAAATAATGTAAAGGCTTCACAGAATACAACTTCACAACTTTAATCTCCCCCTCCAGAGATGAATGTTGTCGACCGCTTGCTTCTCTAGTTAAACCAACTTTAGTAACGACCGCAGGACAGCAATACAGAGAGCCACGCCCCCAACCAAAACGCCACTCTATAGCCACAAATAATGCTCAGAACAGCACCTAACTTCATCAACAGGACATATAGGGTCACAGACATAGTACTAGACACCAAACATCTTTTTAACTTTGACTCATTTCTTTAGTAAAGAGACTAAACACAACTCACCTACTCTCTTCCAGCAGCCGCTTGTTTGTGGGAGAGCCCTGATGAGTGCAGCGGAGTTTCACAGTTTAAGGAAGAACATTTTTGATTATTACTTAATGGACGTGGTAGTTCTCCTGTTTTAGCGTCTCGGTCTGATTGTATTTCCATGAAGAAATGATCATAAATGTTCTTCCTTGAGCTGCGGCACCCCGCTGTAGTCCGTAATGGACTGGCCTGAGGTCTCTGGTTACGGTGTGTTTGACTAATAACTTCATTTAATGCCAAAATATCCCTTCAAGATCAGACATTTTCTTTTTGGAAACCATAGATGCTAAATCCCGACTCACACGGGTTGATATTTCTACATTTTACGCCCCTACAGACGTCTTTTAAATATCTGTTTTAGCTTTAGCAGGATTAAAATATGTGTTTTTGTGCCTTTTTCTCCAGTTTTCACGGCGTCTTAGTTCTTACATTCAGCGGTGGATGTGTCTTGTGATTTAGCTGCTGTTAAAGAGCGTTTTCCTTTCACCTCTCTGTCCGTCTATCAGCCCATAAATGATGAACATGAAGACACATTTTTTCTAGACGCACCTGAGAGAGACTTTTATTCTGTTTCCACTCAGATCAAAAAGATTTTTTCCATCATTAGTAACTTTTTTCAGTGTATTAAAGGAGAATTGTCCATTTTTTTAGGTGTATCATAAATAACTTATTGGTACAAAGATCTTGAGCTGAGCCGAGTGAACCGACAGATATATTTATCATCAGTGTCTTTGGTCAGCATTGATTCCTAAACACAGAATAACCTCCTGAAGAGAAAGGAGGCAGAAGTATCTCCGATCTCTGCACACAGTTTACATGACAGGCCCTGATTACAGGCGTTCCTGCACAGCTCGTGTGTGTGTTTGTGTGTGTGTGTGTGTGTGTGTGTGTGTGTGTGTGTGTGTGTGTGTGTGTGTGTGTGTGTGTGTGAGAGTGTGTGATCTCAGAGAGAGTGTGACTTGTTTCCAGAGAGGAGATAAGAGCGGCTGAGGTGCGCTCAGTTCTCAGGCTCCCCCGCTGATCCTCTCCACTGATCTCGGCTGTAATGAAGCGTCTTTCAGCAGAGCTTCGTTAGCTCAGGCATGCGGCGTGCTCCGACCGGTCCTGGATCCGCTCTCTGACTGAGCGCTCTGTAATTACACACAGCTACACTCTCTCATGATGCAACTGTTAATATGGAGCTCGCCTTCCTGCCTCCAGGCGCAGAAAAAACTGAGGATTAACGGGAGGATGAAATCTTGTTTGGCAAATACAGAGCTGCGAGTGAATACCTGCACGCCGCAGAGATCTCGAGTGTTGGTCCCAGCGGAAAAGAACTGGTTATATATCAAACCAGGACCTTCATTTAGAGAGGTTAAACCGGGTTTTGATCTGGACCAGTCTCTGCTGGACTGGATTTAATGAGATGATTCTCTGTTTGAAATTTCAGACTTCCAGTAAAAAAGTTCATGATTACAGAGTCGTAACTTTTCCAGACGCCTGTCATAAATCTTAGAGGGAGAAAGTCGCTTTGCCTTTATTTGAAGTAAATCACTGGTCTGTTTATGACTCTGAAGTCCACAGACGAGGTTTAATCGAGGTTTAAGGCGGAGTCTGCAGGATTTAAGTCGATCGAAATATGAGCAAGGCAAGGCATCTTTATTTATAAAGCGCATTTCATACCAAGGCAGCTCAATGTGCTCTACATCAAAACAGTGATAGAGCGACAATAGAGCGGCGATAGCGGTGAAGAAAAGAGAGTCTGAGCCGATAAAGGAAAGGTTGAATGTCGTCTGTGTTCGTCTCTGCTGCTGGAAACCTTCCTCTCTGACCCGGGTTTGACCAGGACTACCTCAACCCCTTCTTTCCTCACCCTCCACAGGTGCTCTGTTCATCCATGAGCCACAGACTCCAGGGGGTCCAGAGGACAAGACTACCCTCTAGAGCTGGGCGATATCATGATATATTGATAAAACAACTTTGATTGATTTTTGACACGGAATATACCAATGTGGGCAAAATGACGTCAGTTATTGTCGTAAATTTCGGTATCGGTAAATTTTCAGTTTACCGACTAGCCCTCCTGCCTGCTCAGACGTAAAGATATAAATCGTGATATTCAGTCTAATCGTTACTCTGAGGGCTGAACGCTCAGGAGACGAATGTAAGGGGGAGGAGCTAAACCTGAACGTGTATCAACATCCTGCAGACTCCACCTTTAACCCTTCACGCTCGGTGGGTTTATCTCGATCTTGGGAACAGAATAATCTCTTTAAACAGATTTCTGCAGATTACAGGAGTGAGGGAGGGACAGGAGGAGTGTGGTTTGGTTTGAAATCCAGGAAATATATCAGTCAGCTGACAGTGAAGAAGGTCAGAAAGATGAACCTGAAACCTCCTGGGTGATCTTTGAGATACAGCTGATCTCTTATATCTATGATGCAGTGAACGTTTTTAGTCTGTTAAACTAAAATAAGTCTCTTTAAGTAACCTTCCTATGACAGTGTGTTCGGGTTTTTCTCCTGCGGTTGTTGTTGTCTGGTTTCTGCAGGTTTTGGGTTCACGGGTCACTGGTTCGAGTGAAAAATCCTCCTCCTGCACACAGAGAAAGAAACCGAATCCAAACACTCCTTTTTTTGTCCTTGCATTCCTCAGCTTTGGAAAAAAACCCACAAAGCTCCTCTCTATTATTCCTGACAGTATGTAAGGTGACACTTCTCCTTTCTCCCTGTTATTTCTCCTCTGTCCTCCTCCTCCTTCTCCTCCTTCACTCTAGTTACAGCCCAGAGAGCAGAGGGGTTGAAATCAGAGCCGCTCCCCCCGAGGTGGAGGCACTTTATGGCGTGTTTGTGCAGGAGGAGGAGGAGCAGTGGGAGGAGAGTGGAGGAGGGAAGGAAAAGGAGGGCAAGAAGCAGCAACAGAGGGTGAGGAAGTGGGACAAAAGTCTGCAGAGAGAGAAAAAGAGCCGTGGAGTTTATTGTTGGAGCGTTCAAAGAGGAGGATTAGGAGGGATGAAGGGGAGGAGGAAGAGCGGCGGACTCGCTCGGCCGTGCAGCTGAACTTGGACTTGTGAGCGAGCGCATGTTCGGATCACACTGAGCAGGAAAGGACGTCTGCAGGTGGGACAGGGCGAAGGTCGTGGTGTTCACGTGTTCTCTAAAAGGTTTGACTCGCTTCTGTTGAACTTTAGTGATTAAAAATGAAGACAGAAAGAGAAAACTTCATACTTTACATGTTCAAAAGTTACTAAGAGGTGAAGAGACTGAATAGAGAAAGTTCAGTTCAGTGCAGATCAGTTTCCTTCTGTTCTCTGTTGTTCTTAAAGTTACGGTGCTTTGATTAAACACTAAATTAATGTTTTTTGAAGAACTGTCCATCCTGCTGAAAGTGAAATCACTCTTGTGGTTTAAAGGTGAAACTCCAACCTGCAGAAACACTCGACAGGCCGTGTAAATGTTGATCAAACCGAACGATGGTTTGAGACGAAATTTAACCAGAAATAGTTTATAGTCGATATTTGAATGTTGAAACTTGAAAACCTCATTGTTTTATTTTTGATTTAGATCAACAGTTTGGGTTTCTATTTGTGTCCTGATGCTTCAGATGTTCTCAAAGGGGGACAAATCAGGACCGCATCAGTCCAGGACTCTTCTCCTACAGAGCCATGCTGTTGTCAGAATGTGGTTTGGGATCATATGAAGGTCTTCCCTGAAAAAGTCTTTGTCTGGATGGACGCAGATGTTTCTCCTAAATCTGGAGATATTTTTAAACACTGAGGATGCAGCATCTATGATATCCAGTTCTATGTTGAAAGTCCAGTTGTCCTTTCCAAAAGAGCTCGATTTCAGACCTCAGGACAGTTTATGGACAAGTGATATTAAGTCCATGCTGTGACTCCAACTCCAGAGTCCCGTTGCTCCTAATCTTGTAGATATTGTTCAGCATTAATGAAGCCTTCACAGATGTGGAAGATATGACAATTAACCAGGTGTCCTTGATTTCCCAAAACAACGTCAGTGATCCACTTTTCTTCAGTCCCGTTTGTAAAAGAAGGCGATAATTTCGTGGTTAAATAGGACAAGAGCGAGTCAGTCGTGTTGAATTGGTACGACTTCACAGTTTCAGATGAAGAGTAAACCACTCCCCGCTGTAAAGTCTGTCTGAAGGCGGTATCAACCCGTCACCACGGAAACGAATTCAGGAGGAAACGCTAAAGTTTTTTGTCGTATTGGCATTTCATCCACACGGAAACGGCGTTTCAGGTGACTGTAAACGGTACTTTTTTAAAACGGGTCAGAGAGTGAATAAATCTGTAAGCGACGATCATTTCATCTCCGTGTGGATGTCTATCTACATCTCTGGAAACGATCATGTGACCTGTACTCTTCCTCTGTCTTTTGTGTGTTTCCTGTGCAGCGTTACTGGCTTGTTCGTTTTCAGTGGTTTCGTTTTGCGAGATGATAGAATAATGTTTTAATCTTAAAGTGACGTTTAGTGGGATGGTCACTTAATAAAAAATCGAAATCTAAAATCTAGTTTTTCTCCCTTCTGGTTAATGTTTATGTTTGGTCTCCTCTTCACACTGTCCAGTTTTAACCTGTGATGTTACACAGCACCACAACTTTTTTTGGAAGCAGATTTACGAAAGTGAATTTTCCATCATAGAAACACAACAGTAGAAAAAAGGACGAGGACTGAGGCGAGCAGTAATGAATACCTGCTGTGATCAGGCATCAACTTGTCTAAACTTAAAACAAACTTCTGAGTTTGGGGCCGGCAGGACGAACTCGGTCATGTTGAACTTTTTTACCTGGTTGAGTTTGGACATGCAGCTCACCCACATATCCTCAGGGAAATGAAAGGAAGTGTGAAAGAGCCTCATGAACTCATTGGCGATAGTTGGTGATAGTTTAGTAAAGATTAATATTTTTATTTCTTTACTTTCCACCTCTGATTGAAGAACAAACGGGTCTGAATATGAAGAGTGTGAAAAGGTGAAGGAGCAGATAAATATGTCCAGGTCCAGCTTTGTTGACCCTCTCATCTTTATTTTTAGTGTTTCTGACTTTTATCTGTCTGTTTGCCTCTGAGAGGTTAACACTGGGCTTGTTTACACCTGTCTGTCTTCAGAGAACCACAGGAGGTGGTGTTTTTCTGTTTTTCTCCATGTGTGTTTTGAAGTCTAATGAGCTGCCGTGCTGTTTTTCACCTCGCTCTCAGATAGTTTCACTTTAATTTGTTCATATTTGAAGATCCCTGATACCGTTTCTGCTGCTCACCTTGGATTTTGAACTCAAAGCGGTGTCTTTTTAACTCTGGATTAAAGTCTTAATGTGATTTAACTCGTGTTCTGAAGCTCATTTCCCCACAGTCTGGACCATAAGTGCTCCAAACCTTCAACTGTGAGGAAACATCTGCTTCCAGGAAACATAAATGTGCTCAATTTGACACCTGCAGATGCCTCTAAATTCATTTATTCACTTTAATCGAATCTGAATGCTCCATCCTGGCAGGGTTGGGGTCACAGTCTGGGTGTATAATGAGAGATCTGGTCCTGTTGGTCTGTCGGACAGAGAGAGGACAGTGTATCATTGTGGACTCCCGCCTGGGGCTGTTGGACTACGGGGAAATGTAATGAAAGGTCTTCCCCGGTCACAAGCCCACTAATCCCACCTCAGCTTACTCTGATAAATCACAAAGAAATACATGAATAACCCCCCCGAGCCGTCCGCGCGGCCGCCGCACGGCAGATTAAGTCCAGCACGCTCCGTGACCTGGAGGAATCAAATTAAAATCGGAGCGGGAGCGTGTGGCGTGTGGCGTGCTGGCAGCTTGTAACCGCAAAAAAACAGAAAGATGTCTTCATGGCTGATGAGATGATGAGTTATACTGGAGTCATGATGTAATATTCACAGCTGAGCCACAGCTGGATTAACCCGCTACTGGGTCAGGGGAGGCCTGTCGCTCCCAGCAGTTTAGATTTAGGCTCTCTGCTGGAATAAGACTCAGATTAAGATTACCTCAGGGGTGATTTACTAATAACAAGATTTCAGAGGCTGAGACCCTCAGAAGAGGTTCCCCACTCTGTGAGAGACTGTGTGAGCAAACAGTTCAATGATCCTCAGAGTAACATAGAAAGGAAGATTTCATCATTTATGGTGGGGACGCACGACACTCAAGTGTGTCATTTTTATTTATAGTTAAATTAAATCCGATAAATTGATCCAATAAATTAAAGACAATGAGAAACATTTGTTTGTAAACTGTGTAGCCCCTAAACATGATGTGTCGCCCTTAAATTGTTTATCGTGTCTTTTAAGTAGGACCCAATCCCTGCCTTCTCACTGCCTGACTGACAATGAACGAGCGCTAATAGCACATCTCCTGAGCTAGCATGTCTTCACCAGTGTGGATGTTTTTCTCGATGGCAGCGGATGACGGCAACATCGCTGAAAATGTGCTGCAAAGATCCGAGAGGAGGAAAGAAGGCGTCAAGCTTAAACACGACAAATCTTATAGCTCACCTGAAAAGTCGTCATCGTGGCGAAGCGCTATTGAAGGAATACAAAGGTGCAGTGGAAGCAAGTAGCTCTGCTAAGAGTAAAACAACAAAACGACTTAGGATGTTCCCAAACTTCAGGCATTTAAAAACCGGTAAAACCTTTGCTAGAGACAGTGAGAAGGCTAAAGTCTAAAGACTAAACACAAGTGACTTTTCTGGACCTGAGACCTTTTATGAAGTGAGGAGGTCAAAATAACACGTTCTTCTTGGAAACCATGGTAACTGCATCCTCAACTCTTAAGAAAAGAGGGACATCCAGGATCCCTGATGGTCTGGGGATCACCAGAGTCCACGTCATGGGTGTCTAGTCATGGGTGGTGTTGGTGATGGCTTTGGTGGAGATGTACAGTTGGATGTCGTCGGCATAACAGTGAAATCAGAGTCCATAATGATGGATGATTTTGCCAAAGGGGAGCATGTAGAGAATGAAGAGGAGGGGACCAAGTACTGATCCCTGGGGGACGCCTTCCTCATCTGTGAAGGCTCCATTAATGCTGAACTATATTTACAGGTTTAGGAGCAACAGGACTCTGTAGTTGGAGTCACTGCATGGGGTTAACATCACTTGTCCGGTAAGATCGATGAATCAAAATCTAAAATTCTTTTGGAAAGAACAACTGGACTTACTTTACGTAGAATCTGAACCAACCACAATATCTCCAGGTTTAGGAGCAACATCTGCTGCCACCCAGACAAAGACTTTCCCAGTGAAGACCTTCACATTTCAGCAAATCACTGACAAACCACTGAGCAGGTAGTTGCAGGATACACGCGCCTGTATTTTGGCATCTTTTCGTGTGCGTAGTGTTGGGATGGGGGAGGGTCAGGGGGTCAACAGAGAGAGCGAGTGGAGTTGATTACTCGTCTCCGCTCTTATCTGCGTCCTCCTCTAATGCAGGAAGTGCCAGCTGATTATTCCTCTAATCAGAGCTCTCTCCTGTGTGATTAGCTCGCTGGTAAAGAGCCCTTCAGTCTGAATGGGGACACGGACGCCGGACCTCAGCGAGGCTTTCAGCTCTTAATTGCATTATCATACCGGACACTCCCCAACGGTCCTGAGCGAGCGGATTCACGGTGAGACTGTACCTGCAGGAATCAGGGGATTGATCTGTTTATTAAAAGGAGAGTCTCTTTTTTATGGGTCCTTCAAATCCCATCAGGTCCATCGCTGTCTCCGCCTCATGAACAGGTGAAAATGACCTTTAATATAACAGGCCTTTGAAACAGTCTCTCCTTTTCATGTGGAATGATGTTCATTATGTCTTTAGTTTCTTAGAAATCGATTTCTTTTTTCCTTTATCTCAGACATGTAATCTTTTTCACGTACCTGCTGATATGACGTGTCACATCTTCTGAGAAAGATGAAAGTTTCCGCCGGAACATGTCAAGGTACGAGAAAAAGATTACATGAGATAAAGGAAAAAAGAAAATGGTCACTCCCTGTAAATTCTAGTCTGTCATGTGACCGAAAACCAACCAGTCCCTCAGATGGCGCTCATGTTTTCCTTAAAATTCAGATCATTTTGAAGGAGCACCGGACTTTTGTTTTCTGTAATTCTGTTTTATTTTGAAAGATCCTGAAAAAGCGAAACCTGCTGGTTATTGAATCTGAAGCATCTGTAAACCAGAGGCTCTCTCTGCTTTGCTCCCTGCAGACTCAGGTTGAAGAAACAGCTGTTTTACTTTGAGGACAAAAGATATTTTTATAGTCAGGATGTAACGCATCTAAACATGGACCTGTGGGAATGTTTGCGGCGTCCTCATCAGAGATACATTTAAATATTTCTCTGTCCGTGCAGCTGTGCAGGAATTGTTGGAAATGCTCACATAAGCATGTTAGACCAGTAGGAGGCAGTAATGCATGCCTGTCAAATCACCAGGAGATCGCTGCTTCGTGCAAACAGAGGCTGCGTCTACTTGAATAAGCTCTCCTGATACTGTGTACGGACTGGCGAATGTAAACGTATTCAGTGTAAAGTGTAACCTGCTCTCTGACTCCCGTACAGGTTTCCTTGTTAACATTTGAGTAAACCTCACTGTGCGTTCACATCAAGCGTGAATAAAATCATCTACTTGCTTAATTCGCGCACATTTAGATGTGTGAATAAATAGTATTTTCTCGCTTCATTTGCGCGAATGACTCTCTCTATTCATGAGAACCATTTGTGCAATTCGCACGTCAACAGAGTGATTAAAGCCGTGGAAAGCCGTTAATGCTAATTTCAACAGTGATCCAATTTGCATCATTTGCGCCGCCAAAGTGAAATAACAGTCTAATCGTGTCTTAGCATGTAACTCATTTGCACGAATGATTTCACTTGCGCTTGGCTTGAACGCGCCATAAAGGTACAAACTGACCATTTTGGGGATGCATAAGATGTGCAAACATTATTATCCATGTGCAAGTAAGTCAGCGTTTCTCAGCACTGTAACACGACAACAACCTGAAGAGGTGTTTTTGTAAATCTGTGTTTACGGTGTTTGAAAACTGTTGACATGTGGACGGTAGAGCTGTCTTATTCATCAGGGCTGAATTGAGTTCATGGAGTTTAGAGGCTTTGGAGGAAATGACGTTTAAGTTTCTTTAGTCAAAAACAACAAAGTTCAGTCTCTGTAGGACTCATTTTTGAAGACATTTTACTGAAAGACTTTGACACGGCGGACTCTCTCTTTCTTTTTAGACCCTAAATTAATATAAAAACGAGCTCATTCTATCACAGCTGATTTCCCTTTCATGCTCAGTCGAGGTCTTCAGTCAGTAAATACTTCAAGCCCCTGTAGAAAAAAGAGACTAACCTTCACTTTCACTTTGGAAACTTCCTTCTCGATCTGATCGGTGTCTGAATGAAAGTAAATGAGTCATGGGGTAAGTGTTTCAGAGGGTTACTGTCGAGGAACCGTCCGATTGTTCTCTGGCCGTTATCCTTTAATTTACAGCCATTAGATGAAGTTATTTGTTGTTCCTCCGCCCACGCTGCCCCCGTCGTCCCTCCAGTGCTGTCCTCAGCTCTGATTAGAAGACCGAGGAGGCTACAAAGCGCCGCAGTCCTCTGACGCCTCCTCCATATAACACTGGCCGGCTCTTTTGTTTTTACGGCTACAATTAGAACCCCGAAGTGTAAGCGTTTTGTGCAGCTCTTGCAGAATCAACAAAAGCTGACTATTAAACTCCTCTTTAGTGGCCCTGTCCCTCACTTTTATCTCCTGGCGGGGTTTATGAGAGCTGGGGTCTGAGAGGCCAATACACCTCCGCATCCCACAACTCAGCCTGGACCTTATTTACGAACTCCTTCCCCTCCTCCTTTGTGCCGCTTCACCTCCTCCCTGTTGCCTAAATCTTCTTTTATCTTCTCCTCTATGTCCTCCAGCTTCGGCATCTTTCATTTTCTTATCTCCTTTTGTCCGCCTCCTTCTCCTTTATTTCCTTTTCTTCATTATTCACCTTATTTCACTTTTTTATTCCTCTTACACGTCCTTCCTCTTCTCCTTATTCTTCCTATCGTGTCACCTCATCCTTTCTCTTCTCCTCCAATCTCTTCCATTGTCACTCTTTTCTCCCGTCTCAGCACCTTTAGATGCTCTTACCAACATACAGAGCATACGTCAACCTCGCTAATTAACTCATAAATCATCCCCGTGCACTTCGGCAGTTTAGACCTCAGTCAAACCGCCGGGAGAGGATTCCTGCTCGTCTGGTGATGATCGTGTCCGGGAGATAACGTCTGGCTGTTGTTTGTCTTCAGCTAGAAACTATCTTAGTTTAAAAATGTGTTTTTTTCCTTTTTAGCTTCTTTGCAAAGATAAAAACAAAGTGTATTTTTCATTTTACATGAGTTTTCATGTCTCAAAATCCAACGCACAGTTCATACAGCGCTTAATCTGTGCTGTAGCGAGCTGCCTCTGTGGAGTGATCTGAGTGGGTGTGGAAGCTGTGATAACAAGACAACGCCGTGATTGTGGTGAAAGTGGTGCACATGGATGCAGAGGTGGAAAAACACCAAAACAAAGATGGCGAGTGCTCCAAGAGAACCTGTGCCACTGCACCGCTGTATATACAGCGGCATATCTACCCTGACAGCAGGTCGACCTCTGTGGGCGGAGTCTGGGATTGATACGACAGTCTATCTTATTTCAACATTATCAACTGTTTTAAATATTAAAATGATGTTATAAGGATTGGAAAGGATAGGCAACTATAAGCATTGTGCTTCCGCCTAACCCTTTTTTTGGTCAAGTTTATAATTCTGTTGGTTTCTCATTTGTTGTTATTGTGACCAAAAAATAAAACCATTCATTCATTCATTCATACAGTCTGGGTTTAACCGAGCTCTTACCTTAATGAAGGTCTGTTTTCATGATTGATATTCTTATTGGCCGGTAATAGTGTTGTTGAGAGTGTGTTTAATTCAGTATCTTCAGTAAACTAGAGAGAGAGAGAGAGAGAGAGAGTGAGTAAAGATGAATTTCTGCTCATTAAAAAGGCGTCTGGACTTCATAAATCTGTTTTTTAGATCTGGACATGAAGCATTAAAGTGTACGAAGCCTCAGTTTGATCAGTGTTGGAGGTTAAACTGAATAAACTTTGCACATGCTCAGTTCATCTCCAGGATTTAGAGGTGAAATCGTCCCTGCATGTACAAAGGTCTTAAAGTTCTTGAAGCGGTCTGCCTTTGTCAGATTCAAACCTGCCGACTCTTTCTCCCAGTTTCCCCCTCCGTCCTCCGTCCTCCGTCCCCCGTCCTCTGTCTTAGCCTGTAAATAAACTTTGGAATGAAATGAAGTGGAGTTTCAGTTGTGACAGAACACAGTCTTCCTCTGTGTCTTCCACAGTCTTCGAGTCCTCCTCTCCTGTGGATGTTTCATGGTCTCGTTCAGCTCTTAGAGTCGTTTCATGTCCCTAAAATCATTTAAAACACAGACCGAGTTGGACATGATGACATGCACATCTAAAAACACTCAAGGATCAAACTTCTGTTAAATCAGGTTATAGAGACGAAGAGGAACTGCTCTTTTTAATGTATGATGGATGCACAGACTGTTTGCAGTGTTTTACCCTCAGACCTGTTTTGTTTGCATTTTCATTCATTAGCTGCTTCGACTGTCCGTGGATGAATGTGGGGTGTGGATTGGGTGGAACATGAACCTTGTGTGTATATTTGTCGGTGAATTATGAATCACAAAAGGAACAATGTATGAAAGTTTGTGTGCAGGTGGTTTTTCAAATCTTAGTTTTTCTGGTTTTAGATTAAAGATTTCTGACATCTGTCTAATTCAGAGGACTGTCCTCAATGTTCCACGTCAGTTAAATAATTCAGCAGGGAGAGAAAATCTACAGGAAGGATAATATCAAAACTTCCCTTCAGTCCTGACTGTGCATCAGGATATTATAGGTTTTAAAGAGGAAGGCTGATATCCTCCTAAATAAAAATACAAACAGGATTTGGAGGCTTAAGGAGCGACGGTGATGTTCGCCGCTGATGTTGATCTAAGAATAGCTTCAAAGCTTTCAGGGTCTTACAGAGGAGGATCAAACTGTGACGCTGGTCCAGAATTTGGCATCGGAGGAGGATCATAAAATTCAAAAAGGATTTTCCAGGAACGAAGTCGGTGAAATTCACATTAATCTGCTCATCGTGTTTTAATATCTGAGCAGTGGGAGAGGAAACGTTGTCCAGTTGATGATGTGGCAGGAAAGCTGCAAGCGTCAGCGACGATTTCAACATGTGGTCCAAGTTGAAGTTCAGGTGCAGCTTGTTTTAAGACAGAATCAAAACCCCCTTTTGTCACGTAACAGAGGTCCACCGTCACTTCTTTGGACTTTGAGTTTACTGAGAGTTACAGGAACATAAGAGGCTCTTTTTTCACGTTCAGTGTCGTGTTGGTGCTCATGCACACTTGTGATCGCTGCAGTATTTCCCTTTCTCGTTGTGCTCACTCTGTCCCTCGGCTTTTCAGACATGCATGATTTCAGACACCTGTCTCTCTTCTCCTGTGGCTGCCTGATAGTTTGTACTTCTTTTCTGAGAGCCTCCTGGTCTTCTAGATGTTTATGAGTCTAGTAGCTAAGGCAGGCAGAGCAGCAGCAAAGACCTCCATGAATGCTGTAATTTTCCCCAGGATTCAAGCTGATATGTGAGTTTTGTTTCGCACAGAGCAGATAAATGTCGGTGAGATCAGAGGAGGAGTGTGTGGGTCAGTGTTTGTTTTGATGAAGAAGACTGAGAGACGACCTGAGGACTCTGCAGAGGAGATGAGTGTGTGTGTGTGTGTGTGTGTGTGTGGGTGTGTTTTTGTTTTGGGTGTTTTATCGTGAAGCTGAATCAGCTGCTGTGGAGAGAAAGCGTCTCCTCCTCGGTGGCAGAGATGATGGAGCAGTCCTCGGTGTGAACACGGCGCCCGTGGGTCATTAAGAGGAAGATTTACGCTCACTTTTATCCTCAGATGATGACTGAACCGCTGGAACTTTTTCCCCTGCTCTTTTTTGGGAGTCAGTAAAGTGGTTCCTCCTTTATTTGTTTTATTTGCTTTGAATAACGGCTCAGAAGGCTGTTGTCTGTCTCACCTCTCTGCGTCTCTTTCTCGCCCGCAGACCTTTGTCTCTGCTTTATTTAATCTCTGAAGGCCGCCTGTGTCGAGCCTTTTTTCTCGTGCTGTTTTTCATCACGGTTATCTGCGTTCCTCCGTGTCCTCCAGCTGCTCTTGGAAATAAAACTCATCTAACAAAGTTCACAAAGTATCTCTCAGACTCCACAAGGCCACCCAGGGAAGAGCTTTTGTTTTGTTTCCTCTTATTGAAGTCATTTTTTCATTAGATTGAAACTTTTCTTTTATATAAAAAAAATGTATTTGGACGTCTTTATGAAGCTTTTATAGGTCTGTGGAGGTCTGGAGACGAGAATCACACAATTAGTCACTTCAGACTCAGAGTTTAGTTGGTTTTTCTCATTAATGACTTTCTCAGAGTTTCTCAGTCTTTTTAGATTTGTGTGGAAACGACCCAAAAAGTTTTTGTCACGCAAATTAGAAAAAAATGTTAAAATCATCTTTATTGTTTGGTGTGATTTTGTGTCAGTTAATGAGTGTGAATTAATCACATTTAAGGTCAATGCACAGATAGTGAGTGAATGTGCGGCGCGACACATTGATGAATTTGCGTCACTTTGTTGTATTTTGCGAACAGAAGTAAACAGACTTGGTCTCGTCTTTCAGCCTCTTGGCTTCCTCCGGTGTGTCAAACATCCAGGTTGTTAATGCGAAACAAAACAAACATGAAACTTCACAAAACAGCCGGAATATTAAACGAGTAAAACAGTTTGAAACATGATAAAAAAAGGACTTCAGGCTCCACCAATCACAGATTAACTGGGATAGAATAAAACCAGTTAATGTGAAACACAAATAACCAGTATGCCAGTAAGTGAATAGATGATACGATTCAATATTATCACAATACTTGGGCCACAAATTGATATTATTATGATTTTAAACATTTTGCGATACCGTGAGGATTGCAGTACCATAAATTCAGTTTTTTCAACAGTATTTTATTTTCATGTAGCTGATCTTGCAAACCTCATATGTCATTTGAAACAATCTATACTTGGTGGATGAGACGATATGATACATCACCAGACAAAACATCACGATACTGTGATTTATTGATCTTTTCTCCAACCACTAATAAATGACTTCTAGAATAAAACCTGTTTTTTTTTTTGTTTTGTTTCCGTTTGTTCGACAACTTGGAACTTAAATTTCTGACCAGATGGAAGAACCTAAAACTCAAAGAGCAAAGTTCTGGATTCGTTGTTTAAGAATGAGGCGGTGACCTGCTGAACCTGTCAGGCGCTCAGGGATGATAGGTTTTGGTCGTCACTCGCCAATCAGCCGACTCAGCGATCGCAGTATCCCGATGCTTTTAAAGTGCGACTCCCTTTATTTGCCAAAGTTAATAAAATCTGAAGGCGCCCTGAGAGCCGATCAGACGGACTCATCCTGACTAGTTTGTTGTGTTAAAATGGAAATAAAAAGGATCTGGTCTGGAGGTCAGATCGTCTGTGGACCTCAGCTCTGATTCATGAGAACAGACTGAAACTATTCGTCTGTTGAACACGAGCACAGACACAGAGTGAGACGTGAAGTGGGTTAATCTAATCTGGGTCTGTGGTCTCGGAGTCTCCTCCGTTTTTAATTTTGGACTCTTTCTCCTTCTCTCCTCAGATGAAAGGATGCTGCAGGGACCCGACGAGGGACTGAGCCCTACCTGAGCCCCCCCTCCCTTCCCCTTCCTCTCCCCTGACCCCCTGACCCCTGACCCTCACAGCCCTCAGCGTCTCCGTCCCACCATGAACCTGCTGTGTCGCGGGCGCCTGAAGCTGCTGGTGGCGTCTCTCACGGCCGTGGTCCTGCTCACCTGGCTCTACCTGCTGGCTGGAAACCTGGAGAGTGAGTGTTTGGACAAACATGTGCAATATTTAAGTGAAAACCGAACCCGGACTGAGATCAGTCCTCATCACTGAGGGTAATCTGAGAGTCCTCGGTGAGTTTGAAAAGCCGAGAGTTGATTTCTAATGAGAGCGGCGCTGCGGTTTGGTCAGATGGAGTAACAGGAATCCACCCGCGGGGAACAGAAAACATCAATTATCAGACGTTTTCTGCGACTCAGCTCGACGTTTCTTCGATCGGACTATTGATTTAAATTTTTAAACACATGGAGACCATTTTCTGTTGGGTTTGATTTTTCACTCTGACGTTCCTCAGAGCCACAGAGGCCGCAGCAGCGAGCCGCAGTCAGCACTTTCTGTTCGGATCACAACAGCTGGGGTCAAAAAGCTACCATGCTCCATCCTCTGGGGGAGATTTGACACACAAGTACACACATTTATACACACACACACACACACACACACACACACACACACACATACGCAGAGACAGTCGGGCACATTCCTGCACATGTTTTTTCAGATATTTTATTTAGCCTGAATCAGAACCTTAAAAAAACTTTAAAAACTCAAATCTACCGAACTTTCTTTGACATTCACGAACATATTTATTATTTAACATTTAGATCTGCAGTATTAGAGCCAAACTTCTGATTTTTTAAGAGCTCTGAGACCAGGACTGGATCTGTTTCTCTTCCACAGGTGGCGTTTTGTATTTTTATTACCTGTTTCTTTTTCTTTCTCCGTCCGCCTCCATCATTCTGAACCCACACTCCAAATAACTCCTTTTTCTTATCCTGGTTTCTAAAAAGAGGCAGATATCGTCTGATGATAATATCAAAATTCAAATTTCAGAGTTATTGCTTTTGCCTCCTCGTTCAATCGTGGCGTTATTTAAATGAATGTGCAGCTGTGCCTTTGAGAGCGAACATTTATCTGACGAGAAAGATGTCATTATTAAAACCTCTGAAGAGGGAAACCAGGACTTGAACTGATCTGGACTCAGCTGTAGGACAGAGGGTTAGAAGCTCAGAGTAGAGCTGCTGTTTCCTCATGTTGATAGGAGTCAAAGTGGAGGAGGAGTCAAGGTGGTTTGATAAGGAGGCCGCCTGGAGGTGTCCAACAGGGAGGCCCAGAAGCAGACCCAGAGCTCACTGAGGGATAAATATATATTATATATTATATCCTATTATATATTATATTATTATCCTTACTTATTAAGCCTCCTCATAAATAGCTACAGTGTCCCCACCTGTCAGTCAAGTCAGCTGTGTCCTCTGATTCGCCGATCTGTTAACCTTGATAACTCCAAAATTACCTTCTCGTACAGAGGGCGCCGTGGGACCTCTGATCTGTTCAGACCAAAACCACATTCTGGACCATGCTCTAAAAACGGCTGAGTGTGTATGTGGTTTCCAGTACGTGAGATTTTTATCCACGCCCCAAAAACATTTGATTGGTTCCTCCACAGTCTCTCACTTCTACCTCGAATGCGCCCCCTTCCTGATTTTAAATTTCACTGCAGCTACATCCTAACCCCAACCCTAACCCCAACCTTCACTAACCTCACCCTAACCCCAACTATAGCTTACAACCTTCTTTTCTATCAGAGGATGAAAACCAAAAGGCGAGCAAAGAGGAGATGCTGCAGGAACCAATCAAATGGTTTGAGGGCTTCCAGTGCAGCCAGCCTCAAGTGGACACTCTAGGAACTGCAGTTTTAGCGCGTCTGCATCAGCGTCATTTCCCCAGTGAAGTCGCTAGACATACGTAGGCAAAGTCGTGTTTTCTCGGATTAAAAAGACTCATCTTCAGTTTCTTGTATTTGAATTTTTGAAGCAGATTTCTGTTTTTTGTTTTTGTTTTTAAAATAAGAAAATTCTTTGTCACACACTTACAGGCACAGATATTTCATTATCATGTCTTGTCGTGAAGGAAACTGGCCGTGGTTTTACTGTGTGATTGAAAGAATTAAAGCGTGCAGGCCAGCTGTCGGGTCCTAAAATGTCAGCTAGATTCCCCCCTAACCCTAACCCTGATTCCTCTTGACATACATTAACAGCAGCTCTATCCTGTTAGAGTCGTCTGTATGTCTGACATGTCCTGCAGGATGGATTTCCTCTCTAATGTTGGATTCAAAGTCTGTAATTGCACCAATTTCATGTGGTCGAGTATTGAATAACTGGAGGCAGCATGTGGTTTGCTAAGATATCACTTACACACACACACACACACACACACACACACACACACACACACACACACACACACACACACACACACTAACAGTTCCTGGTTAGACATTGATTACTTGATGTAAATGTGGGGGTTAGCGGTGAGTCCTCAGAGGCAGCCCGAGCAGAAAAATGGATTCCCCTTTATTGACGATCCAGGAACATGCATGAATGCTGAGCTATCATGGTGCAGTGTGTGTGTTCATGTGTGTGTGTGTGTGTGTGTGTGTGTGTGTGTGTGTGTGTGAGCATGAGAGAGTGAGTACGTGCTCTGAGCAGTAATACACTGCTTCAGAAATAACCAGCAGCTTCTGTTGCTGCCTTCCTGCCTTCCTGCCCGCCTGTCTGTCTGTCTGTCCGACTGACTGACTCCAGATCAGATTCTGGTTACTTTATCCGTCCAATCAGCTCGGGTTTCCTTCCTCTCTTCTCTCCTCGTCTCTTTTCTTTCCGTCTGTCTTCTCAAATTCAGGTTTGCTTTTGAGGACAACTGTAGCTACAGTACATCGCCCAGTTTTCTGACTGATAGACAGCCATATCTCACAAATGTTAGTGAAGTTATACACTTATTTGAAATTTGACGCCGGCAGTATATCTGAAAAAGTCAGAAGAGGGACGACAAAATATGAAAAAAAATTAACTTGCAGGAAAATATCAGAACTAATGAGGTCAGTTTACAACAGGGAGGTAACATGAGTGGGTCCGCTCTCGAGAGGTTGACCCCCAAATTCCACTGCATGCGGAACAGCGGCGATCTTCACCGTCGACTAAATTCTACCAGATGCATTTGTGAATTTCGTGGCGAATTTCAGACGGTGGGAATCGCAAGAATAACCCCAACCCTAACCCACCAAATTCAACTGGATGTGTTTGTGAGGCGAATTTTGTGGCAAACTTTGGAGGGCAGGAAATTGCGAGAATAACCCTGACTCTAACGACTCGTATAAGGGATGAGACGGGTCATAGATTATTCTGTGATTTTAGACTTCTAGAATCAGAATCTCCTCATCCATGGTGTCGTCGGGGTGAAATGACGTCTAAAAACCTTTCACTTGTTCGTCTCCGCCCGTTTGCATGGTGTGAAATACGAGTGTTTTATTTTGAAAAGAAGCCGGATGTTTTATTTTGTGTCTGTGCCTGACTTCCTTTACAGCACGGGTTAATCTGTGCGGAATTTATGCGGCATGCTGTGGCGTCTGGAAAAAATAGAACTCTTGTGATCGGCTAGAAAGTCCAGTGAACTACAGGGGGGCGGAAAGAAGCCTGTGAAATTTTACACTTTCTCTTGAAAGGAAACGATCAGCTGTGATCAGCGCTGATTGGCCTTTTCGCCGCCGTTCCGCATGCGGTGGAATTTGGGTGTGAGTCTCTCAGAAGGAAAGATGGGAAGAGGTTAACTACTCTGTGAGAGACCGCATGAGCTACAGTTCAACCATTTTAGAATAATGTGAAAGAATGGAGATTCAGAGGAACTAAAGGGACAAATACTAAAACTAAGACTGGATGGTTTTGATCTTCAGGGCATTAAAAACAGACGGGACTCTGGAGTGGGAGTCACCGCATGGGAAGGACAACTGGACTTACTTGAGACGTTTCGCCTAAGGAGAAACGTCTCAAGTTAGTCCAGTTGTCCTTTAAACGAAGAATTGGAAATCATAGATGCTGCATCTTCAGTTTTAAAAAGTAGAGGGGCCACTCGGCTTGTTCTCAGCATCCCTGATGGTCTTGGATCATCAGAGTCCATGTCAGGGGTATCTTCCACATCCGTGAAGACTTCATTGAAGTTGAACAACATCTTCAGGTTTAGGAGCAACATCTGCTGACATCCAGACCTTCATATTTCAGTGAGACAACGACAAACAGAAAATATTTGTTGAATTATGAAATAAAAAGTAAGAAAAAGGAGAAACCAGGCCGTTAATCTGGTTGATTTTAGTCGACGACATCCTGCTCCTCCATCACTCTCCACCTTCTGCAGAAAAACAGATTAGACAGGGATGATCAGAGATTTTGGCAGAGCTCAAAATTCCTCCCTTGTCACTTCCATCTCCTTCCTCCCCCCGGTGTGGGTGTGAACATTCCCAGCATGCCTCTCTTCAGCTGTGAGACAGCTGTTACTCCAAGAGGGAATAAGGGAGGAGGAGGAGAGAGGAGGAGGAGAGAGGGTTAACGCAAGACAGAGGAGAAATAAGACAGAGGGAGAGTGAAGTGAGATTAGGAAGAGTAAAAAAAAGAGGAATAAGGAAGGATTGGAAAGAAAAGGAAAAAGAAACGATGGGCATCCATGTTTCTAAGAAATGACCAAACTGTTTCCTGATTGCTTTGTAATAACAACATAATCCCCGCCTGGATTATGTGCAGAGACATTGTTTTTGAGATTGAATGAAACGCTCTATTTACGTCCCCGCTCTGGATTTACAAGGAGCTCTGAAGAGAGGACGGCACACCACAGCAGAGTCTGGGGTCTGTGGTTCAGTTCAGGTGACAAGACGGAGGTGTGAGGATTTACACCTCAGTCCTGTCAGGAAAGGAGGAACAAGGAAGGTGCTGAAAGAGGAGGAGACGCGGCGCGACGGCGAGCCAATTTTCAAGTGTGAGGCTCATGAGAACACGTCGCTCAAAAGAGATCTCAGCATGTTTGTGTCAACGGCGAAAGAGTCTGTGATGTCACTTCAGGGTTTCTGTCATGTGTCAGTTTGAGTTTAGAGAAACAGAAACACAAACAGCAGCAGCAGCTGTCCTCCATATCTGAGAGTAATTCACAGTTTTAATCTGGACGTCTTCTTCATGGAGCCCGTCTGATAATCCTCGACACGGAGAGCAGAGTTACAGCGGCGTTACAGCGGTGAGGGACAAACTTCCTTTTAACCCTCAGAACTCACAGCTATATTTTACTTTTTTTGGTCGACCTCTATGTGTCAACTCGATCCTTTCAAGCACAGCAGATATTAACACATCTTCTTCTCAGGACAACCTCAGCTGTCAGTTCATAGGTGCAAAAATGATGTAAAATAAATGTAACAGTAGATTCAGAAACATCAAAGTCAACCAAAAAACAAAAACGGAAATTGATCCCAACAGTACTTTGCTCTAAAACCACATAAATCTACAGGGACCAAGCCTTTTCTCACCTGCACATCATTCTCTCAAGTCTTATCTATCAGGAGAAGAAATATTGGGATTGGAACAAACACACAACAGAAACTGTTGACATATTTACACTAATTCTTCCAGGCGTTTTTGACTATTTACAGTTGTTTCTGCCACTCCTGGGATGAGACAGAGGACCACATCATTCTGCTCAGAGTCTCTTCTTTGGTTGTTTCCAAACATTATTTCTGATTTTGAAGACAAGCAGGGAACTTTCTCGTCTCTTGTTGATCTTTGGTTGGCTCTTAATGGACACTACTGTCAAGGGAACAACAGAAGAAGAATATGAGACCATTTAAACGGTCAAAAGTTTGATAGAAAAAGACGTCATCAAAACAGCTTGTCAAACACAGAGACATTAGCAGCATTTAGGAATAGCGATTATTGGTAAATAATTCTGTTTTCACCGGTAAATCACTGTGGATTTACCACCAAACGTCTCTGATCAAACACCTGTTTTTGTGGCTGGATTGTAAACCTTGTGGGAGGTGTAGAAATTTCTGTAAACCCTCGATAGATCGCTAAAAGAGTAAACTTTTGAACACTTTTTACCCCGTAGAGATACACGGTATAGTTCCTGAGAAACTGTAAACAATATTAATGGTGTCACATGGGATCGCCGGCGATCCAGCGGAGTACCCTCAGACTCGTGTTAGGAGGTCATCTGCCGAGATGGTTGGCAGATGACCATCTGTGAGGAACCTGGTCTGAACCTCTCCTCTGTTTCCTCCTCAGATGGTCGATCCCTCCTCCTCGCTCCCTGTCTCGCCGACACGCCGGCGGCCCGGGTCCTGGAGCGAGCCGTCCTGGAGTCGCGGGTCCGAGAGGTAGAAGAGGAAAACAGGCAGATCCGGTTGCAGCTCAGCCAATCGCAAGGCACCGCCGCCCAGCCGCCGGACGGTAACTACGGCAACCAGCAGTGGGGGGCCTCGGCGGACACGGGACCCGAAGACGGGGACAACACCGCCGAGGAGAAGAACAACCACACAGAGTGTCCCAGATCGCCCACCGTCCAGAAGTGCGAGGTAACGTCAGGCCTCAGCCAATCACAGCGCTCCACTCAGAGCGAAGGATGGAGGAGACGAGGAGGAATAAGTCGACACTTTCACTCTTTGAAGTGTTTTCAGCCTCTGAGCTCCAGATTTTCAAAGACTGAGCAGCTGACGTGAATCATAAATATCTCAGAGGATAAATATGTGATTTTATTTAAGAGCGGAGTGAGGACGCAAAGAACTGAAAAATGGAGCTTCAGATATTTTTGGATTCTTAGAAGCAAAATTTCAACAAAAATCTTTATAAAAGTTTCAATATTTTCACAGAAATTAGTTTAAAAAGAGAAAATGTTGCAGAGAAAGTTTGAAGAAGTGACTCCTGGAGTCCACGCCTCCTCGTGAATCAGCTGACCCTCTCTCTCTCTCTCTCTCTCTCTCTCTCTCTCTCTCTCTCTCTCTCTCTCTCTCTCTCTCTCTCTCTCTCTTCTTCATCCCTGCAGCTGATCCATGTAGCGTGCGTTTGTGCCGGTCACAACGCCAGCAGAGACGTGGTCACGCTGGTCAAGTCCGTCCTCTTTCACAGGTGAGTCCAGAAAAACTTCTTCACCCATTTCTGTCTCCAAATTTAAAAAAAAAGTTTACTATATACAGAAAAAGGAGGAAATAAACAAAAAATAAAAGTTTACAGAATAACAAAATGTGGTTTTCAATAATCTATCAATATATCAAAAAGGACTAAAAATCACTTAAATCAATCAAAACAAGATTTTTTAAAAGAAAACAAAACCGACAACAAACTAGATTTATTAAAAAAATAGAAACAATAAACATTGTTTCATATCTACTTTCAGGATAAATTGTGATGATGTAGTGAAATGATTTGTCGCTACATTTCATGATATTCTGTAACTTCACGGCTAAACTTCACTAGGGGGAGGTCCTTAGGGTAAGGGTTACGATTAGGAGATTCAGAATTGCGATAATGTTCTGTAATGTTCTGTTCGATGTACCGAGCGGACAGCCCAAGTTTGGCTTGAGCGTGTGATGACGTTTCCAGCTTTTTTAGCCAATCAGAGGCGAAGGAGGCAGGACTTTCCCCCCTACAATCCTACAAAAAAATATTGCGCCCCGGAGTCTCAGTAAATGTCGTTAATTTGACGTTAATTCGTCGTTATAGAGCAAAGAAACATCGGCACACCAGAATATACACGACCCGTTTAATTCCCAGTTTTACCCACCAAGCGAAGTCCGTTTGAAACACGACTACTTTAACAGAAAACAAACCTGTTTCAGCCATACTTTAATTAAACTATACAAATATTTCCCTTTAAATGTTCATCTGTATTTAAGTTTTAATCAACATGTTTATCTATTCAGCAGCTCTCTGTAGATCTCATCTTTGTTCTCGTCTTTGTCTGTAAAGCTGCGGCTGACATGACCATCACCCGGACTTGTACAGGCTTTGAAAATCTTTGAATAGCTGCTGAGAATCGAAGCTCTGAAAAGAAGAAGTTTGAGAATGAAAGGTTGACCTTATTGAAGGAATGAAACTTTTATGCAGCACCTGAAAATCCCTGACCCCTCAGCGACACAGCATCAGCTCCTCCCGTCTCTGAAAAGTGAAGATGGAATAAATTTCTTTGAGCGAGTGAAGACGAGTTTGTGACGATTTTCAAGTCAAGGATTTTTCCTCCTTTTCTTGGTTTTTACTGACGTCAATCGGCTCCACTCGTGATTTTGTCGCATCTTCTAAAGACGAGTGAATACCTGTGATTATTTCTCCGTTTGAGGACGGGTTGAAGTATTTTGGCATTAAGTTGCAAATGAATTCTGAGTGGTGCTCTCTCTGCAGTCGGACCTCTCAAAGAGAAGCTGGTTGAGATGTTGTTTTCTCTTTTGGACTGATCCTTATTTATTTTCTGTTAAAACTTTTTCTCTCTGTCTCTCAGGAGAAATCCTCTTCACTTCCATTTCATCACCGACACAGTAGCCAATCGTATCCTGAGTTCTCTGTTTCAGTCCTGGATGGTGCCGTCGGTGCAAGTCAGCTTCTACGACGCAGATGAACTCAAGGTAAGAAGACGCAGTTAAAGCACACACACACACATGTCAGTCCTCATCCTTTACACCTCTGCTCATCCCTGTTTCCTGCTCAAGGTGGGTCAAAGTCAAATCTTCATTTTGCATATCAAAGAGACTCCTCTGTGCGGCAGAGAGCGGCGTTAAATGTATTTATAAATCTCCTCTAACAGAAGAGATTCACCTCGGAGCATCAAAGAGACGCAGAGAAGTCAATTTAAAAGTCAGATGCTTCGAGGATGCTCAAACAGGAGGTTCCGGCGTCTGTGGGTGTGTGTCTGTCACATTAACGGAGATCAGAGGACTGATTTAGCCGCCTCAGTTTTCACAGATGTTAGTGCAGCGTGTGAGGGAGGGTCAGTCTGCGCTTTAGCCTCCTTCTGACCGACAAATCACACAAGACGCTTTCGAGTAATTAACACACGTGTGTCGTCATTTGGTGGAACGGTGAGATTAAAATGAAAACATTTTTCTTTTCTGTCAAAATGCTCCAAATGATTTTAGTGAATCACAAGCCGGGACTTCAGTTCAGCACCAGGACTCTGCTACTACAGAGCCATGCTGTTGTAATTCATGCAAAATGTAGTTTGGTATCTCATTGTTGTATTATGCAAAGTCTTTCTCTCTACCTTTGCCTCAGTCCTTCTTAAATGTAGTAAATCCAGCTTTAGTAGTTTGAGCCTCACTCTATGAGACCAAATGTCTGTAAATATTATTTTAACGAAGCTGCTCATGTTTTATTAAACTACCTGTGTGCCTCAAAATAAAAAGCTATGCCGTACCCTCGGTTGTGTGTTTAACCCTCGGCTCCTACTTTGTCCATTTTACAGACTTTTGTCTTTTTTTTAATCTTTATTTTGAGCTGACGGCAACATTTTTAGAGATTGAGACATCATCAAGTTTGGTGAGAGGTCTGATTTTCTTCATATTAAAATAAAAATGGAGAAGAGTCGCCTGTCAAACTCTTTCAACACATTTTAGCTCCATTCAGCCAACTTTGACCGCAAAACAGACAGTAGACTTCCATTAAAAACACGTTTTTTGACCGTGTGTTTATGGCACCAAAACAACATATTGCAACTTATTTTTTGCAATCACTCAATCACCAGGGATCTAAATTTTACTTTTCTGACAGTGAATATATCACATCGCAAATACGTAGTACATTTTTATATACACGTACAATTTGTGTAATCGTGGTCATATTTTGGTTAGAGGTGGATAAGCGCTTGTAAATGATTCCTATCTTACATCTATCTTCTGATTTTTTATGCCTGAGGTTAGAGAAAAGGAGGTGAAATTGGCGTGTTTTTCTACTCCTGTTTAGAACGCACACTTTCTATATGAATCCAAGTCTTATGATGTGGCGCACAAAAACTGGCATAAAAATGGTGATACATTGAATTTTTCTTTTATTATATTTTGTAATGGTCAGGGCTGAAGTTTTTTAAGAGATATGAGTCAAAAAAAGTTTTAAAAAATGTTAAAAAAAAGATAATTTCATGAACACTTTTCTGCATGTCTGTTTTGGGGACAAAGTCGACTGGATGGAGCTTAAAATGAACAGGAACCGAGGTTAGACCAATTATCAGTAATTGTGAACATTTCCCTACATTTCACTGGTTATCTTTTGTTTCCAGCAGATCTCTGAGCGCTTTTATCTCTGAGCAATTGTCAGTCGTCCATCCGGCTCTTGAAACGTTAAACAGGGTTCAAAGATTTAGACTCTGCAGAAACAAAACGTACCTGAATATAACCTACGAGTAATTTCGAGTAACCTCAGGTTGATGAACGTGTTCTCACATCGATGGGAATGTAAGATCGACCGTGTTTGTATCCTGCTCCGTCACATCATCACATTCTCCTCCTCCCTCTCCGTCTTTGTGCTGAACAATGACTCCTTTGTGCCGTCGGATGTTTCGACCTGCAGCCTCTCTCTCCACTTTTCATTAACCGGCATTAAAGTGCAGAAAACAGACGAGACTCTAAGCCGATTATATTTGCAGATGATGCACTTATGCCGATCCAATTACTCTGAATCAAGAGAATTAATTAAGAGACACTATTTGCAGATTCAGACAGGGAAGAAAACACGGCGAGGCTTTGCCAGAAAATGCTGAATGTGTCTTTGTGTCGACCCACGCAGATTTCTGCTGCTGTGCTCCAGCAGTCACCTGATGATTTCTTTTTGTCTCTGTCCTCTCAGTCCGAGGTGTCATGGATTCCCAACAAGCATTACTCAGGTATTTACGGCTTGATGAAGCTGACGCTGACCAAAGCTTTGCCCTCAGACCTGTCCAAGGTCATCGTCCTGGACACGGACATCACCTTCGCCACCGACATCGCTGAACTCTGGGGCATTTTTAGAAAGTTCACAGGTGAGACCTTTTTTGATCCTGCTCCAGTGCGTTTCTTCACGTGTCAGAGATTGAACCAGTGACCGATATTTGGATGTTTGTGTTTGCAGATAAACAGGTGATCGGTCTGGTGGAGAACCAGAGCGACTGGTATCTGGGGAACCTGTGGAAGAACCACAAACCTTGGCCTGCGCTGGGACGAGGCTTCAACACGGGTAACAGATTCTCTGAACACGCCCACAATGAAGTGAAAAAACTAAAACTAAGACCTTCCTGTGATCCTGAAGTCCTCGCTCTCTTTCTTTCGCAGGCGTCATTCTCCTCTACCTGGAGCGTCTGCGGCGGATCGGCTGGGAGCAGATGTGGCGGCTGACGGCAGAGAGGGAGCTAATGAGCATGCTCAGTACGTCGCTGGCTGATCAGGTGAGGCAAAAACAACAAAAGCAACACTTTGATGAGTCTGATTTTATATCCATCAACTTCAACCTCATTAAAGTGTGACGGATGACAGATGTATAAAACAGACGATCCACACTGAGAGCTGCAGAGTCAGAGTGAGTTTCTAGGAGTTTGGTTCCTCAGAGGTGCAAACAGCTGAGATCTGATGTTTGTTTTTTTAAGCGTGTAACCCCCCGAATTTCCACCAAATCCGGAATGGCGGCAATTTTTCGCCGTCCACCAATTTCATGGGGGATTTCTGGACAGCAGGAATCACAAGAACTCACAAGAACCAGCAGATTTACGCACAATCACGGGATTATGAATCTGAACTGATATGAATGTCGGGGTCAGGGTGAATGAACCATGAAACCAACCTCCTCGTCTCTAGGGCTGCACGATTTTTCTCTTAGAACTCGAAATTCTGTAAATCCTCTTCCACAGACGGTAAAACCAGACCGTTTATCAGCTGTGTTCATAGATCTGTGAGTCTGTAGAATAGTATGTTGTATTTTTCTCTCACCGTCTTGAACGGCTGCTAAACGTCGATAGGAGACATGTCGAACAAGAGCGTCGTAACTCTCCGATCTGCGCTTCTTTGTTACTCTGATGCTTCTCGGTCTCTGCTGTGTTTGTAGAGCTTCAATTAGTGACCTTGATTGTATTCTCAAATTCACAATACAGTCTCTACACGCTGAGCCGCCTTTGTAAACCATCGTACAGGCCGGGTAGTCAGAGTCCAGGTTGCCATGGTACCGGCAAAGACACGATATGGCTGTTTTTATTTTTTCTGATGTCTTCAAGAGATGACTCATCTTTTCCTCCATCCAGACAAATGTGTGTGTTTGTGTGTGTTTGTGTGTGTGTGTGATATAGTCCACTTAAAGCTCTCCTCTGTCTGTCGTCTCTCTGCAGGACATCTTCAACGCCTTCATCAAGCAGAACCCCGTCCTGGTGCACCAGCTGCCCTGCTTCTGGAACGTTCAGCTGTCTGATCACACCCGCTCCGAGCAGTGCTACACCGAGGTGTCCGACCTCAAGGTACACACTCACACACACACACACACACACACAGTATGATGTACTGCTGGGGCCAAAGGGCTGACTCTGTCCTCCGGGGACTCAGCGGTCTGTCAGGGTTCAGTCTGTTCTTGTTACAGAGCTGCTGCTGCTGCACAAACACACACCAGACTCCTGAAAACTCTGATTTTTTTCATGCAAACCCCCTAGAGGAAGTTCTGCAAGAAGTCAGGTCCATTATTTAAAGGTACAGTGCATAGAAATGGTAATATTCGTAATATCAGGGAGTCAGATTCGATATGGAAATGCTCCCTTGCTCACCTCTAGCATCGATAAAGTGACAGAGGCCTAACATCTGCTAATAACTTGGAAACTTTAACTCCACTCACTCATCCAGAGCCCTCTGTGAACAGCGAGTAAGGCTATCGTATTTGTCCTGCAGCCAGCGTAGGACTAAAGCGTCACACTGCCTCTGAATCTTCGTCAGGATTTAACTTTTCCACCTTGAGAGTGAGGAAAACGCCCGTCATGTGAATGAAAAAGTCTAAACTCCCCCTAACTTGTAAAACTGATGTTACTCCAACGAGAGAGAGTCTAAATTTTCCTGCTGTGTTTTCAGGTGATTCACTGGAATTCTCCGAAGAAGCTGCGGGTCAAAAACAAACACGTGGAGTTCTTCAGGAACCTCTACCTGACCTTCCTGGAGTACGACGGAAACCTGCTGAGGAGAGAGCTGTTCGGCTGCCCGAGTCAGGCCAGTCCAGACAGTGTCCAGGTGAGACACACACACACACACACAGATATATTTGATGATGTTCACTGAGGTCTCCTCCTCTCTGGAGTCCGACTGATGCTGAAGCCAGGATTGATTTTTGAGACTGACTCGTATCTCTTAACTGTTGGCTGGTGTTCATATAATCACATCAACACTTTCAGGAAGGATTCCAATTAAAAACAACAATATTCAATCTTCACAGCAGGAGAGCGGTTCGATTTCTCACTCTAGAGCACAAATGTTGCTGCCATGGTAACAGAGACTCAGTCCAGTTTTGTTCATGCGGATCGATAGCTTTGAGAGAAAAGGAAAGACGCTTAAGAACGAGCCGTCCAGAGTAAACCAGCCTTGGTAAGATTCTCTCTGTGTCTCTTCAGCTGCAGACGGCTCTGGAGGAGCTGGACGAGGACGATCAGTGTTACGACTTCCGGCGTGAGCGTCTCACGGTCCACAGAGTCCACCTCTACTTCCTGCAGTACGAGTACACGCCCACCGAAGACAACACGGACATCACGCTGGTGGCTCAGCTCTCCATGGACAGGTCGGTGCTGCAGACCTTACTCAGTTCTTCTTCATGGTTGTTGCTAATAGAAAGGAGATGAAGAAGAAGCAGGAGCAGCCGCTGGTTAGCACAGATAATAAGACACACAACAGTAAAAATGTCAAAATAAAAGCTCCTGAAAAACGTTTTTTTCTGCTGTAAAAGTAAATAATTTGATTCCTACAGAAGCGTTTCACTTCAGGATATCATTATTTAGTCTTAGATAAGTTTTAGTCAGAGTCGACCCCGGTCATTCCACCTCTGTAACGCTCATCTCTTCCTCCGTTCAGGCTGCAGATGCTGGAGGCCATCTGTAAACACTGGGAGGGTCCCATCAGCCTGGCGCTCTACATGTCCGACGCCGAGGCTCAGCAGTTCCTTCGATACGCTCAGGCCTCAGAGGTCCTCAAGAACCGCAAGAACGTGGGTTACCACATAGTCTACAAAGAGGGTCAGTTCTACCCGGTCAACCTGGTGAGGAACGTGGCGCTGAAGAACGCCAACACGCCGTACGTGTTCCTGACTGACGTGGATTTCCTCCCCATGTATGGCCTCTATGATTACCTCAGGTAAAGTCTGGTACTCAGTGATTAAATATGAAACCTGGTTCCTTTATGAGCGGTGACTCACCTGTGTCTACCTGGTCCCTCTCTGCAGACGGTCTGTGGTGCAGCTGGACATGGATCACACCAAGAAAGCTCTGGTGGTTCCAGCTTTTGAGACGCTTCGCTACCGCCTGTCCTTCCCCAAATCCAAAGCCGAGCTGCTCTCTATGCTGGACATGGGGACTCTCTACACCTTCAGGTACCTGGGCGGGAAAAACAAACACCTTCATGTTGATGTTTGAGGGATGAATCATGCAGAAACCGAGTCCTTCTCCTCCCCCTCCAGGTACCACGTGTGGCCCAAAGGTCACGCCCCAACCAACTATGCCAAATGGCGAACAGCCACCACGCCGTACAAGGTGGAGTGGGAGCCGGACTTTGAGCCGTATGTTGTTGTGAGGCGAGACTGTCCCGAGTACGACCAGCGCTTTGTGGGCTTCGGCTGGAATAAGGTGTCCCACATCATGGAGCTGGATGCACAGGTACGTCTGCTCCAAAAAGACCGCTGACAGCCGGCTTATTAATCTTTTTTCATAAAACCTAATTCAGTATTTTTGATCAGAAATTTCTATAAAAAGTTCAACCAGTTCTGGATCCAGGATTAGTTTTTACTGTCCCTTCAGAGCCAGCAGAAAGCCTGGACTTCAGGGATGCTCCTGAATGGCTGTCAGTTGTTTGGATGGAAAAACTCCAATTTACAAACTGCTCCAGTTTTATACTCCAGTTTAACCCGACAGAGGATTCGTCTTTAACGTCAGATCCTGAAAGAATAAACAGCCAAAACTTTAACGGGTTTTAAGACACCATCTGTTCTCTGAGCTCGTTTACATCCAGGTCGTAAAGCATCGTCGTATTCTGGCTGGCTGGGCCGGAGGATGACGGCTGCACTACAACAATTATAAAAATGTTAATAATCCTTTCAGTCGAGAAGGAGCTAGCTCAGATCTCCAATCAACATTTTCATTTCTGCTGATAAAGATGAACTGTGTCACGTGAAAGAAGTTCCCGAGGTTTTTTTGAGTCGGCCTCTAGAGGACACTCAAGGAACTGCAGTTTTTTTAGGCGCTGTAGTCATCAGATTGTTCTGGGCCGGAGAATGACGGCCGCACTACGACAATTATAAAAACGTTAATAATCCTTTAAGTTGAAAAGGAACAAGCTCATTTCTTTAATAAACATTTTCATTTCTTCTGAAAAAAAAGATTTATTTCACGTGAAAGAAGTTCCCGAGGTTTTTTTGAGTCGCCCTCTACGGGACACTCAAGGAACTGCAGTTTTTTAGGTGCTGCGCGGTTGTAATCATGCAGCACCTTGTCATTTATAACTATCAGCAAAGTTCCCGTAATATTCAGACTATAAGGCGCACTTAAAATCCTTCAATTCTTTCAAAAATTGACAATGAGCCTCATGTATGATTACTTGTTGTGCTTACTGACTGGTTTTATGTGGTACAATGCGCTCAAAAATCTGTCCAAATGTGAAAGTACAAAGCTGCTCCGCTTAATGGATATTCAGAGCATTATGGTACGCTGTGTCACGACCTGATCGGCCCTGACTGTAATGTCTAAACTAGAAGTGTGTTCATGACCCGGGGTATGTGCTAGCAACAATAAACCAATCAATGCACCAATGCTTAATGCGCCGTATAATCCGGCGCCCGATTAATACAGTAATTGCGAACCAACCTCCTGTGTTTCCGTTTCTCTGCAGGAATACGACCTGATGGTTCTCCCCAACGCTTTCATGATCCACATGCCCCATGCTCCCAGCTTCGACATCTCCAAGTTTCGCTCCAGCTCCAGCTACCGCAACTGTCTCAACACCCTGAAGGACGAGTTCCACCAGGACCTGTCCAGGAAGTACGGATCGGCTGCTCTCAAGTACCTCACCGCCCAGAGAAACATCTAAAGACCAGAACCGCCGAGAGGACGCCAGTCTGTCAGCCTTCGAGATCCTGACCTGACGTGGCCTGAGAGCTCTGACGCACCGAGCCACGCCGCGGTCTGCTAATGCCGCACAGCACAAACTCTGAACGTAAAGCTTTACAGCCCCTGTGGGACATTTCCGGGCTCCTGTGCATTAGTTCTCCGGTCGACTCCACCCAAAGGCGACAGAGGATGAGATGCAGAGACCAAAAATCAGACAGAGAGAGGAAGAGGAGGAGGAGGAGGAGGAGGTTTTTCTAAGCGCAGGACTCACTGAGCTGGAGGAGGGATGGACGAGCAGCAATCGGACTAGCTTTAAGGCCAGGAAAGAACATTTTCTTACAATCTGTTCTGACAATCAGGGCTTTTCCCAGCAGACACAGCGAGAACCGAGCCGTCCACGCTGAGATCTGACCACGACCGGACACGTGTCGTTCTGGGGAAAGAGAGGTTTGAGTGTGTGAGACAGATTCTAGCCTTATCACTTTCCATGATATTTACAGAGATATTTAAAGATATTTTAATTTCTCTTTTTTTTTCAGTGTAAATCAAAACCAATGAAATAACGAACATTTACCAAGTTTTGATTACGACTTTTCACAAGAATCGGTTTATTTTTCCTTTCGATATTTTCTGACCTCTTTGAGAGAAAATCCATCACGTCCTGGTCGAATTAATTCAGATTTTCTGTGAGCTTCAGGGATGTGCTGTGAGTGTGTGTGTGTGTGTGTGTGTGAGAGTGTGTGTGTGTGTGTCAGAGTAAATGATATGATCCAGCTGCATCACACGGCTCGTCTTCAACACGCTTTACTGATTGTCGTTCCGTCATTAAGTCGCTCCGTCTCCATCGTGTGTTTTTGCATGTAAAAGGTCGCACGTTTTTTTTTTTGTCACATGGGAACATTTTACTTTTTTTTTTTTTTTCAATCCTTCATGAATCTAAAAATCTGAATTCCACCCAAACGAACCGATCGATTGTGACTGAAGGGACCAACTCTGACATCTGGAGGGAGTTGATAAAATGAATCTATCAGACGTCGTCGTAATCGTTGATTCGCTTTAATACTTTTTAACACCACGTGCTCGGAAAGGATGAAATCTCGGAGAGTTTCGACAAATCGTCGTATTTTTCCCACATGGAGGCGGGGTCAGGGGTGTTTATTTAACAGAGAGAAAGAAAACTGAGCGGTGAGCATTATCTGGTTGTTTCATCACGATTATGCTCTAAAAAAAGTTTGAAAAACTTTCGCCCCTGAAGTTTCGCCTCTTCCTGCGTGCTGCGTGTCTCTCTGCTCCGCCCTCCATCACAGCATCAAATATCACAATGTGGAAAAAGGTGTCACCCCTAAGATGTCCATAAATCAAAAATACAAACTTCACAAAACACTTCCTCTGAATTATCTACGATTAAATATTTAGTTTTGGGTCCTCCATGGGATCAGTTTCAGTGAAGTTTGTGTTTTTCTTTAATTTAAACTAGGGTGACCACACGTCCTCTTTTACCCGGATATGTCCTCTTTTTTGGGGGCTGTCCAACTTTGTCTGGGGGAGTTTATAAAATCCTTCAAATGTCCGAGGGTTGTGTATGGAAGTTTTGAGTTTGTGTCGCATGGACTAACTGAGTTAGAAGCGCATAAAAAACACAACAAACTCTCAAAATCTCTGTGACTCCGCCCCCGTGTAGTTGTGTGCTCTTTTTGGGGATGGTCACCGTATTTAAACCGCAGACGGTTTGTCTTCAGTGACTTCCTACACCAGAACTTTGAGCTTCTAAAGTAAGAATTTTCCGTTGCAGTGGTATTTAACAGGTATCGGTATAATTCAGGTTTTATTGATCCTTAGTTGTGACGTGAAGCTGCAGCTCGAGGAGTTTTCACTCTCTCGTGTTCGTGCAGTTTGATCTCAAAAAGTCAAAATCACTGGATGATATGTGCCGTCTACTGAACCTTTTATTCTCGCTTCTTTTGAGAGTTTTAGCTGAGATGACAGAATTTATCCCTCCCAGAGAAATGAGACAAAATCTGACAAAACCAAAGATAGTACCCGATAGAGAAGTAATCCGTTTAAATCAGCGGACGTAGTTTCTGTGTCTGAAGAGATCGGAAATACTGACTCCATCGAACACAAGCGAAGATTTGTGGCTGAAGCTAACGTCTGTGACGACCTTCCTGTGAAATCATCGAGGCCCCGCTGGGTAAAAATAAAAAGATATTTAGACCGTGACCTTAATTCTGCACCAGGCTGTGAAGACGTTTAACTCAGCGTTTAAAAACGTGCATTTCAACATGTTTGTTTTCGTGTTTGGAGCCTCAAGTGGACATTTGAGGAACTGCATTTTTAGCACTTCTGTATTCGCTTCGATTTCCATCACCAGCCGAATTTGATCAAAAGTTTCAGTCGGACTTCAACTTCCTTTTCCTCATCTTGGTATTTATAAAACAAGATCATCTCAACATGATTTCATCAATATTGAAATTAGTTTGACCAAAACTGTTGCTGATAAAGGCGTCATCGACGAGTGCATCTCAAGGTCACTCACTCCTGATCAGTCATCTCCGTTTGTGTTTAAATCATATTTTTGTTTGTCGTTAATTTCCACGATCCTCGCCGTGTTCGGACCGAAGGCAGGAAGAGGAAAGTCGACTGTAAAGGCAGAGTAAACCTGAGTGTTGGCGTGTGTGTGTGAGTGTGTGTCAGCTGCAGGCTCGCACAAAGGTGGAGAGGGAAGGCGTGAGCGTGCCGTGGAGAGCCCGACCCCCCTTCGACCCCCACCATCTGCACCGCCTCCATTGACGTGTTGTTGATCGTGGTAAATGCTAGTGCCTTTGCTGTATTGTGAAACTGGATATTGATTGTACTGTTGTTGCGACAGGGCCTGGGGAAAGTCAGGCACTCTATTTATTATTGTTGATTCAAATCAATCATATTTTTCTATGTAAGTGCTTTAAATAAATTTGCCCTTTTATAACCGCGCTGTCTGCTGTGTTTTTTATTTTAGTTTGTGTTTTTTTTTTATTTTCTCCGAGTCAGCCAAACTTTCCCTCTAGACTTTCCATTAAATTAAAGTTATTCCAGGATTACTGGGACCTCTCACCCCTGCAGGCCAAAGAACATTTCTGCTTTTTATAAAGTCTGCAGGCTCAGTGCTTTAAGCCTGTATGAACCCTCCATGTGTGTAATTGGTCCCACGAAAATTTCAAACAAACTAAATTATTTTGGACGGACAGAGAAGTCTCCGGAGAGTTTTTGTCCTCTTCAGATACAAACTACATTTTTATTTCACTGGAAACATCAACTTTTCCTGCAGTTTTTTAAGATTTGGTGGAAGTTCAAGTTTATCCAAAGATTCAGATGTTCGCTCTCTCAGACGTGCCGCCCCAACATGAGCTTCAGGGAATAGAAACAGTTGGCCTCAAACACACCGATATGTTGGAGTTGCACATCTGCATTCCCTCCTCTGCAGTACTAGAGATGGGGATGACAATACTGCACCCAATATGCACCACCAGCAGCAGCAAAGACATGTATCATTAATAAGAACATGAAGAGGGAGGCATGTAGTTCTGCAGAAACAGCAGTGAGCCCTGAACACTGACTGAGTTTCTACCTGAGGAAGGAAATCGAATTTGAAAGAAATTGTCAGTTAAAATAAACGTGTTTGAGAGGACTCGCGTAATTTCCCATTTGCATGTCATGGTGATTTAAACGGTACTTAGCGGCTCAGTAGATTTATCTTCAACACGTGAAATTTTATATTTAAATCTCGCCCTGCTGAAGGGATTTGACCGCTGCAGGTTCGTACATAGGCCTGATTCATTTGCTGCTCTGCTCTGGCCACAGCTCCCATCCTGAAAGAGGAATAAGATCGATGCGTGTGTTCACGTAAGAGTCTCAAAATGACAGAAAAAGAGGCTAGATTTGTCACTCGTCGCTAAGAGGGTCTGAAAAGTCACTTAATATAGCGACAAAATGGCAACACTGGTGGTTTGTGAGGAGATCTTTGCAGGAGTAGCTGAATTTTTTTTCAGTTTGAAGCCTGACCTGAGGAAAACTTAGCAAGGAAACTTAAACGACACCGTCACCAAGGAGATCTTTGCAGGAGAAGCTAAAAACAAAAGTGTGTAAGAGCAGATTTTTGTCATATGTTCTGTTTATTTAGTGTTTCCCTGTGATTTGAGCCTATTGTCTGAAGTGTTTCCCTTAGTTTTCTGTACTTCCTGTTTTATTTTGTAGTAGTTTATTCCTTGTGTTTCTCATCTTGTTTTACTTCCTCAGTTTTCTCTCCTCTGTAATTGTCCTCACCTGTGTCATTGTGTGGTATGTATGTCGATGCCTCTGTGTGTCTCAAGTGTCTTCTGTTGGTTTTTGACCTTTTGGACTTTTAGTTGGACATGTCTGGAAGTCCAGTGGCCACATGGAGGAAAAGAGGTCAGGGTTCGGTTCATTCTGCCAACAATAGAGCACAGAAACACTAGGGAAAATACACTCAAATCACAGGGAAACACTAACTAAACAGAATATATCATGACAGTTTTTGCAGGAGAAGCTGAGAGTTAAAGAGCTTGGACTTAAGGTTAGAGTTAGAAGAAAATGCTCCAGCTGATCTTGTGAATCCTCTGCTTTAGAGAGTAAAGAGAAGACAAAGCACTGAGACCTTCAGACAGACCTCATCCTGCAGACTTTACTCAGATAAAGTTTTTTTCTGATGGTCTTGTTTGTTTTTCTGAGTCCAGTTGTCTTAATTACCCAAAAGTATTTTTCTGTCTGTTCTATAACCAACGAAGAAATCCTCACCGGAGCTTTAGAGACTTTGAAAACTGACGTAGAAAAGTCAGGAGGACTCTGAAACCTCCTGCTCCTTATCAACAGTACAGAGTTTAAAAATACATGTTTGTTTGGTTTTCTGAGTTTATCAATTTATAAGAGTTTCTACAATTCTGACAGAAGCTGGGAAATTCAGTTTGCAGCTGTGACAACCGTGGAGGGTCTCAGCTGTCTGCAAGGATCACTAATCAAAGCATGAATACGATGTTCAGACACGTTCATCAGATGAACTTGAATACATAGGGGTGCCGCTCTTCTGGGTCAAGCCTCTGTACGCAGCAGCAGCAGAACTGTCACAGTCCTCTCCTTTACAGCCACCATAAAAACCAAACATCTCCTCCTCCTCCTCCTCCTCCTTTTCCTCGAGCTGCCTCTTCACAGAAATCCACCCTCTTCTCCCCTCAGGCTTCTCAGCAACACCTTATCAATTATTAGCCTGCCTCCTGCATGTAGGCCAATCACCCCATATGCACAGAGTGTCAGCAGACAGGCTGCACATATGCACGATGATTCATTGAAGAGAGCTTCAAACATGCAGCCAGGCCTGCAGTGTGTGTTTTTTCTCCTCTGAAGAACTACAACACTCGCTCGTGTTATTTCACATACATGTTCCCGGGTCCTTCCAGCAGAAGAAACGCAGTAAGGAGGAGGATCAGTTTCTCTTTAACACGATTCGCTGAGGCTCGCTGATGTCAAAGAAAATAACAAACATTTACTGGAGTCTGGTGGCGTTGAAGACGGAAACAAATCCGTATTTTTCTTCTTTAAAAAACAGTTTTTTCTCCCTCTGACTCTGCGGGGGTCCTCGCTGAAATGTTGTAAGACTCTTGGACACAATCATCCCAGCCTGTATGCGGCAGAAAAAAAACACTCTGCTGAAGTGAATTTCCTCACAAAGGATAATTTTACAGCCATTACGGACACATTTCCCGGCCAAAGCAATCTGATCGTGTAATTCCAATAATGTCAACCCCATAATGACAAACCAGAGCCATCTGATGTATAACATATGCAAGAGCCAGAAGAGAGCAGACCCGAGGAAATCATCACTATTCCCCCAACATGTCATCAACATATTTGGATTCATGTCGATGTAAATGGAAGAGTCCCAACGATCCAAGTCCAGAAAAGGATTTAATCCAAACGCATTATCTCCATAAACATGAGCAGGACACTGGTGTCGTTTGTAAGTTTGTATTTGTCCTTTAGGGTGTAAACTGGCTCCTTCTTTATGCAAAGTTCCTGCAAACACCTGTGCAAACAGTGACTGAGCAGCTAGAGTGAGACACGGAGTCAGTGTCTGCTGAGAGCTGGAGGAAAGTGAGGAGGATGATACTGATCATGGAGGTTTAATTTGAGGTGACTTTTTTATTAGAATTAAGTATAAAGTAGTCTGGGTCTGTCTGTGGATTATGAATACGAGCCGTTGGCTTGTAAAAGGACTTAATGATGAACTCAACCTCGATGTTTTCTTATTAACTGAGGTTCACTCATGAATTGATGCTTTGGTTTCATGTTTTTCTGATGTTGATTTATGGACTAAATGATCTTTTTTTCTCAGTCTGATAGTTGATGTTGATTATCTTGGCGCTCTGATTTATTGATTAGTAGGTGCCCGCAGGTGTGAGGTTCCTATCCATCTCCTATTTAACTCGTCTTGTTCTCCTGACTTAATTGTTTGCCTGATGAAGGTCTAGTACCGAAAAAACACCCGCACACTGTCCAACTGGCAGAAAAAGACCGACCGCTTGTTTCTCTAGTTATACCAATTTAGTAACGACCGCAGGATAGTAATACAGAGAGCCACGCGCTCAACCAAAACGCCACTTTATAGCCACAAATACCTCAGGCCAGTCTATTACGGACTTCAGCGGGGTGCCGCAGCTCAAGGAAGAACATTTATGATCATTTCCTTGAAGTAATAATCATCATGTGTATGGCTCCTCAGACCGCGGTGTATTGCTATCGTGTGGTCGTTACTAAAGCTGAGTTTAGAGATCAGCGGTTAGAGGGGATATTTAGTTTAGGTTTGGCTTGTTTAGGTGTTCCTCAGTTTATTAGATATTTCTTTTCAGCTGTGTTAGTATGAGTTAAGTGAATCGTGTTGTTACTTGTATATATTGTTTTGTGTAAATATGTTTTAAAGGCCATTAGGATATCACTGGTGAGGGAGGAGACCTGAAGGTAGAGAATTGGAGCAGTGAGTTTGTGAGGAGGGGGAGGGGCAGGTTTGGTCTCTTCTGCTGGTGCAGTTAAGGGGGATCAGCTCCACCTGGGAGTGTGTCTGACCACCAGGAGGATTTCCTTGCTGCATGTGGTTGAGACTCGGTAGTTTTTCTGTGGTTGTGTGAAGTGTCTGTTGTCTCGTGTTTTTTATCCTGCTGTCCTCCTCTCCACTCTTTCTGCCCTCACTTCATCCTTTTTGTAGAGGAGTACTAACATCTAAGACTTTACACTTCGACTCTTTTCTCTCTATTTAATTTCATGGAAACTCTCCTCAGTGAACTAGTTTTTATTCGTCTAAATTATTGACGATAACAGTTCTTGATTTAAAATAACGTCAATAAAACAGATGATCCTCTGTTCTTACAAATCACTTTCATTAAATCTTAATCACGTTTTGTTACGCTGTCGTTTTGTAGAAGAACTAATAATGTTGTGTTTGGCGAGCCGGTTTGAGGGTCTCTCGACAAATTCTGCTCAGGGCCCCACTTTAGCCGGGGGGCAGACCCACCAACCTGCACGAAAGGATCGATTACAATCAGGAGAAATGAGAATAAAATCAACTTTTTATCTTACAACAACTGCAGCTCCAGAACAAATACTAAATAGACAAAGAGGAGAGAGACTGTTGTGTTTAATATCTAAGAGGTAAAATAAGGATCAGCTTTCCAAGGACAGATTAGAGCGGGTCAGGAGCCGGTAAATCCAAATGAAGCCATTTCCCGCTCCCTCATCTGTCACCGCTGCCCGGAAATTGAATCGTCTCTTTGCGGATGTCTTGTTTTTATAATTGGAAAAGCAGTTTTTTTAAGAGTCAGTGTGAAGTCGAGCGTTTCCTCCTCTCAGATTTCTGCAGAAACAGCCGCGCTGTTGTGATAATCATCTACAATCCCACCGCAGCGCTCACTCAGCGGCGCTCACTCACTCCTGCTGTGGGAATAAAAAAAACTGAGAGTAAGAATAAGTGCGCTTATGTAAGTTAATATGAAAGGACACAGAGATTTCTGTCCACATACTGTATCAGAATAACAAACTAATGACTGCGATGTGTGCTCAGCCTTTTGCATATGTTCACTTTATTACGCCCACACTGGTAAAAAAATAAAAAATAACCCACTAAGCTGGAGGCTAACCCTGCAGCTACTATACAGTATGCAAATGACTGGATTAATAAAATATCTCTGTATATCAAACAAGGAGCCGAAGTATCAAACACTCGGCTCCTTGAGACCCGCAGAAACATATAACATGGAGAACGATGTCAATAACTGGTTTAGCAAATGATTTAGAATTTAACAGACTGATGTTTTCTTATTTTAAATATGATATAAAAAATGAGGACAGAGGCATTTTTACTACTGTGGTGGATCACCTCATCTATCTTTTAACACCCAAGGAGAGCCGTTTCCAGAAAGTCCCGTTCTTGCCTGAAAGGATTTCATTTGCTCAACAGTTCAGGGTTTAATGTCCTTCAGACAGTCCAGTTTCTCAGCAGGACTCTTCTCCTACAGAGCCATGCTGCTGAATCTGTTTTTGTCATTGTCTGGATGTCAGCGGTTGTGAGAACTAAACCTGGAGATATTGTTCAGCATTAATGGAACCTTCACAGATGAGGAAGATACCCACGACATGGACTCTGATGATCCTCTGGTTCTTAAACTCTGCACTGATATCAAATCGGGTGGAATCAGAATGTTGTACCTCTGATTTCCAAAATGAAAGTCAGACCTCAGGACAGTTTTCCACCTTCCCTAACCCCCAATTTCCACCACATCCAGAACTGCTACTAAAAGGCCGTATCAGCTGATCACAGCTGATCGTAACCATTCAAATTAACGTGTCATTTCCACCGGCTTCTTTCCATTCCGCTGCGGATCGCCGGACCCTGTAGCTGATCGTAAGAGTTCAACTTTTTCCGGACACCCCAGCTAGCCGGACAAATTCAGCACAGATTAATCCGTGCTGGAAAGGAAGTCGGGCACAGACACAAAATAAAACATCCGGCTTCTTTTCAAAATAAAACACTCCGTGTTTCAGGCAGATTGCAAACGGGCGGAGACGAACAAGTGAAAGGTTTTCAGACATCATTTCACCCCGATGACACCATGGATGAGGAGATGCTGATTCTAAAAGTCTAGAAGTAGATTTCCTCCTCTGGAAGGACACAATCTACTGCTTATATGTCTATGTGTCTGTCTTTAGAGAGACAACTCGTTATTGTGTGATTGCATGTAAATTCGCAGGTTCTTGTGAGTTTCCCTGATTTCGGCTGTCCGTAATCTGCCACGAAATTCGCCTCACAAATGAATCCAGTTGGAATTGGCGGATGGTGAAAATTGCTGCCGTTACCGATCGATGCTGTTCCAGATGCGGTGGAAATTTGGGGTAAGTCCATCTTGAATTCATCCACTCTCCTTAATCATGATGATTTGTAGTTTTCTCTTCCCATGTTGCAGTTTCAATAATTTTTTTTAATGCAGTGACTCACTGTGTTTACAGACAGTAGCTTTTCAGATGTGATTTTAAGCCCCAGTTTTTAATGCAGTAAAGTCAGTCATTCAGTATTAGTGAATCAACAAACTACGGAGCAGAGGAGATGGAGGAGTTGCAATAGACTTAAAGTGGGCGTGTCCCTGATTGGGCGTGTCCTTCAACTTTGTTCTAATTGGACGGCAGAGTCTGATGTCAGATTGTTTCAGGAAATAAAAATCTCACTCTTACCCCGCGGGGCTGTTAGTGCAGCTGTTTACAAATGAGGCTCATTTTCACAGCAGAGTGTTGGTTTTTCATGTATAAAGGCCCTTTTTTGATTTATGCATTCAACACTAATATCCAGACACACCCTGATCTCTTCGTTGAATTTTTGGACCGTATCATTCTTTGTGTCTCTTGATGAATTTGATTACGTCTGTCCGTCTCATTTACTCTGTTTTAATATTCTGAAAAGCTGTGCAGCGCCTCAGTGAGTCGAGCCGTATGTGTGTAAAGACGAGCTGCACATCTTCCTCTCTGTATTCTTAACTCAAACTGCAATCATGAGTTTTGTCAGCTTCTATACACCATACATCTGCTCTGTTTCCATCTGTGTGTTTTAACCGAGTACAATGAAAACATGGGAAAACAGCAACAAAGCGGTGAATTTAAAACAGACTATTTAAAGAGATTTATCAGGTTGCATGATTGCTTGGAGCTTTAGGACAGTACATGAATTTTTCCTGATCCTCAGTCTTGATAAAAAACCCTCCATAGAGCTCTGACGGGAGGACAGAGAGTCAGGAAGATGAGGAGAGAAGCAGCAGAGATGCGGCGACAAGCTGTATTTCTTTATGAGGCGAGTTTTATGACAGGAGGTAAGAAATGACTGCAGTTACGGTCACAGTGGGAGGTTTGCTCCACAGCTGGAGAGGCAGAATGGACGTCCAGGTGGAGCGATGGGTTTGTAGAGGAGGGTAAATCATCTTCACACCTCCTGTTCATTTCCTTTGGTCCACTGTGGAAATGGTTTCTGTGTTTCCCTTCGTTAGCTTTGACGTGTTTTTCAATTTCACAGGAGCTGTTTCCTTTAACATGCTTTTGTTTGTCATCTATGCAGGTTGATCTCTTAAAGGTAAATTAGAGGTGTTTTTGTGTTTTATTCAGTTTCTAATTCTATCTTTAATAAGGATCACAAATGGAGTAATAGAGCAACATGCAATATAGAAAATCATACTTATTTGATGATTAGGATGGATTTAAACTGATCCTGAAACCTGAGACTATTTCAGTCTATAAAGATCGATGTTGGCTAATGTTGGTTAAAAACCACGAGCTGTAAGTAACATCAAAACATCAGCAACGGTGACAATAACTCATTTATTTACTCATTCAGTTCCAGGTTCATTTATGCAATTTTCACCTAGTGC